GTTGCTGTCCTGATTACTTACTTTTTTAGTTTTTCTATCCTTTCAAAAATTCATTTTTTGCAGTTGGGTTGGTGCAACTTCTCTTCTGGTTCCTTTATTCCCGCCATGTGGTACACTGGTGCAGGCAGTTGAAATGAAGTGCTTGTTAAAGGCATAATTTACCTTGTAAAGGAGAGCAATTACATCGTTACATGCCTGTGCAGTTCCCGCTGTACACAAACACCAAGACGTTACAATCCTGCAGTCACTGCCAGCTCCCTCGACGCAAACCCACTTTTGTGTGGATCATCAGTTAGTTTTAAGAAGGACAGATGTTACCTTTTAAGAAAGTAAATTTGCCATCCGAAAGACATTTTGCAACGTGAACGACGTCAACAAATCCACTCATCAAATACGAGTAAGCCTTTTGGTCTTTATATTTTCCAATATAATCAACATCTATCGCTTTGATTCTAAACATATAACTGAAAAACCTCCCCTCATCGATTTCAGGCCACTTTTTTACATCATCAAACCACGCTTGCTCGGGAAGTAAGTTGGGATCAGTTTTAATACTGTTTAATTTCAACCTTCTTGAATACTCCTCATGTAAGTTTTTATAAGTTTGCTCCTGCGTAAATTTCTTCGGAACTTTAAGTTCATATGCACCAAATTCCCTAGCGATTAACTCTGCTTTTTTCCCAGTTTGTTTCAACCCTCTCAACGCCATAAAATCTTTTAGCGAAGAAACAGTTAAGTGAAGAAAATCTTCGTATTTCAGTTCTTATTCTGGCTGTTTAGTCCCCATACAAAATAATAAAAATAGGAATGTCATTTTACAAATATTTTGAAATACTAATACGAGTTTGCCGTAGAATAGTTCCTCGTGATCCTTGTTGACTTTGCTGTAGACATGTGCGTGTGTCGCGAACTCAAGAACAGGGAGCTTTAGCAAAGACTACGAGTACGACTACGAGTACGAATTACGTCATTTTGGCGCGAAAACATTGTTGCGACAACATTTATTCTATAATAACTGGAGCGGCTATCTCAAGCCAGTGAACTCCATATATATATATATATATCTGGAATGATAACGACAATACATTTTACAGATATAAAATTGAAGCCAAAGTCCTAGTCTCTAGCGCAGTTTGTACGTCAGTTCCAGTCCTTCAAAGTCGAATATTCACGCGGTTTGTACGTCAGTTTCATTCCCCTGAGTGCCAAATATACACGGCCAATATAAATTTGAATACAAATTACAAAAGTATAAACATATAAACAACATCACGACAAACAACACACGAGGCCAACTCTTCGCAAAAGGTTATTTTTTACAACTGAAACTTTACTACAGTGAGTTCGTTGTAACTTACAAACTGTAACGAGGAAAAACCAATTGAAAATTACACTGTATGCTAAAAAGGCAATACAATAAGAAAATATGACGAGAAAATATTCAAGCAAAAATTTTTCTTTCATCGAAGGTAAATTTTCAAACGGTGTCAGACAGTGTTTGTTTTTTTTTGTCATTTCAGTGGATTTAAAGATCTGTTTTTCCGAAGAAAAAAAGAACTTGAACATCCAGTTTCATAAAAAATATTGAGTCTATAACTCGCATTTTTACTTTTTACAGAGCGATTGTATTTTTCATCGATTTTGATAGTGCTTGAAATACTAAATGGTTGTCATCTCGATATCAATAATTGAATATCCTTAAAGACTTTGATATGTTTTAAAGGAAAACCGCAGCGTAAGAGCAGATCGATTAAGATCAATTCACCTTGCTTCTCGATTTATCACTTTGACTCACTTTCCGTGACCTTTTCATTCCAAAAATTTCGTTATTTTTACGCTCTGATCAAGATCCGAACTCTACCATTACTAAGGTACAAATGATTTAAAAAAATTAAAATGAACACGCGAGAGACAAGAGCCTAAGGTGTGATGACGAATGATGACGACAAATATTTTTTTGGCTTCAATTTTTGGCTTCAGTTATCATTCCAGTTATTTAAATGTCGAGTTCACTGTCTCAAGCGCGGCCTCAGATATCTGATGTCGCCAAAAAATGGCGGATTTCGTCCATTGAGTTCTATAATAACTAGAGCGGCTACCTCAAGCGCGGCCTTAGATATCTGATGACGCCAAAAAAATGGCGGATTTCGTCCTTTGCCGCTGAGATTTACCGAAATTGACCGCTTTTCCGAAAATTTCACAATTTCCCACTCCCTCCTGAGGAAAGAGTGAGGAAAATGTATGTGTGTATTTGGGATTCGGCAAGAAATTTTTTGATGAAAATGAAGGTAAAAACCTTAAATTCATAACAGCGAGTGAACTGTGGTTGTCAGTTATCTGCTCCTACGAGGATGCATTTATAACTATCGACGAAAGACCTATATGTCGACTACACATGTATAAATGCAGATGTGCATCGTTTTCTTACCAGCGTCAAACTTGTTTGATCGATTAAACTCTTTAGTCTATACAAAAAAGTACATCATAGTTCATCTCCACGATTCACGAGAGAGAAGTTAGCTTATTTGTTATCATTGCTATTTTGCTTCTTTTCATGCAATGGGAAATGGCTTTTCAGGCCACAATTGTAGGATTTTTACTTGTTCTTTAAAAAAGTACACATTAAATCTCTGGATATTTACAGATTTTCTGTAATTGAGTTTCATATGAAATTTCAAAAAGACTCAAGTCTGGATAGGTTTGGTAAATGAAAACAAACAATATTGTATAGAAATTACTTTAAGTAACCTTTTTTTGATGTTCTGAAGTGCAACTGCATCAAATACTTGTAAAGTTGTAGCACATTTTGATTTTGTTGTATTGATATATGAATTGGGCAAAATGCAAATAATCATCAAAAAACTTATGCTTCCAATGGTGTTTATAATTCATTTGTAGTTTTAATACTTCTACCTTTCTTTTTCACTTTGTTTTGTTTTTCCTATATTTGCAATAAAAGTGCACTATAATTTGAATGATTAACACAGTTTTCACCTCAATAATAAATTTCATAAGCAGATGGTAGTGCATTTTGTTCTCTGAGTATCCACATCTGGTGTTTTGTTCATACAAGAATGATGAAGTGCAAGTAGATATGTCATAGCAAGGCAATAAAACCAAATGAATTACATACCTATAGTGTACTTTTATGCTAGAAGCTTAAAAGCTTTTTAGAAATTAGAAAGTTATTGGATTATATTACCTCTATATCATCAATCTCATGATAAGAAATAAGAAGCAAAAAAATTGTAGAAAAGCTTTGAAAAGTGAAAAACTTTTCTTTAAAAAAGCAGCAATAATGTATATGATAAATCTCCATTCTGTACTCTAATAGGTAAATAAGCTCAAATTTTTCTTAAAGAAATATATAAGAAATATACAGAACAGTAACTTTAAAGGTTTCATCACTGAATCTTTAATGCTTCAGTATAGTGCATTAGATATTAGTAACATTCAAACAACACTCAACTAAAATATTTTGATAAAGATATGACATGATTTAAACATTAAGTTACATAAAACCCAATGGCTTATACAGTTTGAAGCTTCACATCTGCATCGAGTCGTCATCAATCTCAGTACAAATGTTTACATAGACACAAACTTTATAGCCTTCCATTTTACATGTTTGTGAATTGACATTTCATTAAGCATCAAAACACACACAACCTTCTTGCCATCTTTCTTTGGATCATGAACTTTAACTTCAAAGCATTCAAGGCATCCTTAGTGAATCCATTGTCTCCATCCATAGAATTTGACCACGATCAAATTAAATAACTCTGGATAGGGCAGACAATAAATCAATTATCTTTACAGCATTATCATTTTTTAAGACTCTTCCTGATCAATAACATCTTCCAGTCATCTTTACTCCTTGATCTTTCCTGCATGTTGTCAGCAAATAGAACATAACAAGCTCTGCTCCAAATCATGGGTACCGTTGGGGCTGATTATTTCTTTTTGATACTTACTCACAGAGCAAAATGTGTGCAGGGTCTTTTTTGCTTTAGGGAAACTATTTTGCAAATAAATGGGTAAATTTACGATTTCATGCATTAACAAATGACAGAAAAGTATACAGAATTTTATAAACAAAAACAGGAAAACATCAGTATATTTGGCGTTCAAGTCAGTCTTAAAAAATACGATCTTTAATATGTATTTTATGGCTTTTCAAGTGCATGTATACTTGCTTTTCAATCGTTGATGAACTAAAAAAACAAATATCTCACCTGTGAGAAGCGATATGTTCCTTTTTGTGGAAACTACGACATCCAACAATTGAACGATTGAAGTGTTGGCATTATAAAAGAAATGCCAAAAATACGGTGGCCCACAAGTATCGCAGCAAATTAAAAACTCACGGCAAATTAAAAACTCGCGGCAAAGTGGGTTGAAACACGTGGTAATGACGAGTAGTATTAATTCACAATGGCGGGCGCCCAAGAGGAAGAAAATTTAATCAAAGAATACTCTAGTAAAGGCTTCAAGTACGACGAAATTATCGAGTTATTGAGCAAAAACCACTCAGTAAAAATGAGCATCGCAACTCTTAAAAGACGTATAAAACTTGTTAGACGTATAGCTTAAAAGACGTATAAATTAAAAGACGTATAAAAAACGTTATCTACTGTTAGACGTATAACTTAAAAGACGTATAAAACTTACCGCGAGTTTTTAATTTGCCGCGAGTTTTTAATTTGCCGTGATACTTGTGGGCCACCGTACAAAAAAGATATCGTCACAGAATATGGAACTAACAATATCCATATTCTGTGGTATCGTGTTTGTTTTTGAAAAATTAAAGAATTTTTATTATAAGAATTTAAAGAATAATTTACTATAGACACCAGGGGTAGGTCGAGAATATTATTTTTCTGCAAAGCGATCATTTCAGCGGAAATACGTCCGTTGGCCGCCAAGGTCTGTTGCTACGACGTATGCAAATTATCACTTAGAAAAGAGTCGACGTGTCTAACAACATAATACGTATTTTACGAGAGTCCTGTCGTGAAGAAGCGTTAAATAAAAGATTGCAGTTAGTAGAATCAGGTAACTTTATTCAAATATTTCTTAGCATTTAGCGATATTTAAATGATATCAATGAGTCAATACAGTCAATACGGTCTCGTTGAAAGGCTTCAAACTAAAACAAAATACGACACAAATTTACTTTTGCTTTCGTTATCTTTCGTCGCCAAGATTAAATTAAAACAAGTAAAGGGTATGAACACAAAATTTAAATTTGAATGTTTAAAGAAAAACTTCTGCACATTCTAAAGTGTAAATAAAGACTTTAGTTTTTTCTTTTGTCACCAGCTATATTTCTTAGTTAATTACTCAGAGGATATTTGAAAATATAAACTAAACCTTCAAAGCATGCATGCCATGAATGCAATCCCCTTGGGAATTGATCAATTATCGAAGAGTTTTTTCCATTTAATATTTTTCGAATGCAACTGCTTTCGATAAAAATTTGGAATAGTTTAGCAGCAAGACGTCTCACAATACTTTTACGCGAGATTTCACACTACACAAGTGTATTTTATTATTCAGTTCGCAGAATATAGAGGCCAGATAAAAGAAACTCAGAGTCGATACTGTCAAAACGGAAATAATTCACTGATCAAGGTAATTTAAACATTTGTTCGAATTGCAAAGTGCAAACACCTTGAGCATTTAGATATCTTTTGTAATTTGATATTATTTTTACGTTGCAACTATGACTTTGGGGATGTTTCAATTATTCAATCGCGGAATTAAGTAATAATAAGGTATTTGGAATCAAATTGGAATGAAAGCAATCTTCTCAATGCAATGCTCCCCACCTCCCCCATTTTACTTGCTGCTTTTTTATGCAAATTTTAGTTTGAAAAGCCCATAATGCAACATTCACATGACAATTTTTGCTATACATATGTAAATTATTACTAAGAAATGAGAGACGACGAAATCAACAACATAAACACGCATTACACGAAAACATTATTGTGAATCAGATAGCGTTGAAAGAAGGAATTTCAAAATACAACTTGGCGTTAGTAGATTCAGGTAAATTTTTTTGAATTTAACAATATGTACTTGTTATCATATTATCATTGTATGTGCGGATGAAACCAAAAAGATTTAGTCTAAAGACTTGAAGCAAGAACTTCACTTTCACTTTTGTCATTGCTCGATTAAATTGAGGAAGTAAAGCGTTTATGAACAAAACTCAGTCTTAAGTATTTAAAGAAGCAAGATGGAAAATTACTGATGTAATACAAACTTGTGATCTTCATTCAACCATTTGGTGATTTGTGATTTAAAGCTAAGGTTTTCTGCATCTTCTCTATGTTATTTTCATTCTATTTCATGTAAGATCTAAACTATCAATTTCTAACTCATGATATAGCTCTAGGTCAAGAATAAATAAATGATATCAACAGAAAATCAACAAAGAAATAGAAAAGTTTTATTATGTATGTTATTTATGACATAAGTTACGTATAACAAATTCAAATACAAAATGGCAACAAATCTTTCCTCGGATATTGTTTTGACAAAGATACTGAGCCTAATGTTAACAAAATAGGCTGTTTTAAGAAATTTGATGTGCACTGATGCCAGAATGTCTTTCCAACAGTAGAAAAGAATTTGCTTCCTAACGGATACTGCTAATTTAGGGAGATGTACAACTAAAGTTGTATACATATTCTCATGTATGCATGTGATCTTGCAGTTGGTATTTCAAACTAAAACGTCAGTGACCATGGTAAATAAAATAAATTTTGAAATTACTCACTTCAATTCAAACCTTTGGGAATGACGTGTTGTACAGATTTCTTATTCAAGCAGATCACAAACATGCAACTCATTCCACAAAATGATCACTGACAAAAATTATGTCAAATTTCATTTTATTGATAACGCTGAAAAAAGATAAAAGAAAAATTGTTCACCAAGAATTTAACACGTAGATGTAAAATCCATTAAACAACATTTCTCCATGCATTGCAGTTTTACATATATAAAATCAAACGTCCAAAAAAGATATGACACCTCAAATTCATTATTTTTACGTTGCAACCATGACTTTGGGATGTTTCAATTATTCAATAACATAATATGCAACCGAAGAAACAAAAAAAAACATGGGTTGATGTATCTACAACACCACTAAATTTTCACGGTGGTTGAACTTGAGCTATGATTAATTATAAAGAACTATGTTGAGTTACCTTCAAAGTGATAAAATAATCCGAAGCTTTGGTTTATAGAAAGAAGGTTTATTCAACAGTATTAACTTCACATAAAGCAGGCAATGATAAAATAATCCGAAGCTTTGGTTTATAGAAAGAAGGTTTATTCAACAGTATTAACTTCACATAAAGCAGGCACATGTAGAAAGCGCCATATATCAAGCAAAACAGGAAAGTTATCAAGTTACAGATTACGGAGCACGTGATTACATTATGACGTAACTATTATATTCTAACACTCCCACTTAATAGTTACATATTGTTCCAGTGTTCTTTGACAAGATTGAACGTTCAATAAATTTCTGAGTTTTTGGAATTGATCTTTAGATAATCCCTTGGTCATTATATCGGCTATCATATCCTTTGATGGACAATAGCAAACTTTTACTTCTTTAGACAATATTCGTTCGCGAACAAAGTGGTAAGCAACATCGATATGTTTAGTTCTGTTATGGAACTTTAGATTTCGTGCGATTTCGATGGCACCTTGATTGTCTTCGTGAACAGTGGTGGGCGACATGTGTTTTAGATCCCAAATCAGACAACAATCGTTGTAACCAGATTACCTCTTGGGTAGCTTGGCTTAGGGAAACGTATTCAGCTTCTGTTGTCGATCTGGCGACGGTACTTTGTTTCTTGCTAGACCAGCTAATCGTTGAGTTGGCTAACTTAAAAACATATCCTGAGGTTGATCGACGATCATCCAAATTACCGGCGTAATCAGCATCTGAGTACCTATGTAATTCGTCATTTTCATCACAACTGAATTTCAAGCCATAACTCATTGTCCCTTTAATGTACCTCAAAACTCGCTTCACTCCTTGAAAATGAGTTTTGCTGGGATCTGACATAAACTGTGACAGGACTCCGATAGATGCAGCTATATCTGGCTACGTGACCGTGGAAACATATGTCAAGCAAATAATCATCTGCTGGTAAACGCTCTGATCGGATTGTTCCTCACCATCGCATCTCTTTTGAAATTTCTTCCCAGTTTCAATTGGTGTGTGGACTGGATTGCTATTTTCCATTCCAAACCGATTCAGGATTCCAAGTATTTTCCTGATTTATGAATATTTCCTTTGTCGTTCGATCCCTTCTTATTGACATCCCGAGAACAAAGTGAATTTCTCCTTGATCCACCATTTCGAATCCTTTGCAAAGCCTTTTCTTCTCAGCATTCAGCATTTCGATGTCGTTAGAAACTGGGATTATGTCATCAACGTAGATTGCCAGTATCACAAAACTAATGTGACCATGTTCCTTTCGTTCAGTCTTCGTGTATATGCAGCTGTCGGCACCACTCTTTCTGTATCCGTTTGAAACCAGGAAACTATCGAGGGTTTGGTTCCAACAACGTGCGGACTGCTTTAAACCATACAAACTTTTCTTGAGTTTACAGACATAATTGGGGTGTTCGTCGTCAGCAAAGCCATCGGGTTGAGTCATGTAGATGTCATGATCAATTACTCCGTTTAAGAAAGCGGTCTTTACGTCCATTTGGTGTATCTCTAAATCATGCAAATTTGCCAAAGCGAGCAATGTCCTAATGCTGGAATACCTTGCTACAGGTGAGAAGACTTCTTCATAGTCAATACCATGTGTTTGGGAGTAGCCTTGTACTACGAGTCTTTCCTTATATCAGTCGATATTGCCATTGGCGTCGCGCTTGATCTTCATCACCCATCTCGATCCAACTATATTGCCATCTTTCGGTGGCGGCACCAATTCCCATGTTTCATTCGTCAACAGAGAATTGTATTCTGCTTCCAATGCGTGTTTCCACTTTTCTTTGTTAGCACTTGCCATTGCTTCTTTTAGAGATTGAGGTTCATCATTTTCAGACGTCAACGAATTGGTCAGCAAACATTATCTGGACGGAATCTAACGGGCGCTCTTCTCTGTCTGGTAGGACCAATGTCTTTTACCTGACGCATAAAATTTTCTTCGTAGGTATCTCCCACTGAAGGTATATTCTCTACTGGATCTTGTGTACCAGGATTTTCTGGATTGGCTTCAGGCTCTTCATCTTCTCTTGTTTTGCAGATGAAGAAATGGGTGCTATTAGAGCAGCTGGTGTCTTGGAAAGAATGAAATTTATTTTCATGGAATAGGACATCTCTGCTTCTGATGAATCGCTCTGCCTCTAATACATACAACTTGTATCCCTTAGTATTCTGAGGATATCCAACAAATATTGCTTTCTTAGCTTTGGGTTCGAGTTTGGTTCGTAGACTATCTGGGGTATGTACGAAACACACGCATCCGAATACTTTTAAATTTGAAACATCTGGTTTCTTTCCGAACCATCTTTCAAATGGCGTTTCATTCTTCAGGGTACTTGTTGCACTACGATTATGTAAATAAACAGCAGTATTTATTGCTTTGGCCCAAAAATGGAGTGGTAATTTGGCATGGTAGAGCATTGAGCGAGAACTTTCTAGTAGTGTTCTGTTCAGTCTCTCAGATACGCCGTTCTGCTCTGGGGTGTGGGGATTGGTAAGCTGGTGTTTGATTCCTTTTTCCACACAAACTTGACGAAATGATTCCGAGATGTACTCTCCTCCATTGTCAGTTCTAATTGACCCCACTTTATAGCCTGATTCATTCTCAACCATGGACACGTATTCTTTGAGCTTGCACGTTACTTCCGCTTTTCGTTTAATGAAATATACTGTGACGAATTTGGTGTAGTCGTCAGTGAACGTTAGTACATACTTGCTTCCACCCATGGATGCAACATTCATTGGACCACAAAGATCACTGTGAATCAATTGAAGTGGTTGGCTTGTCTTGTTGATGCTTTTCTTCGGAAAAGGTAGCCGATGCATCTTTCCCTGAGCACAAGCTTCACACTCTGTTGAATTCATTACTTGAACATTTCAAACCTTCAACTAGCTTCCCTTTAATCATCTGATTCAAGCAGGAGTAGTTCATATGACCATACCTGCAATGCCATTTCTCCAATGAAGGCATATCAGTACCAGCTACTTGGGCATATTCATGTGTACTCATCATATATAGCTTGTCTTCAATGATATGTCCAATGGTAATACTTCTGCCATCTTTCGAAACAACGCATCTTCCTTTATCAAACAATACTTCGGCTCCAAGTCTAGTCATGGCAGGTACAGATAATAAGTTCTTCGAGATTTCAGGCACATACAGCACATTGCTTAGGGTAAGAGTAATAACATTAGATCCATCATAACAGGGAATTTTGACCTTTCCTTCACCATATGCATCTATTGTACTATTGTCACCAAGGTATATATTAGATGGCATCCCATACTCACTATAGTCGAGGAGTTGATCGACTTGAAAAGTCATATGTTTTGTTGCTCCACTGTCAATGAACCAGTTGGTGTCTTGGTCTTTACTACTAGCACTTGAGTAGGAATCAAGAGCAATGTTATCAAAATTTTGTTTCTTTCCATCTGCCTCTGCAATGCTTGAGTGATGACTTCTACGATTGAGTGGGCAATTCTTCATCACATGGCCAACTTTTCTACATTTGAAACACGTCGGACCTTGACTTGATCCAAATTCGTGGTTCTGATTCTCTTTGAACTTGCCAACATTGCGATCACCTTGACCACGTCGATTTCTTCCACGGGACGACCAATTACCTCTTTTAGAAAATAGTGCTTCATTTTCATTTCTGTCACCTGAATTTTCACATTTGCGGTGTTTTTCTTTCTCTTCACGCTTGTATTCTTCGATGAGTAAACCTTTCACATTGTCCCAATTTAGTTCATCCGGTTTGGTAGCGTTGAGGCTAGAAATAAAACTGTCGTATGAACCTGGCAAACTTCCAAGCACTACGGTTGCGAATTTCTGTGGCGTTATTTCTTCTCTTAACTCTCGCAATTGTTCTGCCAAAGACGTCATGTACGTTAGATGTGTCATTATATCAGTGCCTTCTTTCATAGTAGCGGCGTAGAATCGACGATTAAGTCGAACGATTTGTGTTATCGAAACACATTCAAACTGTTTTTGTAGGATTTCCCAAGCCGCGCGAGGATCTATTGTCGACGAAATATGAACTTGTAGATCTTTCTGCACGCTGAGCGCGATTAACGAATATGCTTTGTCTGAACGCAGACGATATGAATTTCTTACAGTTGTTGTCGCCGTGTCATCCGGGGCAACCTCTGTTCCTTCAACAAATCCCCATAGACCACGCTCCATCAACACAAGCTTTATATTATACTTCCACGACTGGTAATTTTTGCCATCGAGGTGCTCGATTTTTGTAATCTCGGCCATCTTAAACATACGGCTGACTCGCGCTTTTACTTCACAATTTATCCCTTATCGTGTCAATATTCATACATACAAATTAGTACAGCTTCAACAACCGTTCTGGGCCCATAACCTGATAAAATAATCCGAAGCTTTGGCTTATAGAAAGAAGGTTTATTCAACAGTATTAACTTCACATAAAGCAGGCACATGTAGAAAGCGCCATATATCAAGCAAAACAAGAAAGTTATCAAGTTACAGATTACGGAACACGTGATTACATTATGACGTAACTATTATATTCTAACACAAAGATGGCACAATGGATAAAAATGTCAGACTTTGTCTTGGAAACATATGTTTCGTTGTTCTGTTTTTCATTTCTAAAGAAACATACACTTTTTCACTGTATTATGATAAAGCATTTGGTGAATAATTGTTGTGACATGAAGTTAGGATTCGCTGCATATTTATATCTTCTTTGTTTTGCAGGAGCTAAAGTTTGGCATATAATTAATGTAAAACTTTTGAAGTTTATAATTTTATATGCCTAATCTATATGCTGCCCAATTATTTACCAACACAATGATATCATCAAATCTTTATTTACAGACAAATATTACTCATCAAAAATGGCAATGGCACAAGAGAGCGAGAATACGCAGATGGACATTGAAGATAAAGTTGATGAATATACAAAACAACTGACAGCAATACCTGTGCATATGAAGACGTTTGCTGAATTACTTAGTATACTTTACGACGACAAGAAATTTGACAGCTCAGTTGCCAAAAAAATAAATGTCGACTTTCTTAAGGATTTTGAAAAGATCCGAGACGAAATAAGAGATGATGCATTTATATACATAAAAGTCCACCTTCCGCAAGTGGAAAAGATATTAGCCTGTATCCAATGTTTCTTTCAAAATTACAGAGTTTTATCGTACAATGATTGGGTTGAAAGTTTAGATGACTCTGATAAAGAAGTTCGTGAAAACAAAACACTTGCAACATTAGTTATGGAATTTCACCAACAAAAATCGACAAAACTGAAGGCAGATCAAAACAAAAGATTAAATGAAACTAGTGCAAATCTTCAGTTAAATTACGAGTTACAAGAAAAGATAGACACTTTCAATGAAAAGGCGAAGCATTATAAACGTGAGCCAAAAATTTCGTTCTTTCCCTTAAAACAAATTTGCATGTGGATTGATAATTTTCTGAAAAATAGATGGTTAAAAAAGGCTGCTAATGCTGAAAAAGAATTAAATGAATGGAAGGACAAAATTTTAGACGTGACAAACAATATGAGCAAAGCATTAGAAAAATACATGACTGCTGTTGAGCAAGTGGCAAGCTTATTTAAACTCCTTCAAAAAGATTTAGAAGACTCCATAAAAGCAAGGAAAGACAAAACTCGTATGTCCAATATGAAACGTCATTATTATGTTATGCAAAGAAAAAGCGGAAACATCGATCATCAAATTGAAAAGTTCTTTGCATCTTTACCAGGCATTCACACCGCCATCGAAGCAATTCCTGTGAATACGTTAGAAAGAGCTAAACAAATGGAATTAAATAGCATGGCAGTCGATATAATTGATACCATAAGTTTGCAACAATCGTTCACGCCAGCCCTAGTTTCACCTGACGCAGTTGAAAACAACGACGATTCTATGAGTTTATTACTTTACCAGCTTTGAGAATTTAGTAAGATTGCATGTTGATTCTAAACTTTTATGAAAATCATTCATCTCATGTAGATAGCCATGCAGAGGGGAAAAGTTACAGACTTTAAATAAATATGTAATAACAAGAACCATATAACTAGCTAGTAAAAACCTTTTGAAACTTAGATGAAAAACATTCATCAGAAAGTAAGAAAACCAGCCAATTCCAAAAGACTGCATAAAGGTCTAAGATAACTAAATATATTTATGTGAACATTAAAATACCCACTATTGAAGCAATTGAGCAAAAAATAGTGATGATGTTGCAATTATATTGGATGGAAAAAATACTGTCATTTAACTTCAATAGCGTATACAAAGAGGTTTCCATTGAGCTGGCACGATTATCCATAACAATAGTTCAAATCATAACGTCTAAGCCTCACCTCATGAAAAATAGAGATGTTATTAGAAATAGGGAGCAAATAATTGTATTTTCACAATCATTATGTATATATAATTGTGTATACAACAGCTACAGCTGTTGACTGCCGTATTTGACTTATCTATAATCTATCGACAAAATTTTAAATATATCCATAAAATTAAGAGTCGATTACCTTTATCACACGATTTTGTTCGGCCTATTTCCACGTCAGTTCCATTTCTCTTCTTGCGCGAGCCAACTCCTTTATTGTGTGAAAACATCGTTGCAGCCAATAAGTTTTGGCAGTTTTACGATTAGAATCCATTCTATCGTTGAATTTAGGTTTTCCAAAGACAACAAACTGAAAAATATCGTAAATGACGTTTCACGGGTTAGCCACAACATGTCAAAAACAGGCCTTAAAAATATGCCGGTATTTTCCGAAGCACTTCCATCACTCGATCAAAGACAAAACCTGGCCAATAAATTATTCGACGATGCAAAGTAAAAACAGAAAGGTCAAAACAAACAATTTTGGTCACGATCGACTTATACGACAAAACCCGCAAAATTTAAGCCTGGTTCTTACTTGCAACATAAGAATAAGCATAAGTGCTCTCACTAACATTACCTGCAATAAGCACAAGCATAATCATATATAAACATAAGAAGAATGGAGTCTTCATAATCTAGTGCTTATGCTCTATGCCGCAAATCAGGACAAAGCTTTACACGCGCAATATTATTTCATTATATCTACAAAATAGTACGAATTAAGTGACGTCCGCATGTTGTTTTTTGGGGTAAAACACCCTCAAAATTTCACTTACATATATTAAACAATTATTGAATGAGGAATCATTCAGACCGAGGTCAATGTTATGTGCCGCAGCAAAGCTGTGAATAATACTTGATATCATGCAAAAGCCGAGTTCCATAATTGTTTTATTATTCACTTTAACTAACTTAAATATTACTAAAACATATCAATATAAAACATTTTCAAACCCTTCCCTAATTTGTTTTCGTCAGACGGTTTATTCAAGTTCTTCTCATTTATATATGTTGAAAATACGTTCGAAGCCAGCTTCGTCAGTTTTTTAGTGTTACCCGCATCTTTTTTATTCAAAAGCTTTCGCAGATTGCCTTTAGAAACACTGGAAAACATCGCTATTATTTAATTTTTTTCAAAACCAGATTTTAATGGCGTTAGATAATAATTGTAGAAACTACTATTTGTAGATAAGACGTCATAATTAAAAATATCGTGAATTATCTGCTGGGAGTTGACCAATCAAAACCGACATTGTTCATGTAGTGAATAATAATACGATTGATATGACTGACATTTTAGGTTGCGTCTTGCTGGCGCCTCTGAATTTTCCCTAAAAGATCTGTTTGAAGATCTTGATCTGTAAATTACCTTAGTTTTATTCTTGTACCCAATGTAATTTAGTTTTTGACTGCAACATTGGGTTTATTATAAAAATAATCATAATAATTACTGACTCAAAGTATCCAATGTCATTTTTGACTTACAGCTATCTACAGCTAAATTTTTGGTTTTTTTATAAAATTTTGCTAAGATATATTTCGCAAAATTTTACGCCCTACTTTATTTTCCTAAATGAAAGTCGCATTAATAAAGTTGTGCAAAATATTGTTTCGAAAAAATCGCGAAATTAAGTAACAATAAGGTGTTTGGAATCAAATTGGAATGAAAGCAACTTCTCAATGCAATGCTCCCCACCTCCCCCATTTCACTTGCTGCTTTTTTATGCAAATTTTAGTTTGAAAAGCCCATAATGCAACATTTACATGACAATTGTTGCTATACATATGTAAATTATTACTAAGAAATGAGAGACGACGAAATCAACAACATAAACACGCATTATACGAAAACATTATTGTGGATCAGATTGCGTTGAAAGAAGGAATTTCAAAATACAACTTGGCGTTTGTAGATTCAGGTAAATTTTTTTGAATTTAACAATATGTGCTTGTTATCATATTATCATTGTTTGTGCGGATGAAACCCAAAAAGATTTAGTCTAAAGCCTTGAAATAAGAACTTCACTTTCACTTTTGTCATTGCACGATTAAATTGAGGAAGTAAAGCGTTTATGAACGAAACTCAATCTTAAGTATTTAAAGAAGCAAGATGGAAAATTACTGATGTAATACAAACTTGTGATCTTCATTCAATCATTTGGTGATTTGTGATTTAAAGCTGAGGTTTTCTGCATCTTCTCTATGTTATTTTTATTCTATTTTGCATGTAAAATGTAAACGATCAATTTCCAACTCATGTTATAGCTCTAGGTCAAGAATAAATAAATGATATCAACAGAAAATCAACAAAGAAATAGAAAAGTTTTATTATGTATGTTATTTATGACATAAGTTACGTATAACAAATTCAAATACAAAATGGCAACAAATCTTTCCTCGGATATTGTTTTGACAAATATACTGAGCCTAATGTTAACAAAATAGGCTGTTTTAAGAAATTTGATGTGCACTGATGCCAGAATGTCTTTCCAACATTAGAAAAGAATTTGCTTCCTAACGGATACTGCTAATTTAGGGAGATGTACAACTAAAGTTGTATACATATTCTCATGTATGCATGTGATCTTTCATGGTAGCGAATAATTATAAACATTCTAGCAAAAGAAATGTTGCAGTTGGTATTTCAAACAAAAACGTCAGTGATCATGGTGTAAATAAAATAAATTTTGAAATTATTCACTTCAATTCAAGCCTTTGGGAATGACGTGTTGTACAGATTTCTTATTCAAGCAGATCACAAACATGCAACTCATTCCAGAAAATAATCACTGACTAAAATTATGTCAAATTTCATTTTAATGATAACGCTGAAAAAAGATAAAAGAAAAATTGTTCACCAAGAATTTAACACGTAGATGTAAAATCCATTAAACAACATTTCTCCATGCATTGCATTTATACATATATAAAATCAAACGTCCAAAAAAGATATGACACCTCAAATTCATAATTCATAAGCTAGTTCATAAGCTAGATATGTTAAGTCTTATTAGTCTTCCGCCGCCTTTGAAGTCTTAATAGCGAGCAGACTACGAGTACGACCACGAGTACGAGGTATGTCATTTTGGCGCAAAAACATTGTTGCGACAACAAAAGCACGTAGCCATCATCAATCTGAGTAACCTGTTTTTTTAAAAACTCGTAGTTGCGACTACGATATCTTTGAAAGCAAAGAAAATAGGTATGTTTTCGTGGGTAGCCGCTGCACATGCGCATACAGAAAGTGTCCGTCGGTTTGTTTATCTGTCGTCATCCTCGGAGATAGTTGGACGTACGAACTATGACGAAGAGAGCCGTCTAGTGTGTTCGTTATTTTGTCGGGAAATACCCAATGTTGTTTTCCTAACAATTTTTCATTTCGTTCTGTTGATTGACTCCGAGCGAATTTTTGGTTAGAGAAACCTAACTTTGTTTCTTAAAGTTAATTCAAGGGAATTTTGTCATTAAGTTGTTAAGCTTGCTCATTTCTTTACTTTCAAATCGAAAGTTTACGGTGAAATTGTGATGTGCGTTAGAACAATATGACAGTGAATAAGAACGTACATATAGTACGTATGTAATACATAAGATATATGTGAAGTGTGAAGCGTCTGTTTGCTTACAAAGATGAAGCAGAAGTTATATACAATAAGCAAAGAATCGTCGGTGACATAATCCTGTGAAAATGTTGTTATTTTGAGAAATATCTAGAAACATTATGACTCAAATATTGACTTGTATTAAATTGCCTGTTGCGATTTATTCAGTCAAGAGGAACTAAGCATGAGCTCGATTCATCGATTATACAAACGAAATTTCAGTAATATGAAACCTCATAAAAAAGTAATTGAAATGCAGGGTGGCTGGTGAAGTAGCAATTCATGTATATAATACAATCTACTGTCTGGTAATAGGTCCAATTGGTATTATTCGCATTGCTTATACATCGCTCGATTTACTCATCCAGAGTTAGAATAGTTTAATCAAATGCCGAAAGCAAATAAATTAATTTTGCTTTCGAATATTGTGCGAAATACAAGTATTATTTGTGTGGTTTACAATTTTCCATCTATTTCTAGTGAAATACGATACGTATCAAACTATAAAGTCCATGAACAGGAAATAGAAAATACTTTCTATCACTTGCAATCATTGAGCAAAGCGTTTACTATCAGATATTGTTCGCAATAAGCACAAAATCTTTGGGAAAATATAGACTTCAAAACATGATTAGAAAAAAGTAACAGTAAAAAACACGACCCACGTCGTGTTTACGGTATTTGTTCAAACAAGCACCGCCCCCGAGCTAGCATTACCCTTCAATAAACGCCGTACGCGTGATGAGAAAAAATTAGCACCGCTGTACTTGTTCGAACAAATACAGTATTCATTGTTACGGGGAACAACGTTCTCTGAACGACATCTAAGATACGTCAGAAAACGTTTTTAAAACACAATCATAGAAAAAATAGTTTTCAGTGAAAAAAAACCTTTAAAAGTTGCAAGAAATCTAAATGACGTTACTTTTCTTGGTGCGATTTTGTGAGCACGTGCATTTATGTGGCTTAGGTGCAATCTAAGCTAAAACGTTCAAAAATGCAGAAATGGTTAAACATGTACTTAGTCATATAACTAAAATCAATATTTAAGTATTGAACGAGTTTGGTGTAAATGATATTAAATATACAATTTTATTTCAATTATGTTCATTTGCCTACTTCATTTAGCCCTATTTACTTGATAGGCTATCCACGTGTACGCATGGTGTACCTATTCTTTTGTTGTGTAAGAAATTAGTTTACAGGACTACTTTTGCGCATCCAGGCTTTACTTTAGAACCTTTTTTGAACGCAAATGTACATTTAAAACGAAACATGACCTGCAAAACTTTCTTGTATCTAGGACGCAAAGTGAATAATAAATAAACAGTAAAGTACTGCAAATATATCATCCGTTAAACCTAAAATAGTGAAGATTTTTCCCTCTAAAGAGTCATATATTCTCGCTAAATCAGTATTACCAATTCATCGATATTATTATTGACCAATAGAGACGTAGCTGCTTCTCAAAATGCCTTGTTTTTCACAGTAAAAAGCTCGTTCTGTTGCTTACAGCTAAAACAGCATTTTGACGACGCGATAACGACTACGAACTTCCTCGTGCCATTCCCTTTCACGGTCAAACTTCGAACTTGTAGTCGAACTCTTGCTAAAGCTCGCTAGTATTATTCACTATGTAAGCAATTTCGCTTTTGATTGGTCAACTACCTGCAAATACTTTTCGATATCTGTAGGTATGACGTCATATTTATAATTAAGGACGTCATTGAAAAAGCTGGTTTTAAAAAGAAAATCAAGCTTTCTAAAAACGATGTGAAAGCTTTTGAACAAAAAAGATGCAGAAAATACTAAAAAAGCGGCGAAGCTGCCTTTGAAAATACTTACAACATATTTAAAAGAGACGAACTTGAAAAACCAAATGACAAAAGCAAATTAGCGAAGGTTTTAAAAATGTTTTATACTGATAAGTTTTAATAATATTTCAGTTAGTTAAAGTGAATAATAAAATAATTATTGAACTCGGCTTTCGCATGATATCAAAAATTATTCAGATCTCGGTCAATGTTATCCGCCACAGCTTTGCTTCGGCGTGCAACTAACATTGACCTCGGTCTGAATAATTCTTCATACAATGCTCAACCTCATCCAATAATTGTTTATTATTTGCACGCAAACACTTGTTTGTATAGATTAGTGCCGGCTGCAGAGAGCTGCAAATTAAAAAACAACTAATGAACTTGAAAACTTTCATATTGTTTCCCCCGTTCATTCCCTAACGGAATTAAACATTTTCCAATGCTAGGATTCCTTGCCACCCTCTGGCACCACCTGGAGAAAGGGAGAAATCAAAAACTGTTCATAAAGTTTTCTAGATTTCCAAATTTCGCTGCATTAAGACACTCATTGTATCCGTTTATATATGATAAAACGGACTTATTTCAAACATTAACACTGGCTAACAATTTAAAAAAAAATTATTTTAAAGATTAATTTTGAAGATAACACAAAATTGTCCTTAGTAATAATTCAGATGAATTAATCATAAATTTCATCTGGAATCGTTAAACATAGCATTGCTTTGCTTCTCATTGAAGAAGTCAACTCGTGCAATCAACAATGCATAAATCTATTTGGTGATAACTAGTTTGTCATATAAAGCGAACTTTTGCTAAACGATTCTATCTGTTCACTAGGCGGAAAATTTGGAACTTAATCATAAGATTTCTAACTTAGAGTCAGCAAAATTTAAGGTGAGTCATTTTCTAAATTTCTGGCCTCCACATTGCATCTACCAGTACAATGATTAGTACAATTAAAATTTTATTCGCAAAACAGATATATTACGAGAATGGAAGAAGAGCAAAATGAGCATGGCAACGAGCAAATAAACATTGAAAATCAAGTTGGAACTTTCACAAACCTCCTGAATAAAATGCCGAAACATATGTTGACGTTTGCAAAAGCCCTTCAATCTCTTTATTACGAAAAGAAAGTTGGTAGTTCCTTTGATACCAACAACTCCGAAGTTGTTCAGGAATTTAAAAAAATGCGAGACGAAACAAGAGACGACGCCTTTAAATATTTAAAAGTCCACCTGCCCTTGGTGGAAAAGTTATTAACCTGTATTCAACATTTCTTTCAATATTACCAAGTTCTATCGTACGAAGATTGGGGAGATAGTTTAAAAGAAATTTGCGATGATGTTCGTCATAACAAAGAAAATGCACTAATTGTTGCAGAATTACACGAGAAAATGGAACTGAAGGAACGTCTCAACAGTGCAAAAGGAACTTTTCAAAAAATAATGTTGGATGACGATTTAAAGAAAAAAATAGAGAAGAACGAACAGGAGGCGGAATTATGTAATAACTCGGAACCTTCCAATTTACATCCAATTTTTAGTTTTCTTTCTGAAAATTTTTCAAAAATAAGGAAGAAGATATTTTTAGCAAACGCAGTTGCAGCTAAAAATGAGTTAGAGATACGGCATGAAGCAGTCTCAGCTGTGACCAACACACTGATTGAAGCATTGAACGAGTCTATAACATGTGTTAAGACAATAGTAAGCTTCTTTTCCATCATTGAGAAAGATATAGAATACTGCATTAAGGCGAATAATAAGTCGAGCAGTGAGAGCCATGTGAGACGTCATTTTCAAGTAATGAAAGGGAAAAGCCAAGATATCGGCAATAAAATTCAAATGTTCTTTGCGTCTTTACCTACCATTTATAGCTCTATCAAAGCAATTCCTATGGAGGATATTGACCAGAATTATGTTGAAGAGTGGCTGAACGATAAACTTGAAGAAATCGCTAACGAAATGGAAACACACAAAGGAATGATGAATAGAATGATTGATTTCATTTCTAACCGTGTTCCACGTGTCAAATTGAGACAAAATACCCCTGCTCTCCCACCAAGTAGAGACTTAGATGGTTCTTCACTTCCCTGATTTAATCGCTTCTTCAACCAACCAGAACAACATAATAAAGAACGCATTTTCATTATTAAACTTTGCATGGAAAAAATTTATCCGACAGGACTGTAGCCACCCTGAAGTGGCTGCACACTTTATTAAAAAATATTATTTAAGTAAGTGTATGGTTTAAATAATATTTATGATATTAGTAATTACTAGCACCGAAGTACTAATAAGTACTTAAGTAGCAGCCTCGTCCCCTGGCGCACTGATGCCTTGCTTTGAATTTGATGTTTTGAACTATTTGTGCAAAAAAGCGCAACGCGGGACGACACGCGCGAACAAAAATTGGGAAAATCGCGGGTCGATTCCATAAGTAATTGATTATAAAAATAGATTTTCTTATCCTCCAAATCTTCTAGTGTTATATCTGGTCTTCAAGCTTTACATGTTGTTCTCATTTTCTATTCCCAATTCCATCACATGCGCTTTGGTCTCCGCAAAATCGACAATTGTCATTCTCATTCATTCCTTAAGTCTTTTTTCATGCATTCGTATGTAACATTTGTCCTTGTAGTGTAAATATAGCAGCTACTTGTCATGCATTTATGTTACACCTTAACCACCCATGAAGATCTTTACCATATCCTGCTAGGATTTGACTTTGCACTTTCAGATAAGGCCATAACAACTAAAAACAATAGTCTGTTTATCCTAGAACTGACGGTTGTGTATAGAACCAATCTTAGGAAGCATTGTAAATATAAAGAGCTCATTTCTGATATTAGGAAAAAAATTAAATTGGTAAAATCATTAAACACTCCTGAGTGCACTTGGTGTTTTTGATAAAGAAATCTGCTGAATTTATAGAATTTCTTGAAAAATATTGTGCAAATAAGGACCACGAATTATTATTCGAAAAATTATTATCATTGTTATACAATCAACTTATTATATATTCTGCTGTAGAAACTAGCAATGGAAAAATTCTTATTTCATGAAATGTTAAATTGCATTGCACCCTTCATATTTTCTTTGGTTTGTAATATCAATTAATCAATTCTAAATTACCTAATTATTATTGTTTTTACTATTATTACCATCATTATTCGAACAAAGCACGACGTGCTTTGCACATGTCTACAGTTTAACAAAAATTTCTTACGTGATTTAATATTTATACCTTCTCTAAAAATACACATGTTAAAATTATTTGTTCCGGAATTCTTAGCTTACTTTTTACATGCGTGATTTGTTCATTCGGCACATAGAGTTATCAATTTGAATACACCACACGTAAACAAAAAGGTATAGGAATAAAATGCTGCTGGAGTAAGGTATGTTAAGGGGCTTGAGGTCTAGATGCATGAACGAAGCAGTAATGTGCTATAGGTATCTGGTTTAAACAATGAGTTACTTGACAATATTAAACAGTAAGAACAAAGCGATAACAACGATAACGGAATATTTAATTATAATAACCATGCTGAAACACATATATCATATCTGGAGAAATATCTACAACTAAGGAAAAAAAGTTATAAATCTTTCAAAAACTGATTCAGTATGGAAAACTGCCAACGAATTTTTTAAATTTGAATTATTACAAAATCAACCAATCAGTATTCAAGACATCAATTCCTCAATTACTTGTCGAAACAACACCATATAAGATTACTTTATGAAAATTATGGGCTTATGGATTGTATAAACAATGATGTGCTAAGTAAAGAGTATGAAAATCAAACACCAAAGAATTTGAAAAAAGAATTAAAATCATTAAAATTAAATAATGCAGAGTTGCTGAAATAAAATATGTTTCCCGTCTCCTACGTAATAAGCTAAGAAATAAATTAAGGTCAAGGGTTTTGCTTGTTCGGATGAGCCTTAAAATCATTAATCGCAATTTCTGGGGTTTTAAAAATTAATAAATTTTAAAGTGTCTTTATCGCTAATGTTCAGTATGAGCGGAATGTTACTTGTACTTCAAAAATATTTCAGCGAAAATTAAACCAAGCAAACTGTACCAGATACCGAGCTGAATTCCGAAATTATCTGATTCAAGTATTGAATTTGATAACGACCCTCCGACATATCTACAAATAACTAATATCATACCAAAAATGAAATCATCAAGTTCATCGTGGTCTTTTTGCTTCAAACGCTGTCCTTGTCCATTATTATTCAACCTTTTCATTAACACTTTTTTACAACATATAAAATCTGAAAAGCATGAACAATTTGGTTTCTCTTGTCAACCAATCAATGAATCCTACTCATTGGTTTTAATTTGTCGATGACGCTGCAATAATAACTAGCCAAGAATCCGAGAATCAACAACTTTGAATCAATTTTCAATTTGGTGTCAATGGTCGGACATGATTATTCGAGTAGACAAATGCAGCACTTTCGGAATCAAGAAAGCTGTCACCATATATGTACATTATCTACCGAAGTTAATTTTCAAGAGTTTTTGTCTGCCAGTTGCAGAGTTAGGACACCCATTTTGCTATCTAGGAAGACATATGGGTATATATAAACATATATAATACACATATATATATATATTAATGACTTACTAGTTGCTAGGATATAATCAAGTAGTCACTTGCATGTTACCTTTAAAAGAGAGATTTGCAACTGCAATTTTAAAATACACGAGGACATCTTGGTTACCTTGAACTAGCTTGACCAAAAGACAGACGTAGTGCTTTTTGAGGTAAAGGAGCTAGACAAGAAATATGATAAAAAGACGAGGAGACGAGAACGTTCGCAAGAAAAGCAACTTAGCAACCATTTTACTTTTGCACCAATCGTAAATCTTATTGCCCAGCCAATTTTCGTAGCTCAAGCAAAGAGATCGTCAGCTGGAGCGGTCACTGCCATGAAGAACAAAAAAATTAGTCAACAGGCCGCGCACATTGTCCAGCACAATCTTATTTCAACCCTATCAAATTTCCTCAACTGCTTGGAGAAGATAGCTGGTTTCTTTTCAAATCTTTGAAATGGATTTAAAGCAATAAAACAGCGATCCCAATGATGAAACGGAGCGTAACGATTATAGTGCAAATCATTACAAAATAGTCAAGGGTAGAAGCAACAATATATTGTGACAACTTAAAGTATTTGATGCTTCGTCACCAGCCATTGGAAGCACCATCAACTCCATTCCGAACGATGCATCGGACATGAACTATGTGCATGAATGGTTCACAAGGAAAGTGAATGAGATCAAACGAGAGATGAGTCACCAAACAATCCCTAAATTTTTTGAGAAAGTGAAGAACAATTTGCTGCCGCCAGTACGTCTTAGAGCATGATAAATAGACTGAGTCATGCATTACATGAAGTACTGAATGCCAATTAACTGCTCCTTATTTGCATACAAAACTAATTACGTTTGTTTCTTTTACTCCGTTTGGCTTCGCAAGATGTCTGTTTTGCAGTAACAGTAAGGTCATGAAAGTGGTGTTTTTAGTACGTTGACAGCAACAGGGAAGAAAGTATGACGTTTCCCCACATACTACAGTTTATTATTTAAGTGGTCTTTGACGTCACCAGTGCAACATGCTGACTCTATTTAAGCTCTTTAATAAAAACCATTTTTTTTAAGTGTCCGAAACATTGACATGGCTTTTCTTTCTTTTGTTCGCAAGTTTTCTTCAAATCGGATGACGGAAGATGTAAGAATATTACTTCATATTACTTACATAAATTTGCCTCCATACTCAAAAAATAATCTAAAATTTAATGCGTATTACTTCATGGATGTTTTCCGTATTAGTTGTTTTATTATTTTATCAGATCTTCAATTTACGCCCAGCCATTAAAGACGGGACAGGTGACAAGTGAAAGAAAAGCGTTCTGTTTGATTCCAACGTCTTCTTCACTACAAGTGACGATTTCACGCATGGAAAATTAGTATAACACCATTTACAAATAAATGGAGCGAAGTAACCATTTAAAAGCACAATTCAGAATGAGTGTCTTCAAGAAGTCTGCATCCACCTAATAGTCAAAATGCCTTCTTTGATTAAGTACATAAGGTCATTTTGAAGTTTCACATACTTAGTGTGAGTGTGCGTTAAGAATACATGCAATTTTACGTACCTACAGTCATTTGTCAATTAATAAATTGTTTTGGGTAAATATCTTACAGTACATATTTGACGTTACCTCACATCATCTGATTATTTTGCATACTTTAATTTTTCTGATTTATTTTGTTAATCATTTCTTGCTCTTTGTTCAGTGCTTATAAATTTGGATATAATGCATGTACTGGCGAACAAAATATTCAGAAGTTCCAACAGGTCTGATGAAAATTCGTCGATAGGTGCCAAGTAGTCAATATCCATTAAATAAATCATTGTGAAGAGAAATCAGATGATTTAATGCCGTAGGACATTTAGAGAAAATAGATTTTGTGCAATTTTATAATTCACACTGTGAATAAAAAACCAATGCATGTGATTAGAAGTGCACAAGCAAACCTTTATTTAAGGGTTAAGTCATTTGCCATGGAGCTTTTTTGTAACTTTAACATCTAAAAGCTGGTTTTAAATGCTTTTGATCTAAAATCTACTCTACTTAGTTTAAATCAATGAAAACAGTACACTTTTGAAACATATAATCATAATTTTGAAACGTTGTCTGATGTTGAATGTACTAAACAACCTGTTAAATTTTACATGATCAGTGAAAGCACGTGCTTTGGATAATAATCTACGATCATTGGTCCGACATTACTCTTATAGTCGACTTATAATTGAATTTTCCCTACCATTGCAACTTGTTAGCAGTGGCGAAGCCAGTCCGATCTTTTGCTCTTACAATGCAAACTTTTCATCAAAATTAATATTCATTTCCATGGAAAATCAATTCCAGTCATTGTTTTTGCGGAGACTAAGCACAAAACATTTGCATTGTAGGAGTAAAACATGGGCTGGTTTTGCTACGTTTTGTTAATTGTTACACATGTTACACTCAGTCTGATTGCAAATGTCGCAACACGGAATTTTTTTTATTCACGGCTTGTGTAAAACGAATTATGTTTGTTTTTGAGTGCTCATATCGATGTTTTTACATAAAAGATCCAATTATTTTCCAAAACAAATAACATTTTTCCAATTTTTGCTGGACCAAACTTTAGACATATTACAGGAATTAATGGGGTGTCATACCACCACACACTCCTCAATAGTTAATGTTCGCCTTACATGATAAACCTTGTTTCATGTTTTTATCCTTGAGACCTTGAACGACATTAACTAGGGAGGATTCTCAACCACTCAATTAAATACCCGTACGTAGAAATCTAGCAAGGAGGATGTACAATCTTAAACGTCCTCAAAATGGTGTAAAATCCCGCGTGATATGAACTTGCTTAATTTACAATTTAAGCACCTATTACATATCACGAAGTAGGGAATTACGAAGAATGGTACGCTAGTTATCTTATAATAATAAAGAATTAGGAACAATTATGCTGAAACCAAAGAAAAATAAACTAAAAGATTTTCACCGAATTGAAAAAGCGCATAGACAGGGCTGTCTAATGTTGTTTTCCAAAAAGATTAGACTAAAAGGATGGCTTCTTGGTAAATAAACATCATGTTTGGATAAGTTTTGCACGGTTACAAGAGCAAAAGCAGCAGAGTTAGTCGCTACTAAGTAAGGAGAAGAGATACACCATCATGCACGCAGGTGACTGCAATAGATTAACTAATTGAGGCTAAGTAGTATTGTCCAGATGATTGAACAAATAGTGGGCATCCTAAAACGCGCACAAATGATTTGAAATTGCAGCAGCAAAATCTAGACTAGCAAAAACCCCTTAAAAAGACACTTTATTCTTACGACCTCTCCTAGCAAATTACTGCTTAATCATGCAAATTTGTCACCATTTCTTTACACAGTGTTTTAGGCTACATATAGCTATTCTCAGCGACGATATAATGACATAAATTATTACAGAATAAACTCGACAAGATCATGAAAGAAAAAGAAATAAATCAGTAAAGAATTGAATATATTCCTGAATTTATCAGAAAAAATGATGCTTGACCCAACAGTCGAATCAAGATGCATCCCAAGCACCAATACGGATAAAAGAAAAAAAACTAAAGCAAACAAAAACACGAGTTGAATGTCACAAACCAAGCTCTCCATTCAAATGTTTTCTCATCCACAAGCTAATTTCTTTTGGTTAAAAATAATATCAACTTAAATAAGTGAGGATTGGTAAAAAAAGGGAAATGATGAGGTATAGTTTCATATCAAGTCACGTATGAATGATGATCAGTTTTTGAGAAGAATATCTTAATTTATCATTTTTTCTTTAGTTATGCTGTCTAATAGTAAGACTCCTAATGTTGCAACAAAGTTCCAATAAACAACTGCATGTTTCTATATTAATTGTGCTAATGATTTTGAGCAACTCATTAAGACGGTTATATTGTTTATGTAACACATGTAGCACGATGTGCAAGCTAAATATTCCCATAAGAGAAAACAAACCCGCCAAATAAAACGGATCGTTAAAACGCTGATGTAAGGTATGGTAGCATAGAAAGCTAATAAGTTGTTCACTGCAATCAATTCAGGTATGACTGGTAAGTTAACCATTTTGTTCCAGCATTTTAAATGCAAAGCTGTTCCTTTGTAACCACAAAAACGAGAACATTACGATTTATCTCTTTGAGTTGTTTGAGAGACTAGACTCATTAATTTTTATAATAGTTTCACTCAAAGATTCCAGATTATCTTCCAGAAAGCAACATTATAAAAATTGCTGTTAATTTTTCATTTATGTATAATGCCATGCATGTAAACTAGGCTTTTCTTTTCTTATTTCAAAGCCATAGATATTCTCAAAGCAAGTTAATACTGGATGGTTCTTCAATTTAATAGTTCGAGCAGCTTTCAATAAGCATCGGAAATGGATTCTTGACAATTGCATTAATCAATAAATTCGTATAGCCAACGGGAAGTTGCCGGAGAGCCTCCTAGCAGGAAATAATAAATTTACTATGATTTAATTTATTCTATGACAGTACAACTAATTTAATTGGTAATTTGCAGGGTTCTTATAATTCTAAACCGTAGTTACAGTACAATAAAATAAAAAAATTTCAAAAAGCATACAAGAATCAACTTCTAAATGCATTGGTAAAATTGTAGAAAATCTAGAGAATTACGTCACTTGTAATGCAAAGGGAATGTTTTGTGGTAGTCAGGTCTGGTCAAAGTAGGGGAATTTATGGTAACTCGATATAGCGATGCTTGAACGTATATTTTAAGCATTTTAAGTGTAAATATCGATCCTTTTTAACTTTTCTATTTTAAAATTTATATACTTAGAAAAGCCCATCATTGAAGTGGGTTTTGCAAGATTTTGCTTCTGTAAGCATTTCATGTAATTTGAAATATATTTATGACATGTAACTTAATATGCAGATTACATATCACCGGATAAACACAGATAAACACAGATAAAAAAAAACAAAACAGATAAACACAGATATAAACACAGATATAAACACAGATAAAACTCAGATATAACGCGATAAAACAAATTTCGAAGCTATATGGATGCAAGTTCTTAATCTTTTTATATTAAAAGCAAATCACAACAGCAACTGTCTACAATCAACAAAGGTGAGTAGCATTTTTTGACTTTCAAAATATCACGGCGTTCCAATTTTGCGAACAGACTACTAAATCCAATGACAACATTACAACAAGATTTTAGGTATAAACTCTGCGAGTTTAGACAACATCTGCTCTTCCATATTTAGAGAAACAAAACAATATCATTGAATTCTGGACGAGCACCTTCTTGTTCATTAAATTTACCACTTCACGTGAAATGAAAATTTGTATAAGAGTACAGATGGAAGAATAATGCATGAAGATCATTAGAATGACATTCCACGATTGAAAAAGTTGAGAAATTTCAATGCTATCTTTGAAATTCTGTGAAGGCGTATTTATAAAAGTACAGCATTGAGCTGTGTGTCTCAGCAGCATATTCGAGTAAGAGGAAAAAACTAAAGTAAAATAAAAAACAAATTTTCCCGATAAGTCAACTATTGTTGATCAGGTTTCGTAAAATACTGATTTTTTATGTCACGTGACTGACCTGAGATAGAAGTATTTAACCTTGTTAACAACATGCGTGTACGCACGTTGATTACATACCGGAAGCTTGGTATGAAAACTACTTCGTAGAAAATTTTTTTTGAAGAGAGCCATAAAAATCGTGTTAGGGCTAAATTGAGTACGGCCATTGTGAAGGTTATCTGAAAATGACGAATTACTTGTCGAACGTAGTGGAACCAGTACTAGACATGGTCATAAACTTTAAAATGAAAGATAGCGGCTGTGACATATTCATTGCCTAACCTTGATACGCAACTGGTTGTCAAATAGAAACCATTTAGAAAAACTTTCCGATTAAAACATCGTAATATCTCCTGAAATATATATTTTTTCAGTTCCAAACTAATGTCGGAGGTATATCTCTCATAACTTAACATAATGACTACAAAGAGTCACGAAACATGTGATCGTTTGAAAAACTAAGTAGATTTCTCTTTTATATAAAAATTTCCCTTTCTGTGCACTGATTGATTAAAATCTCAACGTAAGATCATCAGCAGGTTGATTCAAACTACAGGGAGCAGTTTCATCACATCAATTAATCTAACTGCATAGCATTCACTCTTGATTGCACTTCTTTTTCGTAACTTCTTTTGTTTGTCGAGAAAAAGCCCTAAGTAATAAAAGCTTTTCACTTGTCTCAACTCATGTCCGTGCGCTTCACTCACATTTCTTAACAGCTCTGCTACTTTTTGCTGCAAATCATGGTCTCCGTCTTCTTAAAGTTTAACATTAACATGTGTTTTTCTGACACTATTGCCATTACAGAAGTCTCTTATGCAGTTGTTGTGCACTGCTAGCCACGATCATCAGGTCGTCGGCAAAAGAAGCTTCCAAAGAGCATCTGCTTTCAGATGTTCCGAGAGGACATCGATGACAGCCGCAAACAAGTGGTAACCACTGATCTCGAAATAAGACTGGATCAAGCATCTAGCACAAATGTTTAAGACAAAAATAAGAAGCGCCGCCATTACTAAGGAGCCAACTTTTGAAAATAAGGAGCAAATATACTATGGATTTATACGAGAATAATGAAGAATTTTCAACATGCAACTGCATGAGCATAATAAAGAGATAAATCAGTTTATAGATAAGCTAAAAATACGATGAAATATGATGAAATATGATCAAAATGCCGCGATTTTTGTCATCGGTAACTCCACTGTGGTATGGAGAAACTATGGAAAATAGCCCACAACTGCATGGAAATACTTAGAGTTGTTGGAATCGTAGTTGAGAAGTACAAACTGATTAAATAATCATATTAACGGTCATAAACTGATCAATCCTATAAAATTACAAGCCTTTTTAACGAGTGATTCGGAATGAAACCTGTATGCGTTTTGTTTTATACGGCCGATTATTCTTTCTGACTCGCTTTACTATCGCCACAAAGGTTGTTTTTCATCTTCTGCGTTATCTTAATATCTGTCATATTTAATATTTCCTCGACTAAGGGCGTTCAAAAATTATACTAAAAATTTATAGTTCACGCTTTCTACCTGATCTTTGAAATGATCCAAACATTTTTTTTTACTTTTCTGCCCAACAAATTTTGTGGTCCGTATGCCAATATTGTCATCCTAAATTACTGTATTCCTTTCAATTTCATGGTCCTTAATCCGTCACTCTCCATATTTCCACTAAATTTTCCGCATGTCTTTACGAAGACTCTGTCATTAATTTGTTTTAATTTCCTTTTTTTTTGAAAGGGCAAGAAATCAACCATGGCACAAGAAAATGATGATACGGCCGTTAATCGCACTGACCACGAAATCAGTTTGCTATTAAATCATCTCAAAAACATGCCGGACCATATGAAAATTTTTTGCTCGTCATTGGCATCACTCTTCAACGAGGCGAAAGTCAGTAGCATTACGGGTGGCGAAAATGGCGTTTCTGATGTTGTAGGTATGTTTGACATCGCTGAGAAATTCAAAGATATCAGGGAAGAAACAAGAAAGGACGCAATCGTATATCTGCGCGCTAACCTACCGATTGTGAAAGAGTTTTCGCTCTCAGTTAGGGATTGTCTGGAGCACTACAAGTTTTTATCATTTGAAAAATGGCACACAATCTTTCCTCGCATACTCAGTGAAATAGAAAAGAGCGAAGCACTTGCGCAGACTATTTAAAAAATGCACGAAGACATCTTGAACAAGTGTAAGCAAAGGGCAGACGTAGTGCTTTTTGAACTAAAGGAGCTTAACAAGAATATGATGAAAAGGCGAGGAAACTTAATGAGGACTTTCGTAAGAAAAGCAACTTAGCAACCATCATGACTTTTGTACCAATCGTAAATCTTATTGCTCCGCCAATTTTCGCCGCTCAAGCAAAGAAATCGTATGTTGGAATGGTCGCTGCAATAAAGAACAGAGAAGTAAATCAAGAGGCCGCATCTATTGTCCAGGACAATCTTATACCTGCCCTATCAAATTTCATCAAAGGCTTGGAGAAGATAGCTGGTTTCTTTCAAATCCTTGAAACGGATTTAAAGCGGTACAACAGCGATCCCGATGATGAAACGGACCGTAACGATTATAGTGCAATTCACTATGAAATCATCAAGGGTAGATGTGATAATATATTGCGGCAACTTAAAATATTTGATGCTTCGTTACCAGCCATTCAAAGCACCATCAACTTCATTCCCAATGATGAATCAGACACGAACTATGTGCATGAATGGTTTACAAGCAAAATGGACGAGATCAAACGAGAGATGAGGCACCATACAATCCCTAAATTTTTTGAGAAAGTGAAGAATAGTTGGCTGCCGCCAGTACGTCTAGCCTTAGAGAATGATGAATAGACTGAGTCATGCATTACATGAAGTATTGCTTGTCAATAAACTGCTCATTATTACCCGATCGTCTGACATTTGACAAAGCGAAAGATCCTACATCAGACCTTTATGAGGGATTTGAGGCTGGTGAGGATGACATTCTAGGGGAAGCCTCGGTCCCAGTATACACAAAGAGGAAGGCTATTGAAATGTACTTAATCCTAAAACGATGTGACGAGGAAGAGAAACTTTTAAACTTGGAAATAGAAAGGCTTCTATTGTATTACACCAATCTTAGCTCAAAAATTGATGAAGCACTTGCCGATATTGGTGATTTGAGTAGCGATGAATTCATGCTTGGTTCAAAGCATGAACTGATAAGATTTAAAACCAAATTGCGGAATGAGTTGTTCAGCTTGAAGAAAAGTTTTGAGCTTCCACTTGGAGAAACGTTTCTTCTCCATGCTGAGATTGTCAACTTAACCAATGATGTCAACATTCCCAATGAATCTGAAAGCTCACCGTATGAGGAATCCGATACTGAAGATGAAAACATCGGAGAGCTCTCAGAAGTGGACAGTGACATTGAATAGACGACATAGCTACTATTCGTAAACTAATAGCTACTTTTTGTGTACTTATTATGTAATTTAGTTGTTCACGTATCTAGTATAACTGATGTCACGCAAACATTTGGTTTTGTGACGTCATGTTAGTGCACAGTCATTTTCTCTTCTTCTGTACGACACCGGAAGTTTTGACCCGTCGTTTAATTGTGAGAGAACTATGTTCTTTATTATTTATCAATGTCCTACAAGTAAGAGTTTATATGCGACATATATCCCAACCAATTAGCTCTGTCTGCCCAACCCAATTCATCTAAAATTGTGAGCATTCATATTATATAAAATAGCCGAGACGTATCCAAAGCTTTGTCAGTTGATCAACGGGGTCTGGGGCGAGTTTTTGAAAACACCGAATTTCATGATTTGTCCGTCTAAATCATCCAATTTGTCTTTTAACGTTACAATCCTTCCCATGTTTCATATTTTGCTCAATATTAACTCGAGATTAACGAGATTTACAGATCGAACACTCTTGTCATGTTGCACGCCTACCGTAATCATTGCACGTATTACGTATCACGCATTCTTGCCGTGAGCTTCAAATATTCTCTACGCAATACCAACCCTCCCTACAATCAGATGGAACATCATTCCCCCCCACTAAAAAAAGGTTCTCGATATTATATACAATTAACACCAAAAATTAAGCCTTTCCTCAAATTATTCTTATCGTGTGCCTCTGAAATTTATGTTAATTAGGGGCTGCGCTAGCTATTTTAAACCATACCATTTCCGTAAGACATTGGTTAACATTTTCAATGGCGTCGATGTGGCTAATGCCAGAATAAAAGTAGACATGATTGCTATGAATTCTCTTCACCGTAGGAAAACACTTTCGTACAATGAACCCACACTCTCGAACAGATATACTCTTATATTTATTTCTCAACACTTTTAGAACATCTGAGCATTTTACGCGACATAAGGAATCTTGATGAAACAGAGCTGACAACCTATAATAGAGTCATATATAACGATTAAGGACACAAGCGACTGCGTTCACGGATTCCGGTTGACAAAAAAACACCACAAGTGGAGACATTCTCACCAATTTGCACGAGCTTCTCGAAAGTGAGACGGTTTATGTTTTCTTCTTGATGCATCTTTTTTCGGCATTGCTTCAACTCAAATGACATAATTGGGCTTTAATATAGACGGGCACGGGCAGTACAGTTTATAAGAGTATGCAACATATGTGAATAATGTCCATTGTCCATATATAAAATAAAAACAATAGTACCCGCTCGGTGATTGGTCTATAGCCGTGTGTGCATTAACCTGTGCAAACCGACTTCAACTCAACCAATCAAATCAATCTATTAACCAAAAAAAATTTGCATATCGATGTAAATTTATCTGTTTCGAATTATTGTTTTGTATCATTGTATACAAGAGGTAAAAACTGTTTTTCGTGTTTGCACCATTGCAATGGCTGATGCAAACCTTGAAGCCGTTTGTGGGAACTCGAGCAGATGCAATCGTGCAACCCAAGACCTTCGGTCTCCTGCTTGCACTGATCTGCTCTCAAGTTTCCCCAAAGGTCTCATTGGTTTGCATAAGGCAAATTGTATTTCTTAGATGATATATGGGCATATGTGACGTAAACGATCTAATAAATGCCCTATATTAAATTAACACCTTATACATATTAAACGCCCCCCCCTCCTTGCAACGCTACTTACTAATAAATTCCGTCGTCGATAGACACCCACCACCTTCACAACATTACCTTTATAATATATTAATTATAGTGGGTTCACAATTTGGCTTATAAGAAGTTTAGTTTGTCTTAGTTTTGTTTTATTTGTTCACACAAACAACTAATATACACGTCTCTCTTTTCATTTCGCTGCACCACAACATCTAGAATTGATTAAACGCCCTGGCCGTTGATAAATTCATTTACGGTACCAACGAACACTCAAAATAAAGCAAATGAATGAATGAATGAATGAATGAATGAATGAATGAATGAATGAATGAATGAATGAATGAATGAATGAATGAATGAATGAATGAATGAATGAATGAATGAATGAATGAATGAATGAATGAATTCATAAATGAATTCCACTTTTAACATTTCGAGAATTCCGCTGCGTCGACATTTTCACTTTACGGTGCTTTTTGTGAAATAAACAGCACCGCATAATCCAATATCATCGAGCATATGTGATTGTTACACAAAAGTATGCAGTAGCCAGTAGCAATGTTTTGTTACAGCAAATAGTTGACAGTTGTGGCTTTAAATTTTTTAACAAATTATGTTTCAAATAAAAGATTGATTTTTTTAGTTAGTACAACGACCATACTAGCATGGACCTTATTAGTAGCAGAGTATGTAGCATCTTATAATAAAAACAACCCCCAAAAAACCGATCACGTTCTTTTCTTAACATCAGAATGTTACTTTAGAATGTGATTGTAGGGAGGGTTGGTATTGCGTAGAGAATATTTGAAGCTCACGGCAAGAATGCGTGATACGTAATACGTGCAATGATTACGGTAGGCGTGCAACATGACAAGAGTGTTCGACCTGTAAATCTCGTTAATCTCGAGTTAATATTGAGCAAAATATGAAACATGGGAAGGCTTGTAACGTTAAAAGACAAATTGGATGATTTAGACGGACAAATCATGAAATTCGGTGTTTTCAAAAACTCGCCCCAGACCCCGTTGATCAACTGACAAAGCTTTGGATACGTCTCGGCTATTTTATATAATATGAATGCTCACAATTTTAGATGAATTGGGTTGGGCAGACAGAGCTAATTGGTTGGGATATATGTCGCATATAAACTCTTACTTGTAGGACATTGATAAATAATAAAGAACATAGTTCTCTCACAATTAAACGACGGGTCAAAACTTCCGGTGTTGTACAGAAGAAGAGAAAATGACTGTGCACTAACATGACGTCACAAAACCAAATGTTTGCGTGATATCAGTTATACTAGATACGTGAACAACTAAATTACATAATAAGTACATAAAAAGTAGCTATTAGTTTACGAATAGTAGCTATGTCGTCTATTCAATGTCACTGTCCACTTCTGAGAGCTCTCCGATGTTTTCATCTTCAGTATCGGATTCCTCATACGGTGAGCTTTCAGATTCATTGGGAATGTTGACATCATTGGTTAAGTTGACAATCTCAGCATGGAGAAGAAACGTTTCTCCAAGTGGAAGCTCAAAACTTTTCTTCAAGCTGAACAACTCATTCCGCAATTTGGTTTTAAATCTTATCAGTTCATGCTTTGAACCAAGCATGAATTCATCGCTACTCAAATCACCAATATCGGCAAGTGCTTCATCAATTTTTGAGCTAAGATTGGTGTAATACAATAGAAGCCTTTCTATTTCCAAGTTTAAAAGTTTCTCTTCCTCGTCACATCGTTTTAGGATTAAGTACATTTCAATAGCCTTCCTCTTTGTGTATACTGGGACCGAGGCTTCCCCTAGAATGTCATCCTCACCAGACTCAAATCCCTCATAAAGGTCTGATGTAGGATCTTTCGCTTTGTCAAATGTCAGACGATCGGTTAAACTGTTTATAAAATCACGAAGAGAATCAATGGCAGCATTGTGTTTCTCAATTGTTAATTTCATCTTGTTCGTGATCTTGGTGATTTGCCTGGACAAGCGAGTGGCAATTTTCTGACCATCTAAAGAAGTAAAAGGAATACAAAATTAACATTTACAAGAACAACAAAAGACAGATATGGTAACATAGCTTACGTTACAAGTATTCGAAATATACAGTGCATTACAGTACCTGCATACTTCTTTCTCAATGTTATTAACAAATGCCTTTCTATGGAAAGTCTATGTAAAGCTCCGATAGTATCTGTTCGTTTTCCTTGTATGACTTGCAATGCAACGACGTCAAAATTAGGATGACCAGGTTTCCATATTTCTTTTATAGAATGCTTTCGTTCAATATCTTTTAAAATCTTTCAAAACCTGTTTACATAAATTTTGCGCGTATGTAAAAAAAAGTTTAAAGCAAAATATTGCTTTGACACATTTATACATACTGGTATAGTTTTTTCGACATCTGATGAATTGAGTAATCTTCAGATTTTATCTCCTGGTTTTCTTCAAAACATCCGAATGATGTAGCACTAAGAATTTAATAATTCACCAATTAGGCTCAAAAGAAATATTAAAACGTCTATAGGCATGTATTATAGAGAAATAGCCAGTTTAGTACATTAAAAAACCTACCTTAGTTGTTTAAAATGCAGTAGCTTTTGAACGTACGTCACTTTCCAGTTCTCCGTGGTTTCTTTATGTTCTGTATTTAAAAAGTACGTCTTTAAATCCTACAGACTGAATTGTTAAGAATGAAACTATTTGCCATGAATGACATTATATACCTGGGTAGACTCTTGACATAATTTCCTTCTCTCTGGCCTCCCACTGACAAACAATTTCAGGATCGTACGTCACTAACAAACAAAATAAATTCGTATTTCCTTGGATGCAAATTGAATTGAGAGTTTGGTTAGGCAAAAAGAAATCTTAAATACTTTCGGCCACAGAAAACATAAGAAATTTCTAACCTACCAGAACTACTTACCAGGTAGTTCGCTAAATAAATCCTTCATTTCTTGTTGCGTTTAATTTTAAGTTGTAGACATTTTTTAAGCTTCGACGTTAACGATTTTCCTGAAACAAATCATATACAAAAAATTAAAACAATTAAGGCGCAACAAACAAATAAAAACATTTTCATTGTGTCAACGCATAGTTACACATAAAGCAATGACAATATTCAAGCACCTGCATTGCTAAAATTTCTTCGAGATAAGTGAAGAAGCGCGTCTGTCAAAAGATCTACTCTTCTACTGGCAGACATCTCCTTAGTAATTGCAGAGAACCCACGAAGGTAAGCCCAGAGCCTTTCAATAGCCTCACCATCTGTAAGACCAAAACCGTCGAGCCTTCTAGGACTGAGTTTGACCTGTTTTTTTGAAGACATTAAAAAATAATATTTTACCTACGGGGGCTTTTAATCAAGGAAGAAACCAGAGCAGAAAAGATTGTCTTTCTTCAATCGCTACATCATTACCCAGGGATGTACTTTTCTGGAGGGATTAGGAACAGCGAATACGAAATTCTGAATATTAATAATAAGACACTAAATATTATTAAAGGGTAATAATAGATCTCGTTAGCACAGAATCGTTTTGTCCTTTGTCCCTTTGTCCTCAAAATTGACACAGGAAAAGAAATTATAACCCGACGATTTGTTCTCCATACTACCTCATCAAAGATCAAGAATATTGATAATTACGTGCAAACCAAGGCTAAGACAGTGCTGAAAAATCGTCCAAGGTGTGAATGCCGACTGCAACAACTACCAAACAACTTTCAAACAGCTTCTGTAACTTCTCCTGCCTTAAATATCTGACAACTCTAAAATAAGGTGGAGCACATTATAGATTAGCGCATATATAACAATTGTTTTATCACTGTAAAAATAAACATGACAGTTTACACAATCAAGTCATAGACCATGCATAAGCATGATAAATTAAAGGAAAAGAAAAAAGTGGCTGTTTGTAAGCATCCATGGAATGAATGGCCACACCTAACTCACCAGTCTAAAGCAAACAAAGCTCTTTAATAAAATGAAATGAATTTTATGGTAAACATGTAACACTTCATATTTCACAACAACTTTAAATGTTCTGATAATATATGTGACAAAAAACATATAATTTAAAATAGTTCACAAAGCAAATAGTAGAAAAAAAGAAATCAAATACTGACTTGTGGGCAAAGAGGGCAATTTCTATAATCAATCAAGTCTTTCTGTATGAACTTTAATGATCTGACTTGGTGTTTGAAATATCTGAGAAAAAAATCAAATTCTTAAATGATATAATATATACAGTCAAACCTCTTGTATCAAATGACCCTGTACTAAGCAGATACTGTGTAAAATCCAAAACTTAATCTCATATAGCTAATAATAATGGAAGTATAATGATGAAACCTCAATCAAGCTGACACTTTCATTAAGCCAGTCAAAACACTAGTCTGTTGTCCAATGGTGTGTACTTAAAATGGGTTAGACTGTACTACTCTACACATATAATCTAACTATTAGGTCTACAATAACTGTAAATAGACTTTTGTTTTATAACATATAACATACCTGTATTCATCGAATGATCCATTGTTTAACACATTATATATGTTTTTGACCTTAACAAGAATAAATTGAACACCTAGTAAACTTGTGCATTTGTTTCAAAAATAAAATAAGGTTGAATACAAAGTCATAACAGCAAAGGAAACTTCATGTGCAATTTGAATGTGCTCTTACCTTATTTGAGGCAAATACGCATTATTTTTGCAAAGTACAACCCATCTATTTCCACTATTTCATGGGTAGACTATCATATGGGTACACAATTGAGGTTTATGAGAAATACATACCAGTCTAGGTAGCATTTCAGGATATTCAACTTCAACAGTGCTGCAAAATTTGTGCGAGGATACATGGCTCTTGAGCAAGAATTTTTCAGCAAAATCCATGAAGTCAAAGTGAAATGCAATTTTGGGTTTAGAAGATGAGCCTGGCCACAGCTGGAGTTTAATTAGTTTTTCAGCATCCTTAATACACTGACAGAGTTCAACAATTTTTAAATGCTGCCGACCTAAATTTTGTATGAGATTAAAAATTGGATTAATTGATATGCAAATAATTAACATAGAAATTATTGGCCTAAATGAAGCTATGCTTAACAGTATTACTAACATATACACATTTACATGTAGTCTAAGTCAAAATACTATTATTGTTGCCATACTGTACCTTTCCATCCACACATATTATAGTACGTGATTGTGTTGAAGAGCAGTTAGCATGCTGACTGTCACGTAATATACCACCAAAAAGTAATGGAACAAACATTTCACAATCAGTCTAAAGAGTAGTTATTTAAGCATAAGAACATGTATACATTCTATAAGGCACCATGCACAGCATATAGCAGCATATCCTTCTTGAAAATGATTGATAGTTTTAACAAAATACTACAGATTAAGTTACTTTAGAGTTAAGACATGGTTGTAAAAAATTGCCAGCATTTGATGAATACTAGAGCTTAACAAGCCAAATTCCAAATGTAAAAGCAAAAATATTTCATCTGAAGAATTGACTTTTGGAAATAATCACCTAGAATTGCCTTCTAATAGACGACTTAACTTGTTTATGTTTTGCTGGCAGGCAAATTTTATAGGGATTCATCTGTGCCGCCAGAAAGAATTAAGCTTACCTTCCATACTTCAACCAAATGGAAAACATTCCTCGTTCGATGAAGGGATTCCGCACACTCAAAACAGTAGAACTGTCCGTGACTGCAATCACGACATCTAATTTCTGCTTTCTTTGCTGGTATCCCATCTTCTAAACATTTTACGCAGAGTTGTCCTGGCAACATGGCACAATTTTCGATGTACGACTTTACTAAATTATCTTGCAAACACTTCCAGGATTCGTTTTCATTCACTCTCCTCCTTTCATATCGAGATCCAGTTCCACGTAAATTATTTGTACCTTCGTTAAGGTTTTCTTGAAAGCCTTCAAATGTATCGATCGTGCGAATGGGAAGAACAACATTAGGAGAGAGAGAAATATTTTTCCTACTAAGTTTCCCAGACGCAGAGTATGTCTTCACAGTCAAAGAGTATGGTTTTTACTCTGCGATTGCCGCTCCTACTGAGCGCCATCTTTTCTGTCTCACACTAACAGTGCCCAGAGATATTGAGGTCAGGAGAGACAAACATAGCCTTTAGATAGCACAGAAAGCAATCTAAATTGGCTATCTTCCGCATTCTAAAATTTAGAACTCTGAGTAATACCCATTTAGAATGAGCGAAACGGGTGATATAATAGCAAGAGTGCGTCAAATGCAAAGAACTGTTTTAATATTATTATCTCCTGCAAAGTTAACACATTTCAACGTAGAAGTAATGGTATTTCGAAGTGCCCTAATGTATCCTTTCCAGTAAAGAAACCATTGTCTTACTTCCGCACCCAGTGCTAAAGGATTGGACGGATCGTCGTGATAAAAAGCAGAAACGTATTTAAAATTTTCCTTCCAGTCAATTCCCCTCTCCTGAAGTGAAATCATTTTAACAGGTAAGACACTCAAGCCTTTTTAGATTGTAACACTGTCCATGTCGAAATGGGAATTCAAAGACGAATGAAGATGATCTATTAATGGTTTAGTCACAGTTAGTTTGTAATGCTCTAAACAAGAATCGCAGAGTGAGTTCGATCAAGTGGTTTGTTTTGCAACAATCCTTTTCCTGCTCTCTTCCAGATTCACCTTGCCAGAGAGTTTCAAAGTTTGTTTATACCACAATCTATAAAAATGATCCACATTAGTTCTCATGTTAGCAACATCCTTTTTTAACGCAGTAATCATTAAAAGACCGTCCATCTCATCAATACTTTTTCTCTGTAAAAACTGTGTAACAGGAAGCGTTGTATCAAGAACATTCGTGCTAATAATTAAACAAACAATAAAATCAAACGATGTAACTTGAGTCAACAAGGATGAGGCATCAGCTGAAACAGAAGGTTTGCAGTTACCCTCTGTATTGTTAACCATATCCTGCAAAGTACTGACTAAAGGAAAAACAATTTGAAAAACGTGTCCAGGCTTTTCACACGTTCCCTCCATCTGGTCTTGCAAAGACTTACTAATTTTCTTTTTTGTGTTTCCGCCAGAGTCGTCAATATTTGCTGCAAAAGGAACATTACGAGTCTGGGAAATGTTTATGAAGTTAGCAGCCTCATTTACATGTTTAAGCATTTTATTCACTTCAACAATGTTCAACGTGTCACATACAACTAAGTTTAAACGATGACTGTAGCAATGTGTATAAACTGCTTTAGAATTAAATCGCAAAATATGTGCAGCCAAACCATTAATATGCTCAGCAATATTATAACAAGTTTTGTCTCCCCCTATTCCTTGGATATCATGACGTCTAAATACAACAATAGCTTCATTCCAATGGCGAAAGGTTTAGAATATAGTCTAGTTATTCTTGAGCATTTAGATGGAAAGCGCTCACCAAATAAAACACAAGCCAAACAATATGCACCATCTTCTGAAGGTGAATAACAAAGCCAGTCATAATCCTCAAACCATCCATACTTGAATGATCTCTTATTTTTATCACTTAAGCAAGGAAAAGAATAGTAAATTGGACGCTTGAATACAATTTTTATGTTCTTTAGAAGAAAAGGTTTCATTTGGGGTTTTGGTCTTAGTAATATTAATCACAGGCTTTTACGAAGAAACTGGAAATATTGCAAACTCCTTAAGTCTTTGATAATGATGCTAATTTTGCTTTTTTAGAAACTAATGGGTGGGAAAATCTTGAAGTTTTTCTTTTCATTGCACCTGTAACTCTAAAATAAAAAACTAAAGGAGCAAAATGGCCTGGGTGAAAACTTTGTTCCGATTCACAACTCCCTTGTAGCAAAACAAAATATGAAGGTCAATTGGAGGCTTATTCAAATATGTCCGTGGATGAGTCAGGGAATTAAATGTCGATCGATCCGCATGGTACATGTAGCTATTAATTTTCTGTAGTTACCAACATTATCCAGTAAGATCATTCTTTTATAAATTAAGTTCTCCCAATTGGAATAAGAGAAATGAGCTTAAACGCTGTTTGAAATTGTAACATAACTTTAAATATAATTGCATAATTGTGATTTCTGTACCGATGAGTTGAAGCTGTCACAATCGCCACTTTTCCTGAATGTATAGAAGAGCTTCTGTACATCATTTGAAGATATTTTAGAGTATTATTTCTCATAAAACCATTCATCCTCAACCACTTTGACTATTGTGGTATAAACACTGATTTCAATTAGATCTGGAAATTTAATGAAAATTTGTTTAAACATGCTGATTGTTTTAAATATTGGAATGTTTTACAAACTTTCTTGGTTGGTTAACTTACATGAATATCATACTTAACTTACAAAAATATATAGCTGTCGCAATGCTATATTCTTTTACACGGTTCGCAGGTTTGCTGATCAATTTCAATACAAAGATCAAACTCAAACCATTGAAATAACATGCATTAATTACCATGCCAATGTTAATGACTAATACCTATAAGCATTCTCGTGTTCTAAGTCGTCGTATGTAGCAAATGTAAGATTACACAGGAAGCTTTTGCGTACATTAGATAAAGTTTCGCAGTAAAAGTTTTGTGTTAAATTTATGCTGTGTTTGGTTTCCAGAGATGCTGGAAAGTTGATAATTGTGGGGGCAATATTCATATGTTCATGTTTTGCCATGCTACTTTCGCTTGAAATCAAATTTTTTCTACAAGCTGTGACTACGAATATATGAGTATATGCCCCTCTCTCCAAATATCGACGTTCCGGCGTCCTGCTGGTTGCTCAATCAGTCAAATCCAAAAAGGCTTAGTTTCAATTCGATAAAAAAAAATTACAGAAAATGTAGAGTTTGTGATGATGATTTTTTATGTTTTAATTTAATTTCAATGAATTATCCATATTAATTATATTATTCAGTAGTAAATAATTCTTAAGTCAGTATTTCTCAATTCCCATATATTTTATTTGTAAATATTTCCTAAAATAGTCTCAATTTATTTCTCTTTTAGTTAGTCTTTTTGATATTTGTAAACATACCTTTTCGTTGTTTACTAAATTTTACTGCTTTCTTTGCTTAGGAGAATTAAGCTTTCATTTTCATGCTTGTTTAAATAAAGGTGTTGTAACACTCTCTTACTACTAATGCTTAGTAAGCTAGTGTTGTAACTTTCGTCGTGTATATTAAACGCACATTAGCAATAATGCTCCCACGAAATTACTGGCTTACTACTTGGAAATGTTGCTCGTGTTAAGAAAAGCGGCAAACACTTGTTGAACACACAAGACAACAGTTAACATTATTAATTTGTAGAAAATTGAAAGTTTTATAATGTTGTTCAGAAAATTTCCTGATATGACTAGAGTTAATCAATGTTTAAAATTTCATTTTCACACTTTAATTCTCGCACGACTATAGCCTATAACTACCGACGCATTAAAAATTTATTTGACAGTGAAATAAAGCAGGTATTTGATCGACCTTCATTTTTCTTGAACTTATACCATGAATTTTATATTATTTTAGTATATAGCTATTACGCAAAAAAACAAAGTGGCTATTTTAAAGTGTTTATAACACCAAATTTAATCATAGAATTTTTTTATTGTATTATAAAGGAATTTTGTAATGACTTAGTAATTTCTTTAATAGAACTTCTTTAATAAGCTTCTTCAATATTCAAATGACAACGTTATGACAAAAACATTGCAAAATTAACATTAAGAAAACAACTTTTTGTCAACAGTTAAGCATTAAAATATCTAATTTGGGAAAATTTACAAATATGTATTAACACATGTAATCATTAAGCTGTTAGTTTTGTATATAAAACGCTCTAACCAATGTTGAAAGTTAAGATCATTATGCTCTGTGATGTCATTACGATATCATTTGCATAAAAACAGTTATTATCTCTAGGAAAAGTTAGCTAAATACAAACAGTCAAATCTTCTGAAGAGATTGTAAAGTCATTTTGTTCTATAAAATACAATCAAGCAAATTCATCATATAATTTCTTCTCAAAAACTCCATAAGGAAAACAATACAAATTAGAAAAAGAAACCCGGTAGACGGAGTTTTTTACTCAAAAACAAGTGTTTGTCATAATTAAACTGGGTGTGTTGTTTTTTAGTGATTTAGCGCAATAAATGTTCTAACAAACTAAAAATGTGCTAGACTAAACTTTTCAACAATGAAATCAAACGTTTAGTTTTCTATTTAAAGCCAGAAAAAAATTTTGTAATTGCTTACATCTGACGTGACTTATGACATCAATAAAATTAGAACAAATTCGTATAAATTCAGTTATTTTGACTGTTGTGTCAAAATGGCACACTAAATGCATGATATTTGGTTACAATGTACAAATCCCTTCGATTGATATATTATGAAGAAACATGATGACGTCATCATGACTTCATATGCCCCGATGACGTCACTTTGTTTCTGCTTGACATTTTTAAAAAAGTGTCATTTTTTCATTTATAAAATCGAACTGCTTGAAGCATTAGACAAATAATCTTCCACACAAATAATTACGAAAGATTTTATTTATTTATCAACATGTCACATGTTTCGTAATTGTACATCCATAACCACAAATTAGAGTTTTTTAACAAATCATCAAATAATGTACTTTTTACCTCTTTTTAGCCTGAAGGTGTATTTTTATGGTGAGAGAACGATAAAAGTATGTAACTGCTTTATTGCTCACCAGTTTTTAAGTGCCCACCTTCTACCATGATGTCATATTTGTTGTGGTCATATTTTAGATACCACTTCCTCGTAATGCTAAGCTTTTAATAATGCCATACCATCAGGATAAGGACGTTGGTATCTTTAGAGACCACCATGACATAACCGCTTGCCAACATAACGTGTAAGACTAACCAAGAATCTGCCTCTTCACAGTTGAATTTCCACAGAATGCTAATTACATCATTACATATAGAATATATTGTATCTGCAGCAGTTACTGTAACCTGTTTTTAATACCTTCATCCCTCTGAAGGAACGTGGTAATCAGTTGTATGAGTTGTTTTTTCTACCGGATTTGAAAAAATCCTGCCCTTCATGGCCATGCAGCATTTTCGAATCCTATATACCTTATGATCTCCGTTCGTCCCGACTTGCTCATTGCCTCACTGTGCTCCCTTCTTTACACTCTAGGTGTTGTTGATAAGATCCACCTCAACTGTATTATAGTTTTTGGGAGGTGTTACAAAGTGCAGCAGCCATTCATGGTACGTTTTCTTAGGAAGCATGGGATTTAAGGCATGAAGTCAAAACTAGGAACATTCATCTCGTACATTTTCAGTAATTGAGCTAGATTCACTCATAATACTTTTGAGTGACACCTTGCATGACGGTAGCTGTTTTGCATCTGGAGTGGCTATAGCTAACGAAACGGTTGTTTCTGGTCAATGGAATGACCTCTTCTAGACTGACAGCGTTTGCAAATATAACTCCAAAGGCTTGTCAGCCTTCATTAAATGCGGATACTTCTTTCGCGATGTTGCCTTCTTTTTCTTTTCAACTCCATTGTCGAGTTTAACTTTCTTAATTAAGTGGAAGAAACTTTTAACGTTGCTCTGCAGCCTTTTATTAAGTCATGAACAATGTCTTTCCTGTCGTAGGGGCATTTAGCAAATCTTTGACAACTGTCTTGTCGATTTCAGCACCGGTTCGCAAAGATTTAGGAGTATTTTGTCAAACAATTTAACACCATAATTTTGTAACTTGCTCTTTAAACTCGTTAAACGATAAGCGTGATTCCTCTTTTTATCATGGGTAAACTCCTTGTGCTTTAACAAGATCTTTGACATTATTTATTTTCAAAGGTTTCCCGAAGCTTCCGGAGCTTCCAGCGCCCAGGTTTGGGCTGAATAAAGAACGAAAAGTACCAACAGCTCCTTTAGTCTCTTTGTTTAATAGCCCTCTAGTCAAATCACACTGAATCGTTGAAAACTTCTCTCTTTGAAAACTTCTACAAAAACTGCATTCCTTTAAATCTTTAAAGGCTGGATGGCTTTTTGCTTGTAGAGTACGCAGTAAACTTGTTCATACCTCACATAAATTTGATGGTTAATGTTTTCTTTAGCATATTGCGCTCAAAAAGAAGATGTCGTTCAATAAGTCCTTCTACGACTAGGGAAATCATAGACGAGGCGTCTCTAAGATAAGCAACAGTTATACTCGCTTCTGTATTATCCTTGGCTTGATTGATGCCACATTGTAACTTCTGAAATCCTTTACAAACTATGTCCATTTCTAGCGTACTTGAATTAGGATCCTTTCTAAAAGAAACAACTAACGGCAATAGTTTATGATCTGTAGTCGCTGTTGTCAATTCTTCTATTTTTAAATCGACCAAAGCACCAAAGCATTCTTTATGCACTATCATTCACCTGTAGTAATGACGACCTTCAAAGACTTAATCTGTTTATCCACGCAGGGGCTATTATACCGGAATCTATACACCATTGTTTATCTACTCGGCAATTATGATGTTTAAAGAGTAACTTCTTTTGACAGGAAGCTGGTGAAAACTACCTATCAGCGAGAAAGCATTCCTATATAATTTGTTTATGTTCTTCCAAAGTATGTGACAGAGCTTGAATAAACCTATAGGTAACTTTTAAATCTTGTATGAAATCAAGTAGAAAATTAAGATATTCCTTGCATACTTGATACTATGGCAGTGCAGCTTAAACGGAAAAATATTCCTGAGGTCATTTTTTGCAGTAAATGCGAAACTGATTTGTTGAATACAGTCCATGAACCTTGTAAATGCAATTCTTCATTATCAAAGTCCCGTCGCAGTGAGCTAGCTACAGACGTCCTTTTTGAAACAGCTTGCAATTTCGTCGCACATTAAGTCGTCATCTTTGTAGATTGCCATGAGTGGAGGTCCGAAAGTTTGCCAACATGATATGAAGCAATTTCTGCTTTTTATTTTTGACATTATCACACAAATGTAGTCAATGCTCCACAAGGGACCAGATTTGAGTTATGGATGCTTTCTATTCCGCTTTTGGCAGTTGAAGTAATGTTTTATTGGTATCGTGAGTATACCCATAGCCTGTTAGGGTTTCCTCTTTTTATCCTTGTTATCCAATACGCTGTGTGTTCATATCTCTTTGCGTGGGTTGGATAATAACGATTGCCTGGAAGACACCATACTTGACCAAGCCAGGTTCTGAACTCAGATGTCTTCATAAGGAATGATGTGATTCCACTATTGCAGCATGTGTGCACTCTGTTTACTCCATGGAGTTGTACAAACATTGTGCTATACCACAGTCAATTATATCAATCAGCTCTTCTGGGGTCAGTGGCCATTGCTTTTTTGATCAGAATCTTTTTTGTACTTATGGCCTTACCATCCATCCGAATGACCTTGCTATATCATTATCTCTAAGACTCTAAGACTACATCCATGCAAAGCCGCAATTGCGTATTTAGAAAGATTTGTATCAGCAGGATTCATCAATAGGTATCTTCCACAAGGTAAAAACATATACCTTTACCAAACTCTTGAATTAACTTTATTTTATGGGTGGATGCGTACTAAAAAAATCTTCTAGCAGTTTGTTGAATAGGAATGCGTTCTTGTCTGGAAGAAATTGGGTTAATTCATGTAGTAAAATGATTGAATCACATGTTCACGTCTTTTTTTTTGTTATCATTGTTTTCGTTAGTCTTCATTTGTGCGAAGGCAAATTTTATCACGCCTTGTGATAATAAACCTCTACCGTAAAAACGTTGTTAGATGGACTACTGAAAAGTATGTCCAAGAGTTTTGCAGCCTTAAAAAAAACGATTAGCTGGATCTTGCATATGAAGTTATTCTTTCTGCAATAGGCGTTTGCTAGCATTTTTAGTTAACAGAGTACCCTCCAAAACCTTCTTCATTGTACTTGTTGCCACCAGTGGATCACTTTAAGTAGTTGTGGCGCTTTTATTGGAAAACTTTTGTAGTAGGACAAAATTCTGAAATGGGGCTTTATTTAAATCCAATAAGTACCTCTGTCGTAGTTGTATCAACTGCCAGTGGCGTAGCCAGGAAAAATAGGAACTCCCGCCCACCCATGTCGCGCAGGGCATGTTCCCCTGGAAAGTATTTAAATACAGAGCCTTGTTAACATGTTTTTATTAGATGCATTCTTAATGTGCAATTCTCAAAACTGCAACTAGTTTAAAGGTACTAAAAGTGGCTCAGAGAAACGTTATGCAGGAGGCAATTGTCTCATAAAGCATAGTGAATCTAACTCATTACTGCCCCAAAATGAAAAAAAGAAATTTGAATTAGCACAAAAAATAACATTGAAAACAATACTTCCTAAAATGCATAGGGATAGATTGTCTTTAGCATTCCACTAGTTAGATTATACTTGTTTAGATTGGGGCAAGTAGAGTGAGATGGCTTTATTCCTTAAAGTAATGCTTAATTCTCTCAATGAAGTACCATGCAATATAAGAAAAAGATATCAAAACACATACTATACCCATAATTTATAAAGAAAGGCCAGCCTCCTGGGTTTTTCTACAAATTTTTCAACCACCTCATCATGCAACACCTCTGATTCATCTTTTTGTTCAATGATATCTTTGTGAATAGATATTCTACACAAAGAGCTAAGCCGACCTTGATCCATTCTATTCCTCATATAGCTTTTTAGCCTTTTCAAGCAAGAAAACGACCTCTCTACTGAAGCACTTACCACTGCCAAGACACCATTTAATTTTAACAAATTTACCACTTGACGTAAACTCGACTGGAGATTAAATTTGCAGATATACTTAAGCACCTCATTACTGTACTCTTTGTGAATGTCCTTGTCACTGTAAATGAAGGAAAGTTGACTCTCTAAAGTTGGAAAGTCAAAAAGAGGACTATACTTGCAAAGTAGTCCCGGCCCCTTTCCCCTCCGGGGTCCCGACCCTTTTCCCCTCCAGGTCTTATAGAACTCAATGCTTTTTAGGAGTCTACTAACCTGGACGATCTCCATCCACAAACATATGAACATTAAGCGAAGAACACATAAACAACATAAGATTGCTTGCATAATTAAGTAGATATCATGAAACATGTCAGATTACCCGATATTGGAACTTGTTATTAATAAGCCCTTAATAACCGAGAGCAAGGCCTTTACGGAGAAATATATAACGGACCGAGATCTTTGCTATTTCTCATTGTTATTTCTCCTACATCCTGAATGTTCTGCCACCTTACAAATATTTTAGCAATTTTCGCTGACAAATTTATATCTATAAATCTCTTAAATTAGACACAACGTGTTTGAAAGTTTTGTTGAATTTGAATGACAAATTTTTTGAATAAAAAATGACATGTATGGACCATCATATTTTTGTGCATTTCGTTTAGATAGCCTGTGAAACAACTTAAAATTAAATAGAAGAAAACGCGGAAGATTCCGAGGTAAAGAACGTTGATTCCCAGACCACATTCAAATGTGCATATCCCGAAATAAAGACTCCTCAAGAATTCAGTATAAACTTTTTTTAAACGAACATCCACTTTTAAAAGTGCAAATCTACTTCACTTTACCTGCTACATCTAACCTGCAACTTCAGACATTATAGAGACACTTTCTTAGGCAGAAAAACAATGTCTAGATAATGTCTTTGGCAGAGAGCTTATATCTTAACTATATTCACATGCAAAATGAATTCTTGAGAAGCATTTTTTGAGAGATGTTTTGAAACATTTTGCTTTTACTTTCCTACAATTTTTTCTTTTACAATCCAAAGAAAAGCACACAATGTTGATGCAATACATTTTCATGATAATTCTGGTAGACACCGCCACATGAAAAGAAATAAAATTTTAAGAAGATCCTGTTTTTATTTCCTTAATCATGTTTTATCCCTTCATCCGTGTTTCATTACCTTACCCATGTTTCATCCCTTCATCCATGCTTTATCCCTTCATCTGTGTTTCATCCCTTCATCCGTATCCGTGCCATCAGTATCTGTGTCTTATCCCAACCCAGTAAGATCTCATGCTCAGTCACCCATCAGTCGTCACAATGCACAAAACTTAATTTTATACGATATCTATTTGCATGAGGAGTACTCTGATGCCACGTCATAATATTTATTTTAAATTTCTGATTTGCAGAATGGCAGACAAGGCAAAACCTATAGCGAATACAAGTCAAACATTTATCTCACAAACAGTTCTCTCAAGGCGCTAGTGAATCGCTAAATGGTGGCTGCAAAGAGTGCTGTGTAACATTTACAAACTACAACCACGTGCGAATAACAACTTATTTTAAGGACAATTTCGCTGACAAATTTTTATATCTACATCCCTTATATCCAGAGGTTAAAGTTCAAATCAACATTAAAAACTCTACTGATGTTTTTCATTGTTTAAAGCCGTGCAAAATTCTTCATAATTTTTTAAACCAATTGTAGACGTTATGGATTCATTCCACATGTTTTGAATGGCTTGTTTTGCCTGCTCGCTCATCATTTCTCGTCCTTTTGTGGCAGATCCGGTAGCAACACGTTCTAACAAGCTTGTTCCAAGGTATCCGATCCTTTGCAGATTTTGCAGATAGATGCTCATGTTGAATTTGTCTTTATGTATCTTCATAAAATCAAAAGAACTCATTTTCACAGCATTCCTAATAGACCCTTCATCCGTTATTCCCACGAACGTTGCAACAGAGCGAACAGCACTTTCTAAATCATTTGACATATCTTCATAAGTCAGCATCAAAACATTCGAATCATTTCGTCTAGGCCACCAACTGCGTAAATGCTCGAAATAATCCATTAATTCTTTAATCTTTTTCTTATATATATCCGATATAAACGTCTCTATCGTCATTTCTCCGGAGATATAGAAATGGCCTTCAAGAAAACGATACAGGCTATCTATAACTGCACATGGTTCTCGATAAACAATTACATATTTCCCACCTTTAGGACTCGTTTTGTATGACATATGGCTTTTGAAAATCCTCGGATGGTATGTCTGCTCCTTGTCGATGACATCGCCAAATGTATAAGCTGTATCAATCCACAATACAACTTCGTCTATATCATTAAAACTCATGTCTCCTCCGCTTCTTAACTGATGAACTATTTGCGACATCCATGTCGTGCCACATTTCGGCGGACAATTAACGAAGATATCGGTCGGTTGGGGCAAAAAACTACCTGCATGCTGATAGCTTTCTTTTGTAACAAAAGCTGGTACTGGTGGCAGCGAGTTCACGTTTCGTTTGACTACATTATCATTTGACAAATTTGCCATATTTTCCATAATAACGCTTTCTGCTTTCAAATTTATTTGTCTTATTATATTGCGTCATAAATCCATATGACGCTGTTTTAGTGTGTGTAGATAAAAAGCGGACGCCGGACGCTGACGGCGGACACGGATTGCAGACGCGGATGGCGGATCAAAGACGCGTACGGCGGACGCAGACGGAAAACGCGCAAAATAAAATACTTTTAGTCCGTTCGTAAAGTACTCTTATTCTACGTCGAAAAATAAACATTGAAAAAGCTAAAATAAAAACATAACTAAATGATGTTATTAAGAGACACAGGTATAAGCAAACATGAAAAACACGTCGTCTGCACTCGGAAAATACTCAAACTACCATATTTGAAAAACATGCTTTTTGTCATTTTCAAGTTGTTGTACTTCTTACCTGCGTCAGATGTCTGCCGTTTGTCAATATGTTCTTGTAATCGGCTCATGTTAACCGAAGTTTGTATTAAAAACGAAAGGAAATTAAAAAACAAATTGAGAATTAGATAGCAGTTGGAGAAGCTAAGACAATTATCTTTCACATTTGACCAATCTGAAAGAGACTGTCGTCACTATCATCATTCAAAATAACAATTTGTTCCTTTGGATGATACCTTTCAGCTAATTCTTTATATTTCACTTTAGTCTATAAATATGTCACAAAATATACACAAACTGAAATTTCAGAACAGGTTTGTGAAACGCACAGTTCTGAGGTTCCCCCTAGATATAGTAGGTCTAGATTGCTGACGAGCCGCCATATTGGGTGACGTTCATGATAAATCAAAGATGGCGCGGGATCCGGGCAAAAGACATAGAGTTACTCAACTCAATTGATGTTTTTCGTAAATCACTTCTTGTCATTGTTCTCAAACTCTTCCGACTAAGTTGTATTGGAAACAAATCGTTAAAGCAAGTGTTTTGAAGCCATATTGGACAGTTATTATTAAAATACGGGCGAAAATATCACTTTCCAAATATTGTGTTAATTGGTCATTTGGTTGTCTCGAGTCGTTCGTCCACCAAAATAAACAGATTTTTTCAGCTTTAGCTCCCATACTGGTTTGTTGCGCATTGAAATATATCATCTTGACAATTTATAGAAAGATGGAAAAATCAATCTGAACATTTATGAGAAAAAAGCAATTTATGATAGTATTCCCACTGTACTCGTACTGATATGTGAAGTTCATCGACAGTTTAGCAAGACCATTTGACTTTGAATGAATGGAAAGAGGAGCAAGAACATATTTAACACTGCAGCACTATTGTTTACTGACAAGAACTTAGAGAAGCTGTTAATGTTGGGAGACGTAACTGAAGGAAACTTGCCTCATCTCACGTAATTGCATCCAGGAGTACTGGCTATAATGGTGAGATCTTACAGCTAAGTTGTTAAATTCTTCTAAATTCTTCGCCGCAACTCATAATGAAACATCTATGTACACTCTGGTTTTCACTGTGAATCCTTAAAACCCGAATGAAAGACGTCGCACTATCGGGTCTTCGAAGCTACAGCCGTCCTAGTTTTTCATTTTCAAAAGACGAAATCAGCGTTCTAAATGACCTGAAGAATGACAATAGCATTGTTGTCATGAAACCTGATAATGGCAATTCCGTTGTCATCCTTGATAAGACCGACTACAATAACAAAATGTTAGAAATCCTCTCCAATTCCTCAAAATTTGAACTCATAAACGAAGACCCTGTGAAAGTCACCCTACATGAAACCCAGTTGAAATCATTACTAAAACAACTCAAGAAAACGAAATCAATTGATAAAAAAACTTACAACAAACTCTATCTGACTGGCTGACGCATAGGTATACAATATGGACTTTCAAAAATTCACAAACCAACCATTCCCTAACGACCCATTCTATCTTCTATAAATTACTGCTCATATAAACTAGCTAAATTTTTCATTCCACTGCTTACACCCATCTCCACAAACTCATTCATCAAAAGTGACTCATTCTCCTTCGTACAAGAATTACTTAACACTAACATCAACTCTAATAAAGTTGTTATGGCTAGTTTTGACGTAACTTCTCTTTTCTCCAACATTCCCCTGCATGAAACAATCAATATTATCTGTGATCTTCTTTTTGCTTACCATAAACAATTTCATGGACTCACACACACCGAATTCAGTAATCTACTAACGCTATCTGTAAAAAATTGCTTCTTTATGTTTAACGACCGCTTATACCACCAAATTGATGGTGTTGCTATGGTTACTCCTCTTGGCCCCATTTTTGCAAACATATTCATGTTTTTCCATGAACAAAACTGGCTGAAAAACTGCCCCACAAATTCAAACCCATTCTCTACAGACGATATGTCGATGATTGCTTCCTCCTTTTAAATCACTTGATCTTTTCACAAATTTTCACAGCTTTATCCCACTTTCTTACAAACGCAACTTAATCTCTGGCCTATTACACCGCTTTTTCAACCTCTGCTCTAGTTATGAGACTTTTCATGCCCAAATTGAGACCACCAGAAAACTATTCAAACTCAATTGCTATCCAACTAATATGTTCGACCATATTGTCCGTCGTTTCCTTGACACAAAATTCGAACAGAAACCACCTACCCTTAGTGTCCCAAAGAAAATAGTGTATTTCTGTCTCCCATTCACCGGCTGTCACTCGTTACAAATTCGCACACAAATCAATCGTTTCTACAACGCTGCTTTCCCTCATCTCAATGTCAGAATCGTCGTTCGTACCCCCACACGAATCTGTTCACCTTTTCCCGTTAAGGATAAAATTAAGAAGTTTCTGAGATCTGGTGTTGTTTAGTTATACACGTGTCGATGCTGTTCCGCGTGGTATGTGGGTGAAACCACATGCCACTTACACACCGGAATGTCGGAACACTTGGGGATCTCTCCTTTGACTGGAAAACGCTATACTAACCCATTAATGTCAAGTATTCTTTCTCATAGTAACTCCTCCAACCACCCTGCTTCGCCAGACGATTTTAAAATCATCCCATCCTGCTTCGACAAATTTGACCTTATGATACACAAAAGCGTCCTTATCTCCAAACTAAAACCTTCACTTAACACCCAAGGCAGCTCCATCCCTCTTAAGCTTTTCCAGTCTCAACACCTCACCATAACAATACATCAAATCACACTCACACATTCACAGTAATCTGATACCTCAAACTATGTAAATAGTTCTATATAAATCTATAATTCTTGTTAACTTCTTAATTAGTCTGAAGATGTCTTGAGTAAAGACGAAACGTCACTCTTTTAATAAATTTCATAAAACCAAATTGTTTATGACTATGTTTAAAATTATTTGTTGGGCTCTACTATTTATATTGAGAAGTTTATTATTTTCAAACTGATAGGCCACACTGATACCCAGCAAAATGGGCAAATTTTACCCTCTATTTAATTAAAAAGAGTCGGCAATCTTCTATTACATATTATAGAATATCCTATAGCATATTTAATGAAATTTCTACGGAATTCTAAAAATGTGCTACACAATTTTTCAGAGAAGATTAATGTAATGTTCTACAACAGATTCAATAAAATATTGATACTGACATTATATTAGAATGAGTAACTTAGCGTAATTATGCAATTTTTTAGACTTTCATGTTTTGGTAATCTTAATACAATACATCATCTAAAACATTATTAATGAACTAAAATTCTATTTAATACAGATATAGAGGTGATAATAAAAATTATAGAAATTTTTCATGCTGTAACATGAAAGTAACATCAAGCTCTAACATCAAGCTAATAGTTACAGTGTAACTATTTAGCAGCCATAATGTAAATAAATTCAATTAAGTTTAAAATACATAAGGATTGTTCAAACTACTCTTTATTGTGTTAGTATGTAATTTAACTTCTCCACATTGGTTCATTATTGGGATGTTTTCTACTTTCCCTTTACCAAATTGTTTATCATAACATTTTCACATGTTGCCCCCAAACCAATTAGAATCTGTACCTAAATAAAGAAACATTGTAATAAAATTAAAAAATCTAATTTTTGCTACAATCCCTTATCAACATTTGATAAACATTTTGCAGCTTTGGATAGTTTTTGTAGTTGTGTTCAAGCAATTTGTTAAAGTAAAAAGTTGCAATGAATGCCTTACTCCAGTTTTCAATAGCGATGAAGCCTCTGTTTCTATTCCAGATTACACAAAGGGAATTAACATTTAGAATTTCATTCTGAAATTTATTTATATAATAACATCAATAACTATATAAACTTTTAAGCTGGCACTTATAAAGATAGGGGAATTGCCTAATTAAGACAATAGACAATCATACCTGTCTATAAAGCCTTTTACAAATTATTTCAGGAAAATATTCTAGGTATAACAGTCATCTGTCTAAAGCAATAACCCTACATTCTTTAAATACTCGGGCAGGGAATCAAACACCCCCAACAACAAATACGTAAACAAGGGAACAGTAATCAGATAACGTGCTACATACTTGTTCCACCGTCAAGGCAATTTAGGTTGCAGGATAATCTATAATTGTACCTGAAAGAGGACTGGCCCAGTGCAATATTGTTAAATATGAATTAAAATTACTGCTGCTTCTACTTCTATTCGTATTTGAAATAAATACCTATATGGGAAAACCGTTATTAAGTTTTGATAGGAAAGGAAATATTTAAATTAAAAAACTTCAACAGATACGTACAACTAAATTTGAGTCTGATAGTACTCTAGAAAGAACAGTTATAGTTCAAACTGTCGGTAGATAAATAGCACTCTTCACCACTTGGTTCATTAATTTCACAGAATCAGTCAACCAAGCTACCATTACTCGTTTCTCAATTAATATCCTCGCTTTTTGTCGAGATATCTCTGATTTTCGCGATCCACTGAATTTCTCCCTTCACACAAGCCATCCTGCTTAATATCAGCAAAGTATATTTCCATCACTTCCTTGTCGATACCCCAGCATCTGTTGTAGAAATCGTCCGAATTGGTACGAGTTATCCACCGAATTTCTTCCATCTAACAAGCCACCTCGTTTACTATCAACAAAATACAGTTCCATTACTTCATTGTCAATGTTGTAGAAAGTTGTCTATATTTTTGTCTATACTTGTTTGTCTATAAAGTTGTCTATACTTTTGAAACACTTAAGTAAAAATTGTAATGTAATACAAGTATGAAAAAGATTATTAGTCTAATATTATAGAATCATCATATATTTTCACAAATATTACCAAACGTTTTAAACACACATCCTAAAATTTAATATATTACATATACATTTATCATCATCTGTATTACAAGAAAAAATCTAATTTTACAATCAATATGATATACTATAAAATTTTGATACATGATATAGCTTTGCTTGCTTTATAATCATTTTAAAACCCTGGTTCAAACCACTGAGGATGAGGGTTGCTTTTTGGCATTTACGTAGAGCAGGTTATGTTTATCAATACTTGTCATGTCGTACACTTGGCTATTTATTTAAAGGATGAACTTGCTTATAAAATGCTCAATACACAAATATGAATGCATTTCAAACGTTCCACCAGTTCTTAAGAAGTGGGAGAAGTAAATGAACAGAAACAACAATCACCAACAATTCAAAATTTCAAATCATCACTTTCACACATTACAAGAGCATGTGAATATCTTACAAAGCAACTCTAACTTTAAAAGTAATAAAATTTTTATGAAACATGTTGTATTAAGTGGATTGTGTGTATTTTGCACAGCATTCAAAAAAGCAGACTACCTGTTATCAGTTTTATCTTAAATTTTTGGTCTTTGACAAATGAGAAATTCATATTTCGAAGCAAGTTCTCACTTTTATGTTTTATATTATACAGTGTTACGTATACAAAACATGTCTTGGAACGTCCACAATGCGTCTTAACACATTAATAACCAAATTTTGCTAACAGTTTTGAAAAAAATAAAACATTTAGGCTAATATTCTATTTCCAAGTTAGCAGTTTTTGCAAAACAATCCGTCACGCAAAATAAAACAGTCCACGCGAGATACACGCGAAGCGTCAAATCAGCTTCTAAGTGGCTTCATACAAGTCTAGGCATGTATATTGTGAGTTAGCCTTCCTGTTGTTGTAGAGTTTACTGGTCACGCGAGTCACGCGATATCAATTTGTTGTCATAACAACAACGTACAAGCTCTGTTTCCCAATCAAATGAGTCAATCGCAGTCATGTGACTCCAAGTACTACGTGAAGGCATTGAGTTCTATACATTAAGTTCTACAATAAGTGGACCTGCTAACTGTACTGGGGTGAGGTCGCCAAAAATTGCGGCCAACGGACGTATTTCCGCTGAAATGATCGCTTTGCAGAAAAATACTATTCTCGACCTCCCTCTGCTGTCTATAGTAAATTATGAAGAATTTCTCAAAAACAAACACGATATCACAGATTATGGATATCGTTAGTTTCATATTCTGTGACGATATCTTTTTGGCATTTCGTTTATAATGCCAACACTTCAATCGTTCAATTGTTGGATGTCGTGGTTTCCACAAAAAGAACATATTGCTTCTCACAGGTGAGATAGTTGCTTGTTTTGTTAGTCCGTCATCGATTGAAAAGCAATAAACAATAATAAATTTTCCAATTCAGGACTAGTGCTGTGTACCATATGACTCTTAAAAAGCCTTGGCAAATATTTCTGTTCTGCACAGTGCTGTAGAAGTGGGGGGCGCTTAGGGGAGGAGCCCCCCTTCTACTTTTGAAATGGGTTGTTTTAAAAGGGGACTATTGACAAAAACGTCAAGAGAGCCACCCTTCTGATAAATTTAGTTCTTCAGCACTGGTTCTGCATCGTTGTCATCGCCAAAAGGATAAGCATTATCAATCAATTACGCCATTTTGACTATGTCTTCGAAGCTCATGTCTCCTCCACTCCTCATATGATGAAAATTTTGCTCCATCCATGTCGTACCACATTTTGGTAGACAATTAATAAAAATATCACTTGGTCTTGGCACAAAAGTCGCTGCATGCTAATAGCTTTCTTTGGTTACAAATGTGGCACTAGCGACACTTCATTTACATTAGGTTTTATCTATTGAGTGCTATAATAACTGGAGCAGCTATCTCAATCATATCTTTAGTATAGGATGTCAAAAAAAATAGCGGATTTGAGTTTACTGAAAATGACTGCTTTTCCAAAAATTTCACAATTTTCACTCCCCAAGCGAATAAAGAGCGAAGACATTGAGTTCACAGACGATTCATAAATAACTGTAGAATCTATATAGAACTACAAGGTCAGAGGAGTGACTAGAAGGTTAATTGGGGGTGTATATTCATATATTCCGTTGTGCCCTACTGATTTCTTTAGAAAGTGAATTGAATTTTAAAAGAAATCAGTAGGGCACAACTAAATATATGAATATATACCCCCCAATTAACGTTCTAGTTACGCCTTTCTACAGAGTTGATGAGTATAAAACTGTAGGGTTAGGTTGTATGTATAAAACTGTACAGTAGAACCCGAATTAAGTGGTCACCCTTGAGGATTTCTCGTGTGTCCGCTTAACTACTTGCCAAATATTCCAAAACAAAAATAACAACACTATATAAAGCAATTTTTTCTTAGTTGGGAAATAGAAAATTGTAAAAATAATCAATGGCAAGCGTGTCAAGTGGTGGTAAATTCACAGGTGGTAAATTGTGTGTATTTACCCTTTCTTGGAGATACGTTTTTTTGTCGATGGCTGAAGGGACGTAAGAAAAATACAAATTGCTGCTGTATAATTAGTCCACACAAACAGAAAATATTGTCAACATTGAGCGATTACGGAAGATAAATACAATATAAAGACATGTATACAATATATTTGACTTGTTCCAGAAAAAATATTTAAATATATATTTTATTATGTCGTGTACTTACTTTACCTGACCGCTTAATACGGTTTCAAAACAATAAAAAATTATGTTTGGAACATTGTAAAAGGTTTGCGCGCTTGATTGGCCATTTTAAGGGACCCCGAAAATGGCCTCTGTAATATGTTTGATTTAAGTACATAAGTACAGCTTATAAATACGACGTGAATATCGTAGCAGCAGTCAAACTATCAACCGTAAATTCTTCCTATAAATAAATATGGTCACATTAGTTGATAAACGAAACAAAACCAGTACTGAATACGCATCGGATTTCTTAAGTGCACGAAAATTCCCATTTAAAAACATATACATTAAGCGCGCAAAGCATGACCCTGATACTCATTCTTTAATAGAGGTGACAGTTAAATAATGATCACTTGAGACATTATAGAGACACTTTCTTAGGCAGAAAAACAATGTCTAGATAATGTCTTTGGCAGAGAGCTTATATGGTAACTATATTCACATGCAAAATAAATTCTTTAGAAGCATTTTTTGAGAGATGTTTCGAAATATTTTGCTTTTACTTTCCTACAATTTTTTCTTTTACAATCCAAAGAAAAGCACACAATGTTGATGCAATACATTTTTATGATAATTTTGGTAGACACCGCCACATGAAAAGAAATAAAATTTTAAGAAGATCCTGTTTTTATTTCCTTATCCACGTTTTAGCTCTTCATCCGTATTTTATCCCTTTATCTGTGTTTTATTCCTTCATCCATGTTTCATCCCTTCATCCATGTTTTATCACTTCATCCGTGTTTCATCCCCTCATCCGTCTCCGTGCCATCAGTATCTGTGTTTTATCCCAACCCAGCAGTCATGATCAGTCGTCACAAGGCAAAAAACTTTATTTTATAACACGTCATACGATATCTATTTGCATGAGGAGTGCTCTGATGCCACGTCATAATATTTATTTTAAATTTCTGATTTGCAGAATGGCAGACAAAGCAAAACCTAAAGCGAATACAAGTCAAACATTTATCTCCCAAACAGTTCTCTCAAGGCCCTAGTGAACCGCTAAATTGTAGCTGCAAAGAGTGTTGTGTAACATTTACAAACTACAACCACGTGCGAATAACAACTTATTTTAAGGACAATTTCGCTGACAAATTTTTATATCTACATCCCTTATATCCAGGGGCGGATGTAGAGTATGTCAAATCCGTCGCGCGACTGACGTTTGAAATTCAAAAATTACCTATTCATATTAATTAAAAACATTAATTATTCTTACTTTATTATCGCATTTATTTCGTGATAAAAATCCAGCTTTATTTATTATTGAAAACTAATGCTAATCCAATGAATATCTCGTTGGTAACCAGATCAGTTGAATTTTAATTGACCTGGAATAACCGACTGATAAGCGGGGTGGCTTTACTGGTTTGACGGATAAAGGAGTCTATGAACGCCAAAAACGCTTATTTTATTGGTCAATGGCCAGATCAGTGGACAGTCTGGAATGGTCTCGACTGATAATAGGGGTGGCCGGACGTATAAGGGAGTCCAATTGCTATCTTACAATTGGTTCATTTGAATTTTTGTTTTATTGTGATTGGTTTGACGGATTTCGACTGATAGCCAACTGAACTAACATAGTCAAGCTCACTGTCTGAATTGAATGTTTGATCGTTTCATAGTAATTTTTATAAGCATGATAGAAACTAAACTACAATCAAATGGAATTCATGGAAATCTTTTACAAATTCATATATTGACATGAATGTGTGCTGTCGAAAGTGAATTTTTTCAAGAGGGGGAAAAATTTATGGATAAATTGTAAATGCTTGGCAAAGACGATCTCGCGAGCGACATTTCATTCATTGATGTTCAAAAGAAAGCCAACATTGTTTTGAGTTTTATCAGCAGAAATTTACATCCAAAATCGTAAGTAAAGGAGAAGTGAAGTGTATGCATGAATGTAATATATCAAAGTCAATTTATGCGAGTGTGTGATGCGATTTATGTCAATATGGCGTATGGTAAGCAGATTGATGCTTCTAAAATTGTTGTTGCCGATGGACTTTTAGCTATGATTTCTTTAGTTCTTGGGGAATCGTGGCCGTTATATGGCAGCGAAATCCTACATTCCTGCAAATATATTTCAATGGACAAAAAATCTGTAGCCATAAGGCGCCATACTATTATTTACTTTATCACAAACAAATGTTTGGGGCTTTTCAGTTTATGATCATTGATCATTCAATCATTGGACAGTTACACTACATATTGTTTAAAATTTGAGAAAACTAACATTGATTACATGAGAAGCCGTTTACTATAACTTGTGATTTTGATTCTTCTGATGCATGAAGCTTTTTATTTTGACAATTTGACTGGAATGGTATTAAACCTGAGTATTTCACATACATGAAATGTTGTCCCATGTCACATATTGTCCCCTTTTCTAACTGAACACCTCATGTAGAGATGTAAAGGTGTGTTAATCTAGGGCTCATACCAGAAAGTCTGCCATAAATTCCAAAGGGCTATTGATGTATGAAAAGCATTTTCTATAAAGTAAAAATGTCTTTCTATGTATGCAGATAAACCTTGAAATTTGACAAAACTGCAAAGTGTTTTTCATGATCACTAGGTAATTTTTCTGAAGATCATTATAATTTCTAAACTAAATTATTTCAGATTTACATTTAAACAAGCTTTGATCTTATGAAAAGATATTTATCATAACCAGTAAGCATGACACATGAACCAATTTCAACATTCATATAATTATATAATTAAAGACATTTTGGTTACATTCTGTTTGTATTTGCAAATACAATGCTACTAGTGATTGCTATATAGCACACCTTGCATATACTTACAGAAGATAATAGTCTAGTGAAATGCCTAATAAACATTTATGGCATTAAGCTGTCCTTAACTGCAAATTTTCACTCTGATAATTTTTGCTTAATCTTTGGCAGAAAAAAATTTTGAGTTTTTTCTCAAAAAGTGAATTTGCTGGCACTGATGTGGAGATGGGTGAAGGGTTACAATAAACTTACCTGGTTTGAAGTCTGAGCTTTTCTATATCTATGAACTGTCCCTTGTAGTACCAAATTTCTAACTGAACTCATTACATAGAGGTTTGAATGGGGGTCTCTTGGGGGGTCTATGCCTGACAACTTGGTAGAAATTTTTCAACACTATATCTGTTTTTGAATAGCATTATTGTAAAATGAATTTTACGTTCCTAGACATGCTAATGAGCCATATATTTGGCATGATAATGAGCCTAAATATTTGGCAAAACATTCAAGTATTGTTCACTTCATTTTTTTTTGAAAAAAAACGTAAGCAAAATGTGTTGTTTTTACGCAAAAACGAGGCCCACAAAATACATTTAGTATTGCTCTAAAACGCTGGAAATGGCATTTTCAAGGCTCTGAAATTCAAAATTTCTCAGGGGAGAATGCCTCAGACCCCCCTCCTATGTGCGGAGAGCCTCCGACGTTTTATGATTGATGTTTGAAAAATCCTAGATCCGCCCCTGGTACTTCTTATAGAAATTCTTTGCCTGATTTTGCGTTTCCAACACACATCATTCAACTGACTGGCTTTCTCTCCTTCGGCCGCAGCCATAGCAATCCGATGTTCATTTTTCGGATAAGATGTTTTATCAATCTAATTGTCCTTTTCATGTGCCATATTTAATATTCCTCAACAAAAGGCGTTCAAAAATTATACTAAAAATTTATAGTTCACGCTTTCTACCTGATCCTCGAAATGATCCAAACAATATTTCTTTTTTCTTTGTACGCACAACTAATTTTTGTAGTCCATATGCCAATATTGTCATCCTAAATTACTGTATTCCTTTCAATTTTATGGTCCTTAATTCGTTATTTTCTACATTTCTACTACATTTTCCGCATGTCTTGACGAAGACTCTGTCATTAATTTGTTATTAATTCCTTTTTTTTGACAGGGCAAGAAATCAACCATGGCACAAGAAAATGATGTTATGGCCGTTAATCGCACTGACCACGAAATCAATTTGCTCTTAAATGATCTCGAAAACATGCCGGACCATATGAAAATTTTTTGCTCATCATTGGCATCACTCTTCAACGAGACGAAAGTCAGTAGCATTACGGGTGGCAATAATGGCGTTCCTGATGTTGTAGGTATGTTTGACATCGCTGAGAAATTCAAAGATATCAGGGAAGAAACAACAAAGGACGCAATCGTATATCTGCGCGCTAACCTACCGATTGTGAAAGAGTTTTTGCTCTCAGTTAGGGATTGTCTGGAGCACTACAAGTTTTTATCATTTGAAAATTGGCACACAATCTTGTCTCACTTACGCAGTGAAATAGAAAAGAACGAAGCACTCGCGCAGACTATTTTAAAAATGCACGAAGACATCTTGATTACCTTGAACAAGCGTAAGCAAAAGGCAGACGCAGTGCTTTTTGAACTAAAGGAGCTTAACAAAGAATATGATGAAAAGATGAGGAAACTTAACGAGGACTTTCGTAAGAAAAGCAACTTAGCAACCATCATGACTTTTGTACCAATCTTAAATCTTATTGCCCCGCGAATTTTCGCTAATAAAGCAAAGAAATCGTTTGCTGGAGCGGTTGCTGCAATAAAGAACAGAGAAGTAAATCAAGAGGCCGCATCCATTGTCCAGGACAATCTTATACCTGCCCTATCAAATTTCATCAAAGGCTTGGAGAAGATAGCAGGTTTCTTTTCAAATCCTTGAAACGGATTTAAAGCAGTACAACAGCGATCCCGATGATGAAACGGAGAGTAACGATTATAGTGCAATTCACTATGAAATCATCAAGGGTAGATGTGATAATATATTGGGGCAACTTAAAATATTTGATGCTTCGTTACCAGCCATTCGAAGCGCCATCAACTCCATTCCCGACGATGCATCAGACATGAACTATGTGCATGAATGGTTCACAAGCAAAATAGATGAGATCAAACGAGAGAAGAGGCACCAGACAATCCCTAAATTTTTTGAGAAAGTGAAGAACAATTTGCTGCCGCCTGTACGTCTAGCCTTAAAGCATGATGAATAGACTCAGTCATGCATTACATGAAGTACCGCATGTCAATTTACTGCTCATTATTTGCATACAAAAGCTAATTATGTTGTTTCTTTTAGTCTATTTGCCTTCACAAGTTGCCTATTTTTGAAATAACAGTAAGATTTTAAAAGTGGTGTTTTTGATACGTTGTCAGCGACAGGGGAGACAAAATGCCGTTTTTCACACAACCCACAGTTTATTACTTAAATGGTCTTTGACGTCACCAGTGCAACATGCTGACTCTATTTAAGCTCCCTAACATATATCATTTTTTAAGTCTGACGACCGATAGAAATTGGTTATTTCTCAATTCACTCTTATATATCTTTTCCTTTCCTTGGAAAGCTTAGGACACATCCCAATTGCTTTTGTTTTGTTCAAAACTTTTGTTCAAATCAGATGACGAAAGATGGAAGAATATTGCTTTTCATAGACTTGCTTCCATTCTCAAACAATTTGAAATTTAATGCGTATTACTTTATGGAAGTTTTCTGTATAAGTTGTTTTTAATATTTCATCAGTTCTTCAATTTTCTATCGCCTTGTGAATACATATTTCAACATATCTGATAATACACAACTCTTTGAAAATCATTTAGAAAGATAACGAAAACTTCAATATACTGCTCTCAGCTTTAAGTTATAAAATTGTCAACTGTTTTTAGTGTAATTGATAGAGTTGAAGTATGAAATCTAAGTAATTAAAATGAAAAAATAATTAAATATATGTTAAATACGCATGATAAATGCCTGCATGGAGTCATTTTATGGAATTGTTAAATTGTTGATACTCAAGTAAAACATAAACGAAAAACAACCCACGATATATGCAGCAGTTTGAATTTAAAAATTGAACACATGATGACGTGGACAAATTTCCAAGCCTTAGCTTGGATATAATGGGATATTTTAATGCAAACTGAAGTCAATCATAATGCATGTTGTGACTTGTGAACATATAAACAAGGAACACATTACAATACTACATATCGGTGTACTTCTGACTTTAAAAATAACGTCTAATAAACACAGAAAACAACTTTTGTTTGTGTCATGCATTCCCTGAACACCGGGGGATTTTCTTAACAAGTGTAAACAAATATATCATTTCACTCCTTGATGTCTCCTGACGACCTTTCGACCGATCACAGGCTTTACTCCAGATGTTTGCAGTCCAGTGATCCTACCACATCCGTCAATTACCCAACAGTTATTTTATCAAGCTGACATTGTCGTCGACTTGTCTGCTTTTCATAGCGACCATGCTCTTTTGGGTAATGCATAAAAATTTGACTTTAAATTGAAACGTTTCGATCCACCATATTGAATCGTTTCAAAAGCAAATGTGGTTTTCCAAACGTTTAAACAAGTTTAGAAGGTTTTTGGCTAAAGTTCAGGATTTTCGTTCTTTTTGGCAAAGTGAACAAAGATCTTTTTACAAAACACCTCTCGTGCCATGTATTGACTGCTCTTATCAAAATGAGACGTTTTTTTAAATAAAAACGCTTAAGAATTAATGAATTTCCATAAAAGTCGAAAAATGCGTTGTAGTTGTTTTTGCCGACTAGCGGCTTTTATAAAAGTTTCAACAACTGTAACATTAATTGCTACAGGCTTTATACGACACAGGCTTACGACAGGTACCTTGCAGGCACAGAACGGTCAGAACGACCCAGGATCATACCAATCGTGCAGAGATAATTCACAAGGAGACACATTAATTTGGCAAACATTACACAAACATGTTTTGGTGACAAACAACAAGGGTGTGCACTCCGTATTCTTTGGCAATGCTCGGCATCATACACTAGCTAACCATTCCTTCTTTGCTGTTTCTTAACAACGTCAAACTTGTAATGGGCGGCCCTGTCGAGTGCCTTGATGTGGAATGTCTTGCAAAGTGAAGTTGAATTTATTTGCAAGTCACACATTATTCATACGACTCTATGATTTTAGAGCACGCTATCGACAGGAGTGTCTTTGGAACGCTCGCCAATGCAAAATACTCGTGCATTTCATGTAAAACCAAGATCGACTCGATCGAGTCAAGCTGTTATGGCCGCTGATTGTATTGTACACAATCGCTAGAGCAATTTGATTTGAAGAGCTCATTTTGAATTCCAATCCCTGCGCACGTTTCCTGAATACGAAGCTGTGCCATTGTCGTTCTCACCTCCAGCGCTCACAAAGAGGTAAAGTGATTGAAACTCAATTGACATAAACAATACGCGCTAAACCTTACGCATTATACAGCAGAAACCAGCGAGAAGCATCAGAGCTACCGGTTTAGAACATTCACACCTGGTCGAAAAAACCGACTAAATTTTGTCGTATAGCAAACTTCACACGGACTGTGTAAGTATTTGATTTGAAAGCAAGCGACAGGCGTTGACAAGATGGGTGATACCTTACATCAAGCCTTAACCGGCGAACAAGCCACTGTTCCTTCTTCGCCAACAGATTCGCGAAGTAGGTTTGTGCTGGAGAGCACATCGAAGCAGAATGATCGAGAAACCTGGGACAACAAAGCTCAATTTCTTCTTGCAACCATCGGATTCGCAGTTGGCCTTGGAAATATCTGGCGATTCCCCGGTTTATGCTACAGCAACGGCGGAGGTAGGTTAGGTTATATGTGTGTGTAAAATGATAGCAAAAGTATGCTGAAATTATTACCTTGGTGACTCCTTTTTTGGAATACTAATACACGAATAGGAATATGTATCTTATGTTATATGAAATGGAAAAAGCAACACATTATACGAAGTAAGTAGATAGCTGAATATCACAAAAAAGAGGTTAAGGCTGTCTGCGATTCCATTCACACATTAATAATATTTAAATAGTTCTTGATCTTTAAACGTGTTGACTGAGGATAGTCAATGACTAGTGAGACAAATGATAGGACGGGATAGTCAGGGTTTCATTCAAATTTTTATAGCATTAAAAAGTACTCGATTTTTTAATGTTTTAATTGAGAATAGTCAATAAATTGTGAGACGAAGATAAGGACGTTAAGAATAGTCAGGAGCTTCATTCAAATTTTCATAACAATGTGAGTAGATGATTTCTTAATACTTTCACTAGAGATAGTAGAAGACTATAGTTAGACGAGGCAAAGGACATTAAAGTTGTCAATGTTTTGACCGAGGATACTGAATCAAGAACCAGTAACATAAAGGAAAGAACATCAAGAATTTTCAGTGTCTACACTCATATTTTATCCACGTTAAATACAGTTCTTGATTTCTTTTAAAACTCTTGAAAGTTCGAAGTCACACAACAGTACGGTGAAACAATTTGATTACGTTCGACCCGGAGAAATTTAGTGACTCGTGACGTTGACTTTCAAAACTATAGGCAAACAAACTGTAGGCAATCCTCATTGCCGTTAGAGCGTGTATAGCAATGATGATTTGAGTTGTGCACTGATCCTAAAAATGAACCACAAGATAGACGTTGAAATTCATGACCGACAGGCTTTGAAAAAAGTGTATTTCAAGGGCAATTTTAGTAGGGAAATAAGGCATGTGTACCGGTGGAATTCCACATATTTCTTAATTACGTTCACATTGTTTTAAGATCATCAACAAATACTAAATGGATACGCATAAACTTAAAGTGAATAAAAAGAACACGGAGTATAGCATGACTAATACTACCCCTTGTTATATACTTATAATCCTCAAGAAATACTGAAACAAATGAAATAAAGACTATTTGATCATCTTGAAAAATCTAGAATATTCCAAGCCAAGACTTTAAAAAAAAGAAGCTGAGCTGAGATTTTGAATTAGAAATGCAGCCTACGCATAGTTTATTTCAATGGCAATCAATTGCATGTACGAAGTCACAGTTTGTGTTCTACATTGAATGTGAAATTGATTGGAAAATCGTTGACATCCGTTGTTATGATTGTTTGCTCTATTCTGCAATATTGGCACATGAACATTATGACGAATTTGTTGATGACAACGGCGCGTTTTAAGTCAAAGTGCCTTGGCTCGGTTGAATGGACAATAACATCCTGTTCTTACAACTTCACAAATAAATTATTTCGTCTTACTACATTACATTATACAGACATTGAAGCCTGTTTCTCATTTTGCTGCGATGGAAGTGTCAAGAGTTTGGCAATGTCGTCATTTCGGTGACGATTAATCTTTCCCTTTATCTCCCAAACCATATTAGCGGCAATACTAAACATAAGAAATTACCAAATATCGTTGTAATTTCAATTTTGTGTTTTCTTAGCATCTACAGCATCCTCCCTTTTGTAGTAATTTTGTAACGGAGGAAAAACAGTTTCAAAACAACTCAGCCTAAGTTCATTTTTTGTACACATGTATGCGATTATAATGAATCCTATTTACAATGTTTACATACAGTTTATCGGATCGTGTTGGGTCATTAAACATTAAATTAAATTTACGGGAAAATAATTTGGGAAGACTTGCTCCGAAAATATTAAAAAGAATGCCTCACAAACATGTGAACTGAAGTGATTACATAATAAGTAGTTACCTAACGACTTTGCATGCGACGGCTCGCTTCTTAATAGGTGTATGGAATGATGTTTATTTGACGAACCCGACGGACCGCACACAGTAAACATTGTATAAGCATGATTTAGGTAAAAGTTATGGCAAAGAGAAATTAGTCTGCATCTCGTATGCACAAATAAAATTGCCTCGAAATGTATACAAGTCAAACAACAACGGAATTATGAAGGCTTTTAAGAGCAATTTCTGTTCTTGCTTGTTTCGGTCGAAAGTCGCAGCTTTTTACGACTGCGCGGGATGCCACAAGCATAAAACAAACATATTTACTGATAGGCTTGGAACAAATAAAATGACAATGAGCCCTGCTGCTTAGAAAAGAACAATTTGGATTTGATTATATTAAAATAATTGCACTGCCGACATTTGCCATTTGATAAACCGCATGGTGCTTATCAATTAGCATGGCCAGTCTAAATCCTTATGGTTTATTTGCTCAAGATGATGATTTGCCCATGTTTATTTGCACATAACATTCCGTTTCGTGAAAACGCGGGAAAATGGCTTCCTGCCAACGGTGAACGGAAAGCGGGAATTATGTAACCATTACTTTTCTCAATATTCGATTCCAGGAATATGATAAAAGAACGAACGTTCGTTAATTAATGCAGTACAAAGTACATGCATACAACATGAAAAGTCGCAATGGGATGTTAATTAACTAAATTCATTGTCACACTATGGCAACACACCGGCATCGATGCAAAAATAAAATTTTTCAGCATTACTTGCTTCAAGACTCTACAGCATTATCTGCTGATAAGTTCACTTGGAAAGTATCAACAACAAAGAACTAAAAAACCGATAAAAGTTTTTACTCCTATATTTTGTCATTTTGATGTGTTTGTATAACCACATTGCTAGAGACGCCCTTCAACAACCGAGGACGACTCCTCAAATTTCTACAGTTCAAGTAGGTTATCTGCTTATGAAATGCTTCCCATATGGCCATTGAAAATGTATCGACCAAATCTCATCTCCATTACAATAGTAAAGGAATTTATTGTCTAATTTTTGATCACTAATTAAAAAAGTTCAACACCAGTCTCTTGAAATGGTGTTACTGCACTCATTGGTCATATGTACATCATATCACGCACAGTGCAATCTAACGGCAAATGCACGCCAAAATCATAATGATGACCTTGGGGAAACCGTACTCGTTTTGTTCAAAACATAATTTCGAGATCGAATAATGTTTCTATTATGGATGGTTGCTTGCAAAGAAGTACACACTGCGTTTATATTGATTGAAAATTTATATTAATTTTGTCATTTGATTAATGATACTTTGGAATTTTGACTCTGAGACAATGGTTATGTTACAATATCAATTCGATCGCCATATTTCCATCCCGGGCAATTTTCAACTGTCCAGAATGGTGAAAAAACCGTTTTGTCACACGGTTACGTAGGCTACATAACTCCTTATGCTAGGCTTTGATATTTCAACACACAGTGGCAACGGTTTGAGCTACACAGGAGAGCATGTCTTTTGTTGACAAACATATTACATCTAGATTACACTATGCATGCGCTTAATTACGTCTCGTGATTTTTTTTTGCATTTCGTTCACCCTGGTAAGGTGTCGACTTACCTTACTAATATTTAGGTGTTGACTTACCTTGCTAATATTAAGGTGTTGACTTACCTTACTAATATTTAGGTGTTGACTTACCTTACTAATATTTAGGTGTTGACTTACCTTACTAATATTTAGGTGTCGACTAACCTTGCTAATATTTAGGTGTTGACTTACCTTACTAATATTTAGGTGTTGACTTACCTTACTAATATTAAGGTGTTGACTTACTTTGCTAATATTAAGGTGTTGAGTAACCTTATAAGCCATTAAGTTGAGGTAACAAGGAGATGACTTTTAATTCCGATAACTTTATTTTCAAACTAAAGAATCAAATGCAAAGGTTCTACAAACCACCACATGACTTCAGATAGCTCAGCTAACCAACCTCGTTAATTCTCTCATTGGATGAAAATCATATGAAACAGTGAAAGTTTTGAATTTCTCTCGAACTTCTCAAGGGATGCATAAAAAAACAAAATATCAAATATAATGCTTTATCCCCATGGATAAAACATACAAGACTGTAATGTAATCTTAATTTGGCTCTATAGGCATGTATTAGCAATGTAATCAACATTGTAAATTTCCCATAACAACGATATGAGAACATTACAATTACAGTAAAATATTTAAATTTATTAGAGTTGACGGGACCGAGGCAGACTAGTCCAAGTTTGAGCCTACATTAAAAACGTCATCAAGCCAGCCTGTAAATTTCTAAATTGTATCATGCTTTATGACAAGCCAAGTTTTAAAAAAATCTTGTAGATTTTCAGGTCCATATTTCATTGCCATCTTTAACACTTTAGCTTCAGTTTCTAATGAGTAACACAAAAGAAACTGAAGACAGTAAAATGTATCTTATACATTAGGATACCAACCCACCCTCCAAATAATTTCTAACACTTGGTATTCCCTCGTGTTTGATTTAGGTGCATTCCTACTTCCGTACATAATAATGCTGATTATCGAAGGAATTCCGCTGCTCTACCTCGAGCTCAGCGTCGGTCAAAGATTAAAAAAAGGATCTCTAATCGCTTGGAGCATGATATCCCCCTATATGGGTGGGGTCGGTCTTGCCTCCGTGGTGGTTTGCATCCTCACGGGAAGTTACTATAGCATCGTGCTGACGTGGTGTTTGTATTATCTAACCTTTTAACCTGAAACTGGTGTCTTATGGAAAATAATTAAGCCTAAATTAAAGTGCAGTTATACATTTCTTATATAATAACTGACCATTGTTAAGCAATAAAATAAAAAATTCAAACTACGATTTTACACTTCGACCACGAAAACTTCCAAGTACGAATCAAATGAGGCTAACAAGGGTTGTCAAAAATTAATTGAGTTTCAATTAATTGCAATTATTTGTAACCAATTAATTGATTGGGCGCACCTCCAATTAAAATTAATTGATTGGCATTGACTGCTTTTTTTCTTTTTTTTTACATTGAAACTACTTTTGTCTTGTCACAGCAGCTCCATCAAAGGTCAATGGTCACTGCTCACAAGTCAGCTGACTCGATTCGATCCTGCCATCTCGCTGCTTGCGTTAGCGAATCATAAGCCACCGAGCCGAGAACTGACTCATCCTATAGCTTCCCGTCAGACATTTCTAAAGCGCTAGCTGCGAAGAGCAAATATCGATTGAACTTGATACCTCTTCCTGTAACGTAATCGCTGAGTCAGTTGCTTTTTTATCATTGTAATTCGTTGCTGGTGACAGTGTTGGTTGAATTCATTCGGACGAAATATGGCCAGCAAGGCAAAGATACAAACATACTTTAAAGAAGCAAAGCCTGGAGAATGGGAGTGCACTTGTGGAAAGACGTTAAAACAAAAGAAGGGCACCGGATGGACAAATCTCGCGAACCATCTGAATTCTCAGCATCCGGATTGGAAGCTAGAAAAAGGACAGACGACGCTCGAAACTTCAACCTCCACCACCACCACTACATCCAGGAATATCTATTCGTAGCTTTAATGGGTATGTATGGGCCTGAAACCTTTTTCGTTTGTGACAGACCCATTGACCCGTAAATACACAACCCTAAGTCCGATATCCACCAACACGCTGAAGAAGTACATGGAAGTGGTTGTGAAATATGTTGAACGGAAGCTGTGCGATACATTGCCTGATAAATTTGCTCTCGTTATCGACGGGTGGACGGAAAAGAGCACTCATTTTGTTGCTGTTTTCGCCAGCTATCCTGACGCGAAAGCAACAGAGGGATATTCGACGGCTTTACTGGCTTTTAGTCCTATGGGCGAAGAAACTGGATTTACCGCTCAAGTTCACAAAGACTTTCTGGAGTGGGTCCTTTCTGTTTATCGAAAATCACTGGAAAATATCATTTGCATTATCGGAGACAATTGTGAGACAAACAAAGCTTTGAGCAACTTTTGTGGCTAGCCATTTGTCGGCTGCGCTTCGCACCGCTTCCATCTTGCTATGATGAAATTCATGGAAGGTTCGAGGATGCATTGGAAAGTTAATTCTTTGATGGTGAAACTCAAAAGTTTGAAATTGGCCGGCGAACTGCGGAAGCATACGATCTTGACTCCCTGCACTATGAATGTGACGCGATGGAGCTCAACTGCGAATATGCTGAACAGATACTTCGAGCTTATGCCTCATCTTTTCAATTTCGATGAAAATTTGGAGTTATTGGATCGCATGCCAACTCCAAGAGAGAATACTCAATTACAGGAGCTCAAAAAAGTTCTCTCTGAACTGGACTCGGTTACTAAAGCGTTACAACGAAGCGATGTGGACTTGGCTGACGTCCGGTGTGTTTTTGACGAAGTGATTCGACGTCATCCGGAGACGGCAAGTTACCTCGGACCTGATGCCAAGATTATCCACTCGATGGAATTCGAAAATGGAGCCAGAAAGATCGTGGAAACGAAAGACAGTTCCTTGACTCCTCTGGAGAGAAATGCTGTCGAGAGTCTAAAGATTCTATGGCAAGAGCAATAACCTGGTAGACACACATACAAAATAGCGAACCTCTAAGGCATGGCGAAAATCAAGTAGTTGAATCCAATCGACAAAAAGTTAAGACGACAATTTTTGCCAGTTGTTAATATGTCAATTTGGCAATGCATTATATAAAGAAAACTTAAGTGTCTATGACATACATAAGAGACTAAACGTCATTACGAGCTTTGCTTCTCGGCTTATTGACAATTTTGAGAGTATACATACACAGAGTTAAAGCCAAACAGATAGCGGTATACAATTTCGCCGTTAAATAATTGACACCTGAATCAAAATTAGTGGAAAACTATAGTAATATAGATTCAATGTTTTGACAACAACACATTTCTTTTTCATAGCTGTATTCCTCATTTTCCGTTCAATCCCATTCATCTGAAAACAGTAATACGTAATTATATTTTTTTACTGAAAGTCCACCGGCATGGTCGACATAAAAAATACCAATAAACAACTTTAGCCATTGTGCAATAAAAAGATTCCGCCATTTTAAAGTAATAAAAAATTGAGATAATTCCACTCAATGAGTAGTCTGCTTTTTTAGTGGGAAAAACTGCGCGATTCTGTGATCTTGATGGAAGCAGCCTCGCAAATCTTTTATTCAACGGGATTGGCATTTGGTTGCATCCTCGCATTTGCCAGTTACAATCATTGAGTTCTATAATAACTGGAGCGGCTAAGTGGACTGGGACCTGATGCCAAAAAAATGGTGTCCAATGACTTATTTTCGCTGAAATGATCGCTTTGCAGAAAAATTATATTCAGGACCTCTCCCTGATGTCTATAGCTAATTATACAGCATTTTTCAAAAACAAACACGATATCTTTTTTTGCATTTGTTTTAAAATGCAAACACTTCAATCATTCAATTGTTGGCTATCATAGTGCCCACAAAAAGGAACATGTCGCTTTCACAGGTGAGATATTTGTTTTGTTAGTTCATCAAAAATTGAAAAGCAATTGAACTTGAAGCCTGAGCGATAAAATCCGACTGATGTTTTCCTATTTTTGTTTTTAAATATAAACATACTTTTCCACTTATTTGTTAATGTGTGAAACCGTAAATCTGTTTGCAAAATAGTTTCCCTGACGCGAAAAAAGATTCTGCTCTTTTTACTCAGTGGGCAGATACTATGAAGAAACGATCACCCCCAACGAGAGCCCTTGAAGTAGAGAAGAGTTTGTTCTGATCAATTTGCTGAAAACATGAAGAGATAATCGGATAGCAAAATGTTTCTGGAATATGCTGCAGTGCCACTATTTCATAGATCATTATAGTAAAAAGACAATTGGAAGATGCTATTGACCAGGCAGAGTCTAACTGTAAAATGCTAAGGCTGAATACAAACAAAGGTAAATGATTTACAGACTTCCCTGTCCAACAGTTGTTTGAACTTGGACTAATTCTATGGATAGACTTAATGGATTTAGTAAAGATACCTTTATATGTTGCATACTTAGAGGGAAAAATCTCATAGCAACTGGTATTAAATATTAGTATAAAAATTATTATTGAGGTAAAAGCTGTATTAGTCAATCAAATTCTGAATTCACATGGCTAATAGGAAACTTATAAAAAAGGGAAAAAGAAGAGAAGTATTAAATACACAATTGTGTATTCATGTTTTAAGTATTATGAACAATATTGTAATTCAAGTGTTTTAAGCACTTGCATTTTTGCCATTTCACAATCATTACAACGAAATCAAATATGTTACAACTTGACAAGTATTTGATGCAGTTCTTGTTCAGATCACAAAAATCTCAAAGGTTCTCATGATTTGTATGCAATATTTTTATCATTATTCATTTACGAAACGCGAGATGCATGTACAAAAACAAATCCCACAATTGTTGCCAAAAAGGCCATCACATGAAAGATATTGAGGATAAATAAGCTAACAGATCCGTTGAATAAAATATGATGTATTTTATTTCGTCTATTTGATAGAGCAAATCATTGAACGACAGTTACGACGCGCACATCTTCATTCCTGTGTCCAACAAATACTCGTTCGTTAAAATCCGTCGTAGAAACAACTAACCATAGTACACCTTTTATGAAATTTATGTTTTACAGTGATTTTCATTATGAAATTGCTTGTCAAATATGGAAACACAGATACTTTTCTCCATTTTAAAGTAATAACAATTGGGTTAGTGTCATTTAACGAGTAATCTGTTATTTTAGTGGGAAAAATTGCGCGATCCTTGATCTGGATGGAGGCTGCCTCGCAAATCTTTTATTCAACTGGATTGGCATTTGGCTGCATCCTCGCCTTCGCCAGTTACAATCCATCCAATCAAAACACGCTAAAGGACGCCATTACGGTTTCATTGGTTAATTCAGGAACGTCACTTTTTGCATCGTTTGTCGTTTTCTCCATTTTAGGATATAGGTTAGTGAAGTATGAAATGTCATTCCTCCTCCTCCTTGAGTTTTAATTCTGAGGAGTGACCAAGCATCGGACTATATTTTTGACAGACTATTGATGTGCGAAAAAAGTTTTACTTTGTTATTTTCATTGTGAAGCAGCGTTTTTTATTACTTTTATGATTACTTCATGAGCTTTTGTAGCTATTTCACTATTTTAGCAAAGTGGGTGAGTTCTGGGTGTTGTAAATGTTTGTTTTAAATTTTTGTTTTAATTTTTTTATAATCATAGTGCGGTTTATTTTGCGGTAAACAAGACTGATGTTGTTGTAAACATTCCGAGTATAGTTTTTATCAAATCGAAGTAGGACATGTGGCCATACCTTTGAAGAATACACAGTACTTTTGCTTTCTACTTCAAGCGTTTTAGAAGAATTCTTAGTACTTTTTACTCAAATCTAGAATATAAAATCAAAGTAACTTAGTACTACTACTGCCCCCAACCGACATTTTCTCTTCGTATTGTTGAATGCACGAAGTTCTCAGAGCTTTTGGCTCCCGTCCCCTCACGAAATCATGTCCTATGTCACTTCGTGAAAATTGTATTCCAAAATCACACCTATATTTATTACAGTATGCGATAAAACCACCAAATATATTTGGCCTACTGACCTACGGCTAAATCCCAGATTATTTAGACGGAATAGTTGATCTTGCTCAAGAAGCAAAGCGAAATAAATATAGATAATACTAATGCCACAATTCGTAACAACAGCAAACGCGAACAGAAAAGGGAAGGTTCAAGCTTCGAACATATAAAATCTAGAATATGAATATTTCTTCTCGATATTTTAAAGTAAAGCGCTCACCTTTCGTACACTTTCTTATTTTTAATTATCAAATGTTTGTTTAGCTCTTCCTTGGCTCGGCTATTTGATTACTTGCCATCCAAATTCTTGTATAATTCGTTTCAAATCGGATATAATCTTGCACGAAATTAAACATGTCCGTCTTCCATGAGAACATGTTGCTTATGTTTGAGTTTGACTGACGTGTGACGTGACTATTTTTGACCAATTAAATTACTTGATTTTTATCTAGGGCCACGGTGAACGTACAAAAATGTGAAGCAGCCAACTTGGCAAGCAATACCACCACAAGGCCTTGTAAATTTGATGATTACTTAAAAAGGGTAAAATTCTGGTAAATTCGAGGCCTCCTTCAATACTGTTCAAAACAAATAAGATCTGATAAGAATCACCTTACAAATGACGTCATTAGAAAGCGGGTCATTGATGAACAATTCTATCAGTGCATGCAGAATACATTGCTATCCTACTAATATGAATCCTAACACGGTCTTTATACGCACATGAATATCCTATAGATGAGTAACGATTAACGAATTCCTCATTTTTCAGGCCGCAGTGGGTCCTGGACTTGTATTCATTGCGTTTTCTGAAGCAATAAGCACCATGCCGGCAGCTCCAATATGGTCGGTATTGTTTTTTCTCATGTGTCTCACTTTGGGAATAGACAGTCTTTTGGTGGATTGGAAAGTGTGGCAGCCTCGTTAGCGGATTTAAAGCGCTTGGATAAAGTCAGGATTGAATTTCTATCAGGTCTGTTCGAGCGCACTTGATTCAATGAAAATTAAAGAGAGAGCTTGACATTTTAAATATCTTATTTTTTACAAACCAACTAGGCGGGATATGTCTCATTTGCTTTTTGCTCGGTCTGAGTATGGTGCTGGATTCGGGCAGTTATGTTGTTCAGTTATTTGATAAGTTCTCGGCGAACATGTCTCTCCTTGTGATCGCCATTTTTGAATTCTTATCAGTGACGTGGCTCTATGGATTCAACAGGTGGGAATTTTACGACGTACAAAGGCAGCAGTTATATGAATGCAATTTAGTTTGGTTGAATTTTTTTATATAACTGCTTTGTATAAAGTCTCTGCGCCTATTTGCATTTCTAATTTTTCTGATTGGAAGAACCATATTGTGAATTTGCAGAAAATGACGTTTTATCACGTCAGTTATAATATACATTTCAAGAATGATGTTCAAGCAAATCAGGAAATGGGGCAAAGATTTTTGTTAGACTCTTTGTCAACCATAGTGTACTGCACGCTTATCTTACAAGATGTTCCTTTTCAAAATCACAAGCCAAAAAACAGAGCATTACCGCTTGCAATGAAACAACAAGGTCCTTGGTAGCGAGCCATACAAACTATTTGAAATTCCACAAGACTTTCACGGATGACAAATTTTAATTATTAAGATATAAACGCGCAAAGCATTGCGGTAAACAAAGACAGTTGATTTTTTTTAAAAGCATGATCTTGTCTACACGCTGTAGCCAGCCCGCAAGCTTGAGTCCTACCATGTAAGCTACTGGCGATTATTTTTTCAATGAGAGAACAAAGAAAATTTGCATAACAGGCTCGATGAGCTGGTTGGTTACATCACTGTCTACAGGAAAACTTTACCTTTAATCTCAAGTTGAATATTTTGCTTCTCTCATCAAATGGTGTTCATTTTGATATTTTCCAGGTTTAGCAATGACATTAGATGTATGAATGGTTCGCCTCCTGGAATTTGGTGGAAAGTGTGTTGGATGTTTATATCACCAAGTATAATACTGACCATACTTATACTGTCCGTCAATAAAATGGCCAGAGAGGAATTGACGTATGACGCTTGGACAAGAGATGTAAGTGAGACAACTATATCGCTCGCGTACATGATTTTTTACACCATGAAGGTCGGCCCCAGTCCCCAGAATGTAAAGGAAAAGAAACTGTAAGGATATCAAGATTGTTGGCATGAATGAATAAGGCTAGGAGGGGGGAGTTTAGGGTCGTATGAAATTTTAACTGTATTTCTTTATGTTCCACAAGGGAAAGATGATCGAGCCAACTTTTCCACCTTGGGCCATCGCTCTTGGTATAACAATGACAATGATACCGATAGTGATCATACCTGTCGTCGCTATGCTGCAATGCCTCGGTGTGGCAACATGGATAGTACCAAATACCCCGCTGGCCATTGATTCATCGACAGAAGCTACAGAAACACTGGTAGTGAACTGTGGCTCAAAACATGTGGAAACAAATGGAAAACATCATGAAGTAAACGGAAACACTCAGCGACAAAGCGAATCGGGTGAAACTATTTTTTAGACATAACTTCGAGACGAGGTCTACTCATAAATTGATATTTTCTTTGAGAGACTATTTTTTGGATCATCGAAATAGATTTGCAACTTGTAAAGCACATTTATATCTTAATATTGACACCAGTGGCGTAGATTGGAAAACCTGCTTCCATAGCTTTGCTATGGTAATTTACATCACATAATCCACATTGCAAAAAAAACAGAGTTTTTTTTAGCAAAATGAATAACGATGCTCTGAAATTTATATAGCAGGACCTGAACTTACGCCTTGCCACGCTACTAGTTGACATTGCACAGTATGAAAAGTGTAATAATAAAGGACAACACGATAAACTCTCTAAGCGTTATTTGCCGGCGAAGTAAAAATCCTTTTAACATTTATGAGGGTAAAACTTGCATTAGGTTGTATTTATAGTCAATGACTGTTTTATTTGTTTTTAAACAGTATGTGACGGTGACGTTGTCATATTCAGCTGACTCCGACAAGTAATGAAAGTAAGGATTCAAACTGTGCGTATCTGGCTTGAAGCCAGCGACTTTGATAAACATTCAATCTGTTCTGCCAGTGCCAGTGAATTATTTGGGCACTGAACCCTATTCTTGCTTAATAAGACAAAACTTATAGATAAATGTTAAAGATAGATCGACTTCGCAATATCTCCTTTGAATCGCTTGTGTTTTGCCTCGAGATGACAAAGTTCGAGTAAAATGTCCCGCTTCTTACACGAAAGAAAGTAATTTCATTGGCTCAAATAGAGCATGCCCAAAGCAGGCTAACATATAAAGAGCAATTTTAATTATGTCCCTATCTTGACAATCTGGCTGATTACGTTTTTGGAAAAGGGCTTTTATAAACATGCAGGAACCATAAATGAAAAAAGTAGCTGGTTAAGGCATGTTAAAGTCTGTCCTTGGAAGTTTGAAATAGTTGATGTGCGTGACGTGCTGATCTCGGTCTGTTGCCGTCTTAAGTAAGTACAATCTTGATGAAATTCTTACGGTTTAATGGAGAAGATATAATGTCAAGTTACATTTAATAAAACCACATAACTTATTGCGCTTCGAATGGCAAAGCCAGTGGTTAACGACTTGACTTTCGCACGTGATGTATTATTGAATGCAACCGAGTCATGGTCCTTGAAATTTTGTCTAAAAATTTTGTAAATAGTTTCTTTTTCCGTTTGTTTATAATAAACCATGTATAAAATCTGGAATTTCAGTTTGCATAACAGTAGCGGATTTTCTTAACAGACAATTTAATCAAAAACGACATTGATGAAAGAAGTTATTTTAATGAAAATCCATTTACTTCCGAGTGAAGCAAATTTCGTGCTTTTTGGTTTACCAACAGCATGCACAATAGCATTGAAATCATACAAATATCTAAAATTAACTTTATCCATACACGTTCTTTAAGGCCTAGCACACTCGATATCCGTTTTCTTTCGCTTGATTCGATTTACAGGAAAATTTGACAGTCCTATCAACACATCAGGGACAAGCCCTAACGAACTTAGCATAAAATAGCCTAATCAATAGAGACATAAGTAGAATTGCGGCTAGACTTTCAATAATCCACTTCAAGCTTGTTTTTGTTTTAAAGACGTTCGATTTAGCAAAAATAGTGTTAAAATGTTCGCCCTTGCAAAGTCAAATGACATCGAGAATCGTGAGTTGCGTTCATCGAAACTTGAGCTTCAAATTTCACGATTTTATCTATTTCAAAAATGATACATGAAGTCAAGGCCCGTAGGCCATATTATATATTATTGTAAGATTTGCATTTTCCAATCAGAAATGAATAATATTTTAATGATTGACGATTGTATTTGTCAACTATAGATATCAGGGTTAACGTTGTAGGAGGGAGAAACTCAAAACATTGGCGACTTTTTCAGTCGAGAGAATAGAACTACAAATCGATACAGTTTCAAATGCTCAAACAGTCAGAATAATAGCATTTTCCACGAGTCGCGATGATACTAAGCTTTGACGACAAAGTGCTGAAGTGAATATCAATCAATCTTGATTTAACCTTTATTAACCTCTCAGCTCCAATTGAATTTAAATAATCACAAAGTTAGACGCATTACACCTGGGCATCGGATCGACACTTTAAACATCATTACAGTTGATCAAATCCTACATCTTCGTCTGTATCAAAAGACCATTGTTCAAGAGTGTACCTCGTGCGTTTTGACCAAAGTATATTCAATCATCAAAGTAAACTTGCTTCGAAAAAATAAAGAGAAACGAGACTCGGTTAGTACATCAATGAATCATTTCGAAGGGCTCAAAAGCATAGACAAAATGAGCTTCGATAGCCCGGAGCCGATACAACTAGACGAGTTGCGAGAAGCAAAGATACGCGCAGTAGAAATGGAGAAAACGATGCGTTGGTGGTCGGATTGCACGGCAAACTGGCGAGAGAAATGGAGTCAGGTAAAAAATGAACGAAACAAAGCGAGGGAGGAACTCAAAGCGTTAAAACAAAAGCTCCAAGATGCCAAAGATGAAATCTACCATCTGAAGCGAGAACGCAACGACTTCAGGGACGAGAATGAACAACTGAGGAAACAAGTGGATAAAATGGACGCGGAATTAAGACGCGACCGACGTGCGTTCGTGGCCCCAATGAAACCGATGACAGAAATTTCCTCAAATTCACCATCGGAGTACAATACGGAGTCTGTTCAGCACACAACAAGTAAGGCCTTATTGATTTCACATCAAGAATGTGATAAAATTTCTTCACTCAAGCATGTGAAAAACAAAAGATTTCGAATCAGCTGCAAAAATGCTGTGATGATTATATCAGTCCATCGAAAAATTCTTTCGTAGTGATGATTATCAAACTCGTGATGATTATCAAACTCTGTGTCCGTTACACGTTAGCGGTTGCATAATCCAGTAACTTTATTAAAATGTTTTTACGATTTTCTTGAAAAATGAGACATGCATTTTATTCATTGATAACTAATAACAAACTCAGCCACCAGTTTCATATCTGTACACAATCAATAAACTTTTTCCTTCTTACTTCACTTGTACTATAGAAGTTGTGAAAAAACTGACCACCTTCAGGATGATGTGATGGACGCAAAGAAATTCGTGGAAATGACAAAAACTCTGGATGAAAATTTACTGATACAAATTCCAAAGATGAACGCCTTCGTGAAAATATTGATAAAGAGGATAAATTCGAGGAAAACAATACCGAATTAGAAGAAAAATTAAGACAGACATCGAAACCTTGAAAGAAAAATTAAAACCGCAGAAGATAACGTTGCTGAAGAGATTCGGTGAGATGATTTATTTGCTTTTCTGTTTCCTTTCTTTAAAAAAAACATAGGTATATTTCTTCATGAAATGTGATAAAAAGCAACGAAGGTGAGAAAGTCAAGCTAGACAAAGTAAGAAGGCAAATCTATCAACTATTACAGGAGTTTGACAACTGTTCATACTATTGCGTGAAAGACCAAGTCCATCTCATACCTCACAATGGTTTTTATGAATAAAGGAAAATATTCCGTAAGACGTGTATGAAAATTTTGATGATTGCATGAGATTTGACGTCTTCGTTTTCTAAAATTCTTTGGTCTTTGTCAGACTGAAACAAAACTTTAATTAACTCATTCAGAATAATTATTGTACCAGGGGGTCGTATTAGAACGAACTCAATCATCAACGACAGCAAGGGAGATAGTATTTGCTGCAGTGTGGCCAAATATTCGACTTTTTTTATGTACTAGATTAGGTTTGATGAGCCCAGACTGTTCTACCTGTTTGATAAAGTTGTGAAGTTTAAAACAGGAGAGGTTAAGCTCATCCGACCGAATCTGGTACAAAAATTTGCATATATGTTTACACTCATTTGCTTCCCATCCAACTCACATCTGGCGAGCAAAACGTGATGTTCATATAACGTCAAAACAACCTGACAATGACATTTGAAGCTACTTTAGCAAACATTTATTTAGGCTAACATAAGTCAACATCACTCGCACAAATCTCTAGAACCACGACACAAAAAAGATTGCAGTCCCAGTTACTTTATACATACGATCCTCAGCAGGCGGGCGCTTGCTTAAAAACTGCTGACTTTTATACCACGATATGACTGAGTGGGTGTCCTGTTGTATGATGATATGATTTCAAATTCTCGCTTATGGTGCATGATGATATGATTCCTATCTAATGAGACAGGATGCTCACTTAGATTCCTCCCATAATACAAATTCTTGTACATGTCTATATCATCACACACAAATGAGATCTTGGGCACTTGCTGCCCGGTAAGCCAGAATGTTAACGGATAAGTTTGTCTATTGAGTATACATAAGTTCCAGAAATATTCTCAAAAGGAAAAATGACAGTTCAAATCCTTAATTCTGTCAATATTTTCATCCATATGAACACGCGTTTCAAGGATGGGCGAGATAAAAAAACTTCCCACTTCATCCAGGCGGCACCACATTAACAAGGCGTCATAGATATTTCTGCTGTGTGATATAAAATTGAGTTTGGATATTTCAAATTGATGTTTAAAGATTTCATCGCTGATCCTGTTGTTAGAAAACAATGGAGTTCAGTTTAGAGTGTTTTTAGTCACAGAAATCCGTCATTCTCTTTTTCTTTAATTTTGTGAGATTAAAAAGAGAAGTCTCCAAAACGTTAGACAGAAATATGATATTTTATATCTTACCATAGATTAAAAAACGAAGTTACCAAAACGTTAGACGAACTTAGAGAAGAAATGGAAAAGTTGAAAGAGTCTCTCGACCACGAAAAAAACCTCAATGAAAATGTTTTGAACGAGGTATCACGTGAAGTTATCTTTTAGTGGACGGTCGCCCACATGACTTTAACAGATTTGCATTGTTAAGGAACTGTAAAGTCATAAATCTATACGTCTCCATGTTGACATTCTCATGTTTCAAAATAGTTCTTCTGTAGAGAGGGCACCCAAGACGTAAACCAAATTACATACTTAAATGAACAAAATGCATACGATTTATAGAAACATTCTCATGCCTTGAGGTAGCTATTTTTTGAAGAAAATCGTGAATGGTGGACCGCAGTGGATTTACGTAGACAGCTTCAGATGACTACGTATCGCACTCTTAGTCAAATTATAAGCTTTCTAACGCGAAATGAACTACCCCCTTTCATCTAAATGCTACAAAACTTATTATGAAAACTTATTATGAAAACTTACTATGACAACTGTACTCATGCCTCGTGCGTCCAATTGCAGCTTAATCAACGGAAGGAAGAAAATGAGATTGTGAACAACGAAAAGTTGTCATCTGGCAACGTTCGTGTTACATATGGTGCAGACAGCGTGGATAGAAAAGTCAAAGATCTTCGCTCAGAGGTATGTTAACTATGCAATAAGAAGATCAGAAAATGTTTAACCATGACTGTTTGATCTCGTTGCATTTGATCCCTAAAGCAAAAAAATCTGTTACAGAACAAAATTCTTTAATTGCAGAACAAATGTGTGTGACAACAGGACAAAATTCTCCAATAGAAGGGAAATGCAGCTGTCATGATTTTTCTTGTCTATTTCCTGCTTATTTATTATCAAAAAATGGCGCACTTTTCAGACCCAAACTAGTTTCTGAAATCTCCCACAGATACATCCCATAGCTTTCTGTAACATTAAGGACGACAACAGCTGTAACACCTTTTTGTCATTACAAATTGTTTCAGATCGAAAGATTGCAGAAGGAGAACTCCAGCGAATGGAACAAACGAGAGAAACTAGAAACTCAAAAGTTGAATGCAGAAAGAGAAAGCAAGAAGCTTCGACATCAATTGACGGTAAAACGAGAAAAAGTTGTTTCAAAATATACCGAAGTAGAAAGTGAATAGATAATTCCTCATAATTGGTTTCACAGGATTTACAAAATGAAATGAAAACGAAATCGGACGAGATCAAACAGGCTACAGATACGAAGTTAAAACAAATACAGAAAGAGTTAGACGAAAAGAAAAAGGTATTGGATATAGAAGACCAAAAGCTAATTTACTGAGCTAAGTTATATTTCTAAGAACAATAAGGACATTACTGACACTACAAGATGCTATGTACTCTACGAAGGACATGATTATGGGAGCAATCATGACTTATCCTCTACAAACAAATGACGCAATTGGGAATGTACAAATGATTCGTTTTGATAGGTCTTTTCAATCACGTGTTCTCTTAGGAAATGAGCGAGCTCAAGACATCACACTTGAAATTAAAAAAAATCTATCAAGATAAGGTAAGCTGTGATAATGTCTCTGTATGAAGAGGCTCTACAACAGAATACTGACATTTGTAAAATAAACACAATGAAACGCGTGCGCTGATTGGTCTAGAGCTGTGTTTGCATTAGCCTGTGCAAAACATCCGAGCTCAACCAATCAAATCATTCATAACAATCAATCAGACAAAGAGAATTTGAAAATCGATTATGAATACATTTTAGAGGAAAAATTAAAATGTTTGGCTTTTTCACATTGTTTTATTTTATAAAAGAAATAAAAGATGTTTTTCGTGTTTGCATTGACTTATGCAAACTTCGCAGACCTTTGTGAGAATCCTCAACCTTCGGTGTCGGGCTTGCACTAATCTGCTCTCGAGTTCTCCCAAAGGTCTCTTCGGTTTGCATAAGCCTGTGCAAACACAGTAAACATCTTTGATATCTTAAATAAAAAAATAATCGTCGTCCCTCCTATATAGACTTTTGTTCGAATGCTAAATGCCAAAGATGTTCTCCTTCTTGTGTATATAGAAAGAAGACGTTTTACATAATAAGACGCGCTTGGATCAACAAGATGAAGAAATCAGGAAACTTCGAGGAAGAATTGACGAGTTAAAAATGAAACTAACTGCAGCAGAAGATGAGGTACAATTTCTCGTAGAACAGAAAAATTACGATTCAACTTCAAGTTTACTGCACATTGAAGACACGATAAAACCCAGAGGGTCTAGCAGTTTTGTTTTGACTAACTGAAAACTTTTGCCTTTTTGAAAGATAACAAAAGCAGACAACGGTTGACAAGAAGTGATTTTCCATGCAAACGTTATTTGATTACATTTATTTTATTAATCATCAGTTTCGCCAATTATAAAAAGATAAAACGGTCGTTTCTCATTTCAGCGTATTTTGCGTCGCTTGTCCACAGAAAAAGATATTTTAAAAGACATGTTATTGTAACAACAAAACCAAGTGACCTTGTAACTCTGTCCTGACTGCTATATTTGTATTCCGTTAAACCATATATTCTAAAACACTAAGCATGTTTAATCTTGTTTTTATAAACTATTTCATCTCGATGCTTCCTCAATATTAAGAACTGTTCAAAGTTTTCAAACGTTTTTAACCATCAAATGAAACGTCGAACCGCTCACGCAGAAAAAGCCAACCGGCAAACCTTTAATTTACTTGAGCGATTAATTCTCTGCATATGCGTTTGAAGGTCGATCAGAAAGAAAATCTGCAGCGAAAACTACAACGACAGTTGGACGATCAGACACAGCAATGTCAAGTGCTTCAAGTTCAAATGGAACATTTACAGAAAAGGTAAAGATAGGAAGACTTCGAGTAATAGTGGCGACTGAGGAATAGCTCTGATCATTTGTAAAGTGTATCTTCATCGTCAAATTGTACAATACAGGTACTCCTTAAGCTTAAGTTAGAAGAGTGTGTACACAAGGGGATTAAATTAGACACATTTAAGTATGCTCCATTACATCCACTAAGGTCCATCATTCTTATTCAAACTTCAGGTGTGCTTAGAAAACCGAGACTTTATCATCATATATGTACATGGACATGATTTAATAGGAATGTTTAGGAAAAGGGCTTGTTTTCCTACACTTCACAAATTATTTCTGTTTAGGTGGATCAAAATGAGCAAAGGTAATCGAATAAGCAAACGTGGAGATAGGAATAGCTACAGAGATGAGGACGAAGATGATGATTTACTGGAATTAGATTTATGATAACAGACTCGGGGAACACTGACCGAATCACCATTTTAAAGCGAATTTAAATATTTGATCAAGATAATTCGTTGTATGATAGATACAAACAAAACATAATTCTAGTTAGTCCATGGTCATAAATCGTAACACTGTAGATAAGTGAAAATTGATACTTGAAAATTTTTACAACTATTAATCGTTTTCTGTAAACAGAAATAGAACAAATAAATGCAGATGTTTAAGAGTTTCTCATTAGCAAACCACCCTTGGCTGCGTAACCAGAAACTTTATAGAAGGGATGATGAACATTTGAGAAAAAACAAACTCGTACTGGTAACATTTTTTCTCACGTAAAATGTCATGTATTTTAGTTGGTTAAACCTGACTTAACTTGATATATTAGAGACAGAGGCGTTACTGGAACGTTATTTGCGGGTGTGTATGTTCATATATTCAGTTGTGCCCAACTGATTTCTTTTCAAATTCAATTCACTTTCAAAAGAAATCAGCAGGGCACAAAGGAATATATGAATATGGACCCCCCCCCCCCTCAAATTAACGTTCTAGTTACACCTCTGATTAGAGAAGCAAACACAGCGCGATTGAGTTAAAAACACGGAGACCGTTTTTCATATTTGAATGCAACCAGATATTTTCAAATATTTTGTGTTCCTTTTATTATCTGTCGAATTTTTTAAAAACAATTTTCATGGATACATACACTTGCGTCCACAGCACCCTCCCCGTTTACGGGACTGCAAACAAGTGCAAAATTAATTTGATTTTCAATAAAAGTCGAAGTTTGCATATGCAAGTAAAAGGGATTATTCATAATATATTATTATTTGCTGCTATGAATAGCTTATTTGCCATGTTGCATGATAATTATTTTAACAGTTCTAAAAAGTTCTGTCGAAAACCAATAGCAAACCAAGGTTTTGAACAGTTTTTTTTAGAACTGCCATTCACCATGGCAAATACTCCATTCAAAGCAGTATTTAGATTTATTACCACAACTAAATCTTCATTTATTACTTTACATAACTATGTATGCGAACAAATAGAAAACAGGTTTCGAAAACAGGTTTTCTACAATGAACAAATAAATAACAACCAACTTGTTGCTATGACATTGTCATGTCCACGAAATTGTAAAAATCGTCAATATTTTTATCGGCCGTGTCCTTGCTGGAGGATACGAAAGCGACTTCCGACGTGCTTTCTCCATCAAACAACGCCATGAAAACTTTATTGCAAACCTCGACGCAATTATCGCCGTTGATCTCAAGTCCTATCGCAGTACCTGAAACGTGCAGATATATTTGAAATTTTGCGATATTTATCTCAGCGAGCGATCTTTCTATAATATGAATACGAATTTAGCTACTAAAGATTTTTAAGGTGAAAATGCAGAATTATTTAGCAGAAGTGAAAATTCCGTCTGACCGTACTACTACCTCGCTCAATTTGTCAATTAAATGTGAATCAATTCTCAATCAACAGATAAACATTGCGTTTGTAACCTCACAGAAACTAGCAGAAAAAGTGGGCAAAGAACAACTACGTGGTAAAGAACTTCTTCAAGGTGAACTATAGTCGGATGCTGCATGGGGAATGGAATAACCACAATCAATATAGTCAGGAAAACTAATAAAGGAAATGCCATTTGGGACTTATTGATCTAGAAAAACAGTAAAGAAAATGGTGGGTGGGAATGGAAAACAGCCATACCTTGTTGTAGATGACTTAAATCACGCTCTCTGCCAAACACCCGTTGAGCATCTTCACTACTCATTTGAATTTCCTTCGTACGAACCAAGTCAAAGGAATTCTAGAAAATAATAAGAGAACGTGTTACAAAAATAGGTTTCCAAGAAACAAACATCGCTGAAGACGACATGTGAGGTGAATTACAACTAAAATTTCCACAGAATACACCAACAAAAAGAATGATACATAAAATTCAAACAATTGCTGTCATTAAAATGCAAAAGTCAGCAAGCTTTACCAGACGCATTTCGCGGAGGAAAGACTTCGCGTTGTGTGTCGCTCCATTTCTGGGAAAGAAGACCACTAAGCATGACTGAAAATGAAGAAATTGAAGACACAACGTTATTTGAAAGTTGAAAAGGATTAACACGAAAGACATGCCACAAGTGTGTTCTTCTTTAAACAACACGAAGGACATGCCACAAGTGTGTTCTTATTTAAAAACACGAAGGACATGCCACAAGTGTGTTCTTATTTAAACAACACGAAAGACAAGTCACAAGTGTGTTCTTCTTTAAACAACACGAAGGACATGCCACAAGTGTGTTCTTCTTTAAAAAACACGAAGGACATGCCACAAGTGTGTTCTTCTTTATAAAACACGAAGGACATGCCACAAGTGTGTTCTTCTTTATAAAACACGAAGGACATGCCACAAGTGTGTTCTTCTTTAAAAAACACGAAGGACATGCCACAAGTGTGTTCTTCTTTAAAAACACGAAGGACATGCCACAAGTGTGTTCTTCTTTAAAAACACGAAGGACATGCCACAAGTGTGTTCTTCTTTAAAAACACGAAGGACATGCCACAAGTGTGTTCTTATTTAAAAACACGAAGGACATGCCACAAGTGTGTTCTTCTTTAAAAACACGAAGGACATGCCACAAGTGTGTTCTTCTTTAAAAACACGAAGGACATGCCACAAGTGTGTTCTTCTTTAAAAACACGAAGGACATGCCACAAGTGTGTTCTTCTTTATAAAACACGAAGGACATGCCACAAGTGTGTTCTTCTTTATAAAACACGAAGGACATGCCACAAGTGTGTTCTTCTTTATAAAACACGAAGGACATGCCACAAGTGTGTTCTTCTTTAAAAACACGAAGGACATGCCACAAGTGTGTTCTTCTTTAAAAACACGAAGGACATGCCACAAGTGTGTTCTTCTTTAAAAACACGAAGGACATGCCACAAGTGTGTTCTTCTTTAAAAACACGAAGGACATGCCACAAGTGTGTTCTTCTTTAAAAACACGAAGGACATGCCACAAGTGTGTTCTTCTTTATAAAACACGAAGGACATGCCACAAGTGTGTTCTTCTTTATAAAACACGAAGGACATGCCACAAGTGTGTTCTTCTTTATAAAACACGAAGGACATGCCACAAGTGTGTTCTTCTTTATAAAACACGAAGGACATGCCACAAGTGTGTTCTTCTTTAAAAACACGAAGGACATGCCACAAGTGTGTTCTTCTTTAAAAACACGAAGGACATGCCACAAGTGTGTTCTTCTTTAAAAACACGAAGGACATGCCACAAGTGTGTTCTTCTTTAAAAACACGAAGGACATGCCACAAGTGTGTTCTTCTTTAAAACACGAAGGACATGCCACAAGTGTGTTCTTCTTTAAAAAACACGAAGGACATGCCACAAGTGTGTTCTTCTTTAAAAACACGAAGGACATGCCACAAGTGTGTTCTTCTTTAAAAACACGAAGGACATGCCACAAGTGTGTTCTTCTTTAAAAACACGAAGGACATGCCACAAGTGTGTTCTTCTTTAAAAACACGAAGGACATGCCACAAGTGTGTTCTTCTTTAAAAAACACGAAGGACATGCCACAAGTGTGTTCTTCTTTAAAAACACGAAGGACATGCCACAAGTGTGTTCTTCTTTAAAAACACGAAGGACATGCCACAAGTGTGTTCTTCTTTAAAAACACGAAGGACATGCCACAAGTGTGTTCTTCTTTAAAAACACGAAGGACATGCCACAAGTGTGTTCTTCTTTAAAAAACACGAAGGACATGCCACAAGTGTGTTCTTCTTTATAAAACACGAAGGACATGCCACAAGTGTGTTCTTCTTTATAAAACACGAAGAACATGCCACAAGTGTGTTCTTCTTTATAAAACACGAAGGACATGCCACAAGTGTGTCCTTCTTTAAACAACACAAAGGACATGCCACAAGTGTGTTCTTCTTTATAAAACACGAAGAACATGCCACAAGTGTTTTCTTCTTTATAAAACACGAAGAACATGCCACAAGTGTGTTCTTTATAAAACACGAAGAACATGCCACAAGTGTGTTCTTCTTTAAAACACACGAAGGACATGCCACAAGTGTGTTCTTCTTTAAAAACACGAAGGACATGCCACAAGTGTGTTCTTCTTTAAAAACACGAAGGACATGCCACAAGTGTGTTCTTCTTTAAAAAACAAAGGACATGCCACAAGTGTGTTCTTCTTTAAAAACACGAAGGACATGCCACAAGTGTGTTCTTCTTTAAAAAACACGAAGGACATGCCACAAGTGTGTTCTTCTTTAAAAACACGAAGGACATGCAAGTGTGTTCTTCTTTAAAAACACGAAGGACATGCCACAAGTGTGTTCTTTAAAAAACACAAAGGACATGCCACAAGTGTGTTCTTATTTAAAAACACGAAGGACATGCCACAAGTGTGTTCTTATTTAAAAAACACGAAGGACATGCCACAAGTGTGTTCTTCTTTAAAAACACGAAGGACATGCCACAAGTGTGTTCTTCTTTAAAAACACGAAGGACATGCCACAAGTGTGTTCTTTTTAAAACAATGTATCCACCTCTTCCGACTTTTATCACACCACAATTCTCTCTCCTCTGATTTCTTTTAAAGAGCATACGACAACGTCATGCGATCTCAAGACTTATATGTCGATCTCATCTGCCTTCTTTCTAAGACATTTATCTAACTCATCTGACCATCTGACCTTCTAAAACTATACATATTTACCTCATCCGACGTCTTTCTTCGTGATCCCAAAGTGACAGGAACGACACTTGAATCCAGATCAGCAGATACCTCTATTTCAGGAAACTTATCGGGTGAAGGAAATGGAACATACTCGTTCACATTGGCATCCTTCATTCAACAAACAAAAAGGCACATTCAACTTTGAAATGCTCAAAACATAAGCAGCAAAGAGATACAATTAGTCTTAAAAGTATTGGAAGAATACTCGGATGTATTTTTTTCATACTTCTTCCCAACATACATACAGGGTACCTGGGATGACGGAGGGATGTTATAAACTAGATTACCTTGGGTAAGAGGGTCCATGTTTTCACATCATTGGCTGGAGTGAAATCGTGAATGTTACTCCAGTTGTTGTTGAAAATACTGAGACCAGCGTCATCAAATTGACCTTCAAGTACAATAACAAAACAAAATTTAAAAACATAACTTTCTTTGAAAAAAAACAAGGACATATACAAAATGGAAATATGGTGAAATCTTAGCTTCTCACCGTCCTATCAACATATGCATGCAAGACTTGTTGATAAAACAAGTGCTCAGCCTAACCATTATAGTTTCATTGTGTATTCTGTGTGAGTGTTTACTTATAACATGCAAAAACAACATGTTTCTACAGAAATAAATAATCCTTATGATATGAAATGTACATAATACTGCGTAGCAAGAACAAATTTGCCAGCAGGCTTCCCCGCCACTAGTCATTCAATGATTTTCCTCACCCTGCAAGTTGGGATAGTTGTACTGAAAGCAACCAAACTTCATACCAGTAGAAGACTCAATGATTGGCTGTGTATTGCAGCACAAAAATACGTCCAATTGTTTACAGTCTCTTGTTCTAAAAAGTTTGCCCAAAACTTTTATACGACAGATAATGTTAGATTGAAAATTGAGTTGGACTAATGTTCGAACAATTATAAAGCTCCTTGAGGTCACTCCTTACCATATGTGTTTTGAAAAACCTTATTGCATATTCACAAAATTGCAATGCCTCTTATCTACAAACCTCTAGCTTTTGGGTAGTATGAAGTATCTGATCATACGATGGGAGGGGCTGTTGTGTTGATTTACACTCACCCAAGCTAACTTTTCTCATTATGCTACTGGACTACCTATCTTAATGGTTAACATGCAAAAACCAAGGGGGGAGGTATGTAGTGTTGATTTCCACCCCACCCCAAGTGAGAGTCTTCTCACTATGCCACAGAGGTACCTACCTAAACTGTTGACATGCCACAACAAACTTGCAATCTGAGCAATCTCGTATGTAAACACTGAAAATTTGAAATATTAGTAAAGTTAAATTATCAGAGCAATGTTATATGATTTACTTTTGAAAAAAATTTCTTCACCTTCCTTTACTTGGGCCGATGAATATTCGACAATTTATGCAATCATCGACAGATACTGTAGCTGAATGATCAAATATATAGATGTCACTTTTCTAGAAAGAAAAATCACTTGTAAATCAATTGAGCAATTGCTATTTGTACAAACCAAGACTTACTTCACAATTTTGAATAATACATTGCTGTCCGCTTAGTTGTCCTGGCATTCTACCAACAACTTGCTCCACTTCATTCTGGATGATAAAATTACTTGTATCAACGTCCCCACGTGTTTCCCTAAACATTTAATGGAAAATGCTTCATTGTAGTTCAGAAAACATAGTCAAGGTCTGATTGGTCGAAAAGCGCAAAGCATGAATGAAAGGGTGTTCCTTCAGCATGCCCGAGATTCAGAAGTCTGATGTGGAATTTCATTTCAAAAAAACATACACAAGATAAAAGACACGCGAGCAAATATATGCCCTAATTCCACATGAATGTGAAAGTCACGATGTATTGATTAATGAACGGCATACAACAGCTAAAACGCTAAAAGTGTCAATTAATTATCCAAATGATGACATTTAATAAAGCATTTGACGAGAAAACCTTCAGTCAAAAGGCACTGACCATTAATTTACGTACCAGCTATAAACTTTAGGTTTTGTGTCTTTGCTTTCTTCGTCCAATTGCGATTTCTTTTCCGAAGACTGCAAACAGCCCATTTCATGCCTTGTTTGTTAACCAGTAACTAAATGATGATGTCAAATCAATGAAATCATTCAATAAACAATCAACAACTTTGCCACTCGTCCTCATTGGCATCTTTTATTTTAATACTCCATAGCAACTGGCCTTTTGTTGCCAAGGACATCAATTATTCATAGCTCATTCCCAGGACACTTTATAAAAACCGTGTCATAAAGTGTGAAACAGTGAAAGTAAAGAAAGTCAAACCCGGTTAAATGGTGAAACCAAGACGGCACTGCAGGACCATTTACAGATAATGGTTTCCCATACCTATGGTCTGGACCATATGGATCAGAGGCAGTTGCAGGCAAGATCGAGCCAGATTCCCAAACTGAAAACCCAAATGTAGCAAAAAAAGATATTTATTCTAAAAAAGTGGAAGTTCATTCATCAAAGACAACTGGACAAAATGGTAATTTCTGCACCGGACTCCAGGATGAAAGCCAATATATTTTATTTGTTATTGGTGTTTGCTCGTTTCATTTGTACATCTCAAGCAGAAGAGGATCCTTTGGACAGTTTGCTAAGTTCTTACAAAAATTCTCGCGACCTTTCCGCAAGGAGGCTCAACTTCGATCACCATCGTCATGTACGTGATTGTCAGCCCATCGTGTATGGAAACACGACCTTCGAGGTACATTCACCAGCGAGTAGGGCTTCCAAGAAGAGCAAAAACACTTATCAGCTTAAATATTTCTCAAAGAAGATTTCGACCGAAAATGGTGATCGCTTTGTAAACGGTCACCTCACCTCTATAACCAATCCTTTGCAAAGTTTGTCAGTCCTTGAGCCTCTTCGTTCCGGTGGATGTGCTGGCAACGTACGGTCCACGGTTGCCATGACGTCAGAGCAAATGAACTGTCGTTTGGCAGTGAATGCTGGATATTTCAATACTCATATGGGAAGTTGCCTTGGCAACATAGTCAGCGGTGGCGAATTGGTACGAGATTCCAAAGGTATTCAAAATGCAAATTTTGGAATCCTAAAAAATGGAAGTCTGGTGGTTGGTTATTTGTCTGAGCAAGATGTCACTGCCGGCATTGAAAAAGAAGAGTTCTACCAACTTGTCACAGGTGTTGTATGGATTCTTAGAAATGGGGAATTATATGTTGATGAAAGTATCAAAGCTGAGTGCCAAGATACCGAAGAAACGGGCACCATAAAAATGTTTGCAAATGTTGTATCTGCAAGAACTGCTGTTGGTTATGACAAAGACGGCCGTGCGATGATTGTTCAAATTGATGGCAAAACTCATCACCAAGGGTTTGTATTGTGAATGTCTTTGGATAATAATGAATGTCTTTGGATAATCATGATTGCCTTCAGATAATTTGCTTCTGCATCAAGCTGGGGGATTAGATAAAAGATGGTGCAACTGCAGTCTTGTGCCATACTGCAGAGAAGAGCAATTGCACCCCCTAAAATTTGTCAGGGTACAAGTTTTAGTGCCCCTAGTTGTTAAGCTGAATTAAAAATATGTAACACAAAGGCATGCAAGCACTTTTGCACATGTGAGTCCCCCCCTGGGTTGATATTTTCAAGCCTTTACTACCAAGATCTTGATGAAATTGGATCTTAGAAATTGGATCTAATTGGATCTTGATGAAATTGGATCAAAATTTTTGTAGCAATTTGTTCAGGAAGTAACATCTTTATGGTTACTTTGCAGGTTGAATCTTTATGATTTTGGTAGATTGTTGCAATCATTTGGATTAGTAAATGCCATCAATCTTGACGGTGGTGGCTCTGCGACATTTGTGGACAATGGCAGTGTTGTAAATTATCCATCTGACAAATGGTAATGAAATAACTTAACTCAGTAAATTAGATGGCAACCCTCAAATCATTTCCATTTTTTGACCATTTCAGCGAACAGTTTAATTGTGCAAGAAAAGTGAGCACCATCCTCTGTGTTCATGACAAATTATGCAACCCCCCTGATTGTAATGGCAATGGTGAATGTAGCAGGGATGGTGTGTGTGTGTGTCGCTCTCCCTGGACTGGGTCTGGATGTTCCCAACGCAATGATTCAAAAATGCCAGTCATTCAACGTCAAATGGTCTTCTGTAATAAATGTTAGTATTAAAGTAAATGGTTTGAACCCGGGAGTATCATTACATGTTTGTAAATGTAGATTGTCTAGGTTGGTATAGTCCTGAGGACTGTTTCTGTTGTTGTTGACTGAAATTTCGACAACTTTAGCGGTAGCCATCTTTTGACTCTGAAGATGACTATTACTAAGGTTTTGAAACATCAACAACAACAACAAAACAGTTCTTCTCAGAACTATACCAACCTGGACAATTTACATTTACAAACATGCAAATGTTAGTATTGCACTTAATGTTTTATCAGTTTGAATATTTGGTTTGTTTGTTGCAGTTGCAGGCTCAACTTAACTTGGCATTATTGTTTCTTTAGCAATGGCTGGAAATTGCTCAACTTATGGCAATGTGACAACCAGAGAGGTTATCAAAAGGTAAAATAGAAATGTTGCTCATAAAACCTGTAAATTAATAATCTTGGTGTTTTGATGAGAGTTGAGATCATCTGCTCATTATGTTTCTTACTTTGGTCATGAATGATATTCAGTCATGGGAAAATGAATTTTTTCAGATTTTTGATCAGGAACTATGCATGGATAGATGTATTGTTGATTTTCAGTGTCTTGGTCAACTTTATCATGCTTTTTGTCCTATTTTGTGGACAATCATCTAAGAAGAAAGCTGCAGCTCCACGCAAGACAACCAGATTGAAGGGAGAGGATACCGTAAATTTGCTGGAAGAAAGCGATGAAATATAAAATGCATTCAAACTTACAATGAAAAGACTTTTGCAAATCCATGTTTGTTTAGTTTACATATTTAATTGTTACAGCAATTTATGGAGTGATCTGAAACCAAAATGATATATTTATGTATATTTAAGTAAATGCAAATGGCCTAATAAGTATATGTTGTCATTTTGGTGTTTCAGTCCTATGTATAGGTACTGTGCCTGTACTATAATTGAGTGAGATGCAGTAAATGTGATAACCACAATTCACCGTAATTTAGTTCCAATTACAGTATAGCTTTATGTCACTATCATGTTGACGTTTAAAACATTGTGAACATTATTTCATCAATGGATTTCACATGCACTTTATTCACACGTAAATGAAACTTGTTACAATGGTACTGTGCCTGCATGGCACTAGCAATTGACAAAAATACCAGAAAGCATGGAAGATGGTATTGAAGAAGTCTCTTATAGTATCAACCATTCACACTCACTGAGTTGCTCATATACTTATAATATAGTATAAAGTGCCCATTATTCATACAAGGAAATAAATAGGTGCATACAATTAAATTAACACAACTTTGGTAAGTGTTTCCATCATTGGTCATTAACTAAGCTTCTTCCTACATTTAATTGCCTAAATAAATCCTATTCACATGTATTCAATATCTTTATTCTACAAAATCCATGCCCAATTCGCCTTTTAAGTACTCCAACATTGCACCCAACATTTGCTTCTTGTACATCTGATCAGTGGCAATAAGGGCAGCCAAAGACGCCAAATCTAAGACACCAGCATCACCTAAAGCTGCCATTACTGAGGACCGCAGTTTCTCCTTTTCGACAGAGCTCAACTCTTGCAACACTTGATAGACAGGTTTGAAAGTACCACTAGTGCATAGGCACCAACAAGACCACCTAAGAATTATCACAATCTTAGATTTGACCATGTCTATCTTAATCATGGGTGTAGAAATAGCAGCACTTGCAGGAACTTTTGAACTTAGAAATGATGTCAAAGGTTGGCATCACTGCCAAGTTAGCACTGATTGATTGAAGGCTTGACCATATGAACATGACTGAACAATGTAATTGTGGTATGCAAAAGAATAATCTGAAATTCAGCGAAGTTAGTTTTTTCAGCCTGTTTATAAGGAAGAAATTAAGTTCAACAGCAAACTTTCAATTTCATTTCCCATCTGAATCAAACAACAAATGAACAGAATAATCCAGAATCACACAATAATCAATTGAATCCATACACAACAGTCATTACATACCAACTGCCGCTCCTACTGCAATACCAGCTGGTCCACCAACAAGTCCACCAACAGTGGCACAAACGCCAGCTGTCAGACCACCTTTAGCGCTCTGCTTCACCGATACCTGAAGGTTTTCATTTTTAGCTAATTTTGCCAAGAATTCAACCAATTCGTTAGGTGATATACGAACTGTGCCCGCCATAATTTTTCGATATATTTAACAACAATTTATGATATATGATCGCAAAAACTGGAAAGTGCCAATTGTGTTTGAACTGGAAGGGTTTGAAGTTGAACATGAAACTGAAAAAAAAACTAAACTGAAATTTCCTGAATTATTAATATGTTCAAAATATAGGACAACAGAAATTCATTATAATGTAAATGATTTGACGATCAACCTGTAACCTGTTCCTTCTAGTTTAACGCTATACAGTTTACATAACAGAAACTTGCAGTATAACTTTGATAGATTTCAAAGAAAGGAAACGGCGATGATACTGGGTATTCTCAATTTGTCGTGGTAATTACCCTCAAATCCAGGAAATTGGTCGATACTTCACGATCAAAAACACGTGAAAGAGAGAATACAAAGTGGAAGCACTGCATTTTGATGACGTAACCGCAAGGTCAAAAAATGGAGGAAGACGAGAAGACTTCATTGCAATGTTGTAGAATACATTTACCGGCCGATATCGACGAAAAATCGCATGAAATGCGAGAAGAAGATGATGTGGATTCTGAAATTGAGGATTATCTGGTCTACGACGTCGTGTCCCAAATCTGTATTGTATGTGAGGTCGTATTAGCCAGTCCCTCGAGAGGACCGCTTTGCAAACGCTGTCACGCGTTCATGTATCCCGATTACACAATCTTGCAAAGAGAATTCGACGAACTGAGGTCGAAGTCAAGTAACGTGTGCAAACAAATACCTTATGGCCGCTATAGTCGACAGGACCGTGAAAAATTTCCCCGCTTCAGGCCAAGGCATCGCTGCGGGAAAGATAGTTTGCTGAAGAAGGAATGGAGCGATGAAAATGGTTGTGGATCGACGAAAGTACCGGCAAATGTTACGTTTCCACCTGTTTTATGTTTTTCCGACTCTGAATCGGACGATTGCGATGAAGGGGATGTATTTTTAGGCCTTGCACAACTAGCGATTTTTGATAAAGATTTTAGTGCACGTGACCAATTTTGTTCAAATGAACTACAAGATGCAATAATCAAAGATGATTTGGTCGAATGCTTTCCCACTGAAAGTAGGTGGCTGTCTATTCCAGTTTTCAATAAACAGAATACATTGTTGCTTGGCAACCATACCATATTCCCAGCCTGGTAAACAGAGGGAACAAGTGGTTGTGGGCAAACTGGGGAAATTTGCAGCTTTGCTGGAACATTACGACTCCCTGTTTTCCCAAATGTTTTCATGTTTTCAATACTGTGGAAACATTATCATTTTCTTGTGTTTCCTGGACATTCCCTGTTTGTACTCAGTTGTAGGAAGTGGAACATTGCTATTTGCTATGTTTCCTCAAATGTGCCAAACATGGCTACAGAAATGCACGTATTTAAACATAGATTTACTCATTTTTTTCTGGTACTCGAACAAACTCATTTTCATGGGCCAAATTGATAAATAGGCAAGAGTTCAAGTCAGTTGGTTGAACTTTGAATTATGTAGAAATTTTTATATGTATGTACCAGTATTTGCCAAAATTAATTATCCACCATGTCTTGTTTAGTTCTAATGCATATATTCTCATATTTGGATGAGAATGGCCTGTACAAGGCATCGCAAGTGTGTCAAAGATGGCGCATGCTCACTGATGGAATGGAAAACTGGAGCATCATATTTGAAAAGAAATGGCCCCTCTTTCGACCTGTTGGTGCAGTTAAATGTTGGAGAGATTTGTATGTCAAGATGTGAGTGAACTGTTAGCTAATAACTCAAAAAAAAATCTACTTACTTTACCTTTAAAAAATCCTCCTTGCTCACTTCCTGAAAACTGCATTAAGAAATTCATCTTCTTGCCTTGAACTGACATAGCTGCAGGGAAACCAAGTTTGTACTTCTGAAGTTAACAAGCAATTTCATTATTGTTTAGGATGGAAGCCTCCACATGTGTGACTTGTCTTGAAGAAGGTTATACACACAAGGTACTGAAATTCTGAAAGAATGTTATATGCAGTGCGGTGTTTGAAATTAAATGAAGATATGATCTTCGCACTTTGCTGGACTGCACTGGCATTGCAGAGGTCATGGGTTCAAATCCCGTTGAGTCACCTGAATTTTTCAGGTTCATGAGACAATTGCTTAAATTGTCCAGCCAAGTGCGAAGATCATATACTATTATTATTATTACTGAAAGTCTATCATTCACCATGAGAAGAATATTCTTTTATAAACGCAGTTGAAATGTTACAGAATACTGTATTGTGCGTTTAAGACTTATGTTTTTTAGTTTTAAACTAGTTTAAAGTTTATATAAATTAACCCCTCATTATCATCTTTCAGAGAGTCGTAGTTGACGACGTTCCAAATGCTTGGCGAAACAAGCGTCTTCGTAGCGAGCTCAAACAGCTATTGGTCGACCCACCTGATGGTATACGAGCCTGTCCGGTCGATGACGAGTACTCTAATTGGCAAGCATCGATCACTGGGCCACCCGATTCGGTTTATGAAAACGGTGTTTTTTATTTGCATTTGGAACTGCCAAGGAGCTATCCCATGTGCCCACCGCGGGTACGCTTTCTCACGCGAATTCTACACCCGAACGTTAATCGTCATGGTGACATTGGTATAGACTGTCTTCGTCAAAACTGGAGCCTTGCGCTAACAATACCGAAGATTTTGGTTAGCATCCAGTCCCTTTTAACAGATCCTTACTGTCACGTGTGCATGGAGCACGTGGTTGGGCGAATGTATACCGAGGACAGAGAATACTTTAACATAGTTGCGAGAGACTGGACAAGAAAGTTCGCGCAGCATCATTATCAAAATCCAGAACTTAAGCCGATAACAATTTGGTAGAAATTTAGAGTTGGACAATGTTCACATAACAACGTGTAGATAATTTATATGAAACTTTACGAGTTGTATAAGAAAATTGATTTCTCGATAGACGATACTCTCTTGCAATACTTCACCAACTGCACACATCGCCATGAAGGGTCAAGTTCAGATAAACTATCGTATCGACAGGTTTTCCTGAGATTGTAACACGTGCGCATGCGAAAAAATGACAAATTTTTCTTAGAACTTGTTTACAATTTGTAGGGAACGCATTAGCATGCTTTGTTAAAAATGTGCTCGTTCACAACCTAGGGATTCCATTTATTTAGTTACTTTGAAGTTTGAACTGACCGAAAGTCAATATTGTTCTAATTGAATCTTTTGAAATCATTAAGTTTGCCTGTTTTTAGGCAGTATATGGCTTTGAGCAATGGGCTAAGCTCACTAATCTCGATCTGTATGGAGACTTTACCATAAATATGAGATTTTCACCGCGGCTTTAAACTAAGTAAACGTAACTCATATTTTTCCCAGATGACTTGCAAAATGATCTGCTTTTGTTTATTTCACACCTTTAAATAAGGAGATAGCATCATAGAAAACAAAACCGGAGTTTTACAACTGGCTGGAAAACACGTTTCAAGAATATTATGTGCCATCGGCGTATTCAAGATTTCAGCAATATTTAAGAATTGAAATATACCTGTCTAAATATTTAACCCATGTTCTAAACCACAGATAATTTAGCGAAGAAGTCACGGTTCATAAAATACACAGAAGCACAAACCATGTTGTCACGTGCATAAAGTCAACATCTGATGGACACTTGTCTATTGATGAGTCAACGAGATGAAGACTTTTCGCTTGAGAAGATGTTTTGTGGAGTGATTCATGAAGATCAAACGGTCGTAAAAGTTTAGAAGACGCATCAGAACTTTTTGAAATAAGTTACAGTACATTGGTAAGTCGATTTTCGAGGTACACGAGGAGATGAGTTACAAAACAATATGACATTATCCATTGAGAAACCAGATCTAGGATCGACGCGTGAAGCAGAATAAGCGATAAATGCACACGAGTCCTCAGCTGTCCGAGTCCTTGTTTCGTCAAGCTGTTGTATTTATTTTGACTCGTCACAGACCTGTCTTTTACTTGGTATTTTATTGGAACAAATCACTTTTCAAGTGACAATCTCTTGCCGTTGTCACCATAAAAAGACAGCAATCATTGTACTGTCATATATCATATATATTCAAAATAGTGCACAAGTTAACAATTTGAATAACTATTTCAATAATTTATGTCACCTTCGTGTTACCATAGTTACTCCTATTTTGCATTATAAAGAATTTCGAGAATTCGGTGAAAAGTAATTTTGTTATTTTGTTACGCATTAGCAATGTCAATTGCAACACTTAATACATTAGTCTTTTTCTCGTAACCGGATTTTTCTTATAAAGAAAACTTTGCACATTGTCGCGTTTGAACAATATACTTTTAAAAGTTTGATTTGGATGTCGAAAATTATTGCTTACAAACAAGTTTTGCCTGTAAACGGCGGTAACTGTATTTACGATTATTCGTAAAAGGAAAATGAAAGAAGATGAGACTTTATTGAAGGCTTGTAGTACACCTTTACCAGCAGACGTCGATGAAAGATCACAAGGAATCCAAAAAGAGGAAGATGCGAAGTCTTCTCTTCTGGTCTACGACTTCGTTTCTGAAGTCTGTGTTGCATGTGAAGTTGTGCTAAAGAGTCCCTGGAGAAGTCCACTTTGCTACCGTTGCCACACGTCGTTGTATCCTCATCGCACAATTTCGGAAGAGGAATTCGATAGTGAACAAGACCTTGAACGATTTCAGAAGTTCAATGCAATACCACACATGGTACAAGATACAAGCATGGATGATGAATTGTTTAATCGTTTTCCTGATGATAGTACGTTGAAAATAAATTCTATTTCAAATCAATTAAGCTTTGGCTTAACTATATAATACACTTTTTTCAAGCATAGTAGCTCGGCTTTAACCACCATGTTCACCAAGGTTTCGCAAACATGAAGAAGCATGGGGGATATTCATGGATAAATTAGGAAACATTGCGTTTTCCTGTTTGGTTCCAACGGACCTTTAAGTATTCTGGTTTTGCTACCAGTATTTAGTGACTTGAATTTTCCCTAAACAAAGAAGAATGTGCTCTCGTTTCTCATCAATTAAATTTTATAATGACATAGTGAAACACCTGCAAATATTTCGGTCATGCACTCATTGAAATTTGGTTTTATAGAAAGGCTCACCAGAATACTTTAGATTGAGCCTCAGCCTAATATTACTAAATGTATTTCGTTTAGTTCTGATGCATATATTCTCCTATCTGGATGAGAATGGCCTGTACAAGGCATCGCAGGTGTGTCAAAAATGGCACGGTCTCGCTGAGGAAAGAGTATGGAAGGTGCAGTTTAAGAAGAAATGGCCTGTATTTCGTCCTGTCGGTTCAGTTTCATGTTGGAGAGATTTGTATTTCAAAATGTAAGAGATGAATGAGCGCGTGATCCATAGAATCAACTTGAAGTTTACAAACTAATACGCTTTCTTTACCTTTTGATCTATATCTTTACTATCTTAAACTTTCTTTAATGCTCATTGCTTGAACTGATATACCTGTAATAAATGTCTGTTTGGTCATCTGAAGTCTGCAAACATTATCTCCGTTTTTTAGGATGGAAGCTTCGACGTGTTTGCCATGTCTAGAAGAAAGTTTCAATGGGGTAATCAAATCCTGCTATAGACAGAGATATTCAACTTTAAGTGATCACTTACTAAGTTTTTTTATTGTAAATACATCCATGATAACTACTGCTGAGTTTATATTTCACATGATGCTCAACTAAGAAAAGTCACAAAACATTACTTACTTTAGTAATTATGATACTGCGTTTTGAATTTGTTTATAATAGGCGATGGCCATAGATAAATATACCATACATATGGTAACAAACACATTATTATTCATACAGAAAATTATAGCCGTCCCAGAGACTCCTCGTGCTCCCAATCTTTGGATTCAAAATCGTCTTTCTGATAATCTACAAGAGTTACGCGACATGCCCGATGGTATACGAGCATGTCCGGTCGACGACGAGCGTTTGAATTGGCAAGTGTCAATCGCTGGACCACCCAATTCGGTTTATGAAAACGGCATTTTTTACCTACACTTGGAACTACCCAAGAATTATCCTTTTCATCCACCGCGGCTACGCTTCCTCACGCGAATTTTTCACCCAAACGTTAACCGTCATGGAGACATAGGTCTAGACATTCCTCTTCATCAAAATTGGACTCCAGCGCTAACAGAATCGATGGTTTTGGTTAGCATCCAGTCCCTGTTAACGGATCCTTACTGTCACGTGTGCATGGAGCACGTGGTTGGGCAAATGTACACCGAGGACAGAGAATACTTTAACATTGTTGCAAGAGACTGGACAAGAAAATTCGCACAGCATCATTACCAAAATTCCGAACACAACTTGATAGATGTTCAGAATTAAATGTCTGCATGGTGAGGGTGTATAGTAGTTTGTATCAAACTGGATGAGTTCATTTCACAATAATGACAAAATTATGAAAAAACTATTTGCACTTTGCAAAATTTGATAAATGAGACGTGTACAGCTATTTTACTCGGAAAGGTTTTTCATACAACCTCTTGCTCTGTTTTAATTTGGCCGTAATGAGCAATCTTTCTCTCTGTACACTTCATATAAGCAAGATAAAATACAAGTTCGCAATTTGAATAAGTATTTTAATCATTGAAGTTATCCCTGTGGGGAGCACAGGAAATGCTATAGCTATGTAAATTTTGCATAGTCAACAAATGTTCAGACTTCGTCTTCTTTTGAAGGCAGCCAGATTTTTCGTATAAGTTGACTAAAATGAACGAATTAAAAGCACTGACTTTCAAATTGTTTGGTTTTGGATTTCTGAAATCGTTGCGTATAAACAACGTCTTCCCATAAGCAACTGTATGCACATCAATCATAAAAAGGTAAATGAAAGTTGGCTAAACGTTGCGGCAGGAACTTTGGACACGGGCTTTTAACAGGAATTGTCGATAAAGGTCACAAAAAATACTAGTAGATGATGGCGCATAACGTCGTTTCCCAAGTCTGTGTTATATGTGACGTTGTTTTATCGAGTCCTTTAAATGGACCGCTTTGCAAGCACTGTCACACGTTTATCCATCGCCAAGGTAGAAATTCTGAAAGGAAAGTCTGCATTCGCCACAAAGAAGAAAATCCAACCATAAGCCCACAACAAGGAAGCATCGTACAAGGCACAAAAATCGATGATAGTTTGGTTAAATGTTTGCCCACTCAAAGTAGGTGGTGAATCAATTTATTTCAAATCATTTAAGCTTTGGTAGACTTTATTCAAACGTTTTTGCCAAGTAGCTATTTCACACAATGTTCCACTAAGTGTGTAATTTGATTTTATTTGTCCAGTTGCGTGATACATTGTTGTGGTCTGAATGTTGTCATTCGCTATTTTCTCAAATATTTTCTACTTTTGTTCATGTCAGAGGAAAAACATATCAATTCTTTCTATCTTAGAATATCAATTAATTTTGGTCACTTTCAAAGCGCACATGACAATAAGTGTCATAAAGATATCACTCTCAATTCTCATTTAATTCAAAACTAGGAAACACTTCAACCAGCTAATGCTGTTTGCTCTTATTGATGTGAACAAGGGTTCACTAGAACTGACTACTTCCACATTCAGTCTCACATTAATTACCCACAGTATCTCGTTTAGTTCTCATGCATATTTTCTCATATCTGGACGATGAGGGGCTGATCAAATTATCGCTAGTGTGTCAAAGATGGCGCATGCTCACTGTAAAATCAATAAACTGGAAGGTGCATTTTGAGACAAAATGGCCCATCTTTTGTCCCCATGGTGTAGTCACATCTTGGCAAGATCTATTTTTGAAAATGTAAGTGTTACTGGAGCTATGAACGAATAACATATTCAAGATTTCAATTAATAAATCTAATTACTTTACATTTCGAAAACCTTTCTTACTTATGTCCTTAATCAGAGAAATCCTCTTAACTTCAGCTGACATACCTGCAAAAAATCTCTGTTTGAGCTTCAGAGGTCAACAGTACCTTTATTTTCTAGGTTGGAAGCCTCAACTTGTTTGCCATGTCTAGAAGAAAGTTTCAACAAGTTAGTCAAATTCTTCCGTAAACAATAAGATTTAATTCTAAACACGATCATCCTAGATACACCACTGACACGCTATAGCGTAAATTAAATAATAAATTCAAAATACCCGAACGTTATTCGTTATTACTTTCTAAATAGTACAAAAACGGAAATGTCTTAACAATCTTTCGAAATATGATTATATCCAAGAATGAGCTATTGTGATTCATTTTTATGTAACTTACCCTAGATCCACTACTGAGCTGATACTTTACAGGTTACGTACCTAATCTGAATATGAAAACTGTATTGACTTTAAGAAGTATAATTTTGTGTTTTAAATTAATTTATAGAATATTGATTTGGTATGGTATTGCCATATATAAATATATTTCAAGTCTGCCTAAACACATTATCATTCATCTAGAGAATCGTAGACGACGTCTCGGACATTTGTCGCATACGGAACAGATCGATCAAAAACAATTGTCAAAATTAGAAAATCGACCCGATGGTATTCGAGCACGTCCAGTTGACGAGGGTTGGAATTGGCAAGCTTCGATCCCAGGACCACCCGACTCGGTTTACGCAAACGGTGTATTTTACATACACCTGAAATTACCCGCAGGCTATCCTCTTTATCCGCCCAAGGTGCGCTTTCTAACGCGAATTCTACACCCTAACATTAACTGTCATGGCGACATATTTATTCATTGTCTTCGTCATAACTGGAGTCCAGCAGTAACAATACCGATGTTTTTGGTTCGAATCCAGTCCATGTTAACAGATCCTAACTGTCAGGGATGCATGGAGCACGAGGTTTGGCGAATGTATACCGAGGACAGAGAATACTTTAACATAGTTGCGAGAGACTGGACAAGAAAGTTTGCGCAGCATCATTATCAAAATCAAGAACTTAAGCCGATAACAAATAGATAGAAATTCGAGTTGTCCCAGCCACGAGTACCTACCAGCTCTTTTCACACTGTATTAGTCCATTGCACATTTAGACACGAGTTCATTTCACGTTAAAATGCAAACTTTGATAACTGAGAATTGTGAAATAAATGTTACCATTACTAGAATTAAAAATTGATTCGGTCAACTTAATTTTACGTGACGAGCAAATATCAACATCAGAAAAATAGTAAAATCGACACAGAATCGCATCGAAATGACTGAAAGCTGGGCCGCATCTTCAAATTGTGCCATCGTCGAAATAAAATGAAAATTGTCGATTAAAAATGAGTATTGTAGTCGATAATGAAATAAAAGGCATGCTAAAAAGCGGCAATTGTTAATTGTTATTCAAATTCTGTAAAGGAAACTTATATTATTAAAGTGTATATAAAATGAAATTTCTCAAGCCGATTGTTGTGTTGTAACGTTGCAAAAACAATTCGCTTCGTTGTTTTCTCAACACCTTCCCGTTTCTTTACAGTCGCAGAAACACTGCCGTTAGTCGACTTCACAATATTGACTTCAGGAATGGTACATGGCTACTATATTTTGGCATGGAGGTAATAGGTACATGTACCATGCCGTTATCGTCATATGGGAATTTTTCCAGTTGATCTGTACTGAACAACAATTGAACCAAAATGACGCCTGATAAAGCATTTTGAAAGATTGTATAAGTGGTAATCAATCAAGTCCAACTTTTGCCGTAAATTATTCCAATTTATCTGAAATGTGTTATCTGGTACCTATAAAAAAATCAGAAGACATTTGAGAGCGGCCATTTGAGTTTATTCTGTAGAGCATTCTTCCGGCAGAAAGATTGGGACTAGTTGAATTGCTGGCTACAAATTTTGGCGGGAAGTAGCCAACCAGTTAAATTAGTTCAATGGCGCTACCTTCCAAATGATCCCATAAGCAAAACTTTCAATAATAGAACAGGTAAAATCCCATTTCTCTGATAAAGTTTTGAATCAAATATATCGAAGTCCATTTGCCGTAAATTTTCCAAGAAAGTGTTGAACGGTACCTAAAAAAATCAAACGTTTGAGAGCTCTGATTAGCTGTAGAGCTTTTCTAAGGGCAAATAGTTAACCTGATTGGTTGTTGGGTTGTTTGCTAAAAGCTTTCTATGAAATCAGTTGTTTCTTCAGGGTAGGGTTCAAAAAGACTCGACATTTTTTCTCAAACATCACTCAACTGTACTAAAACATTTTGGTTCATTGAATATATTCAAGCATTATTAACAATTTTGAATTATTAATACAATTAAGCAATCTCTGATTTCTCCAAGTGAGGGCAAATCTCATTAGACAATAGTGTATATTCTTGAGTACGTTTGAACCTTACATTAAAGACCTAATCTCTCAAATGTTGCATTCAAAATATTACTCACAATTGGGAGAAGACAGCGAGATCCGAGTTTGGGAATATTTTTACCAAGAGTCTTTGCCTACAATGAACAGCGAAAATGGCGTCAGAAAAAGAATCTCGCATTAGTAATGAAAAATATATTTCTGGTAGCGTCCACTAAACATACTTTATCTAAATGAGCATGCGCACGGCAAGCAATTTCATACGTGGCTTCTTTGATTGCTGGTAGATTTCGGCCACGTAGCATGTCTTCTTGTGAAATACCGTTCTAAAAATGGAAATACTTAGCTTTAAGTTATTCTCAGAACAACAACAAAAGTACATGAACCAGTTTAACATATAGCCTTACTTTAACACACCATTATGTGGAGTTTAAACATTAAAGGCAAAACATCTGAACTCTATTAAGATCAGCAGTGGTGATAGGTGGTTTGGCAAACTTCAACTGAAGCAGTGGTACCGGGATAGGTGATTGAAAATCTGGGGTGAACAAAATTAATTTGGCTTGTAGAATTGACTGATGCCAATAAAATTTTGTTGTATGATAATCGCCTTTTCAACTAAACTCAAATCGGCAAACAAAAGTCCTTGCCGCCAAATCATTGCACGTTCTCCCTCCCCTCCCCCCTTGATCAAAATTAATTACTCAAACAGTAGTTGCTTACGGCCACTGGCAAGCACCCACCAGCTGCGACTGGTGAAGTTGCCATAAAAATATGATCGTACATAGATGTAGATCGTCCCGGTTGCTAGAGTCCTGAGAAGGATTGTTGATGTTGATGTTGACTGACGTTTCGACAAGTCCTTCTCAGGAAGGACTTTAATAACCTGAATGTTCTAAATCTATCAACATGTAACGATACTCCCAGGTTCAAACCATTCACTTTATAAAGACATGATGTTGTTCACCTTTATCATAATATCATTTGGCCATAAAACTTTTCTAGATTTTAGATGATGAAGAGTGGAACGTAGTAAAGTGATAATTCCCATCGCTTTTCCCAGATGACTTGCACAATGATCTGCATTTGCATCTTTCACACCTTAAAATAATTATATCACCTTAAAATAATTATATCACCTTAAAATAATTATATCACTTGAAAATTATTACAACACATCGCGTTCTTCAAAGTTTTATTCCAAAATCGTTCCATTACCTGAAGCTTCGAGAGACAAATACAAAATAGACGAAACGGATCTCTCAGAATAAGCTTCGAGTTCCTCCATGTTTGTAAAAGGATTTGAGTGTAAATTTTCCTCCTGATACAAAAAAACAAACAAACGGGATGAAGCATGAAGAAAATATGGCGTAAAACTAATGTTTGAAGATCTACAAAGTACAGGCTTTATGACGTTCGAATAAAATGTTGTGTCAAACTATATAAATAGAGTTCTATCTCTATCTAAAACTTGTCAATTCATTATCATCAAAAGCCAAAGTTTTAAAAGAAATATTACTTGCACTATGAAACAGCAATACAAACAAAGAAATGGGGGAAGCTTACGTTGCCAGTAAATCTGTACCTAGCAATATTAATGTTATCCATTTCCAAATAAGAACACAAATACAATTCTCACCCTACTATCAAGTATTCTGCTGATCCAATGTTTTGACAGTCCATAGAGCTCAATAGCCTAAATAGACGGACACACTTCATGCCAGAGGTTATAAAAACAAAAGGGATGTAAAAGATACCACTTTATTGGACACACAACTTGACCAAATAATCACTGACTGGATCACATCGAACAGATTGTAATGATAATACATAATTTGTAATACTGGTAATTAATAAAGACCATCATCAGGGGACTGGGTAGGAGAGATTTGAGTTTTTTCATGAATAGATTTGTTTCTTTAGTGTCATAAAACAGTTGCTCTGCATTACTAATACAGTGACTCAAAAGTACTACAAAAAACAGATACTATTGAATATCTGAATTTTGTTTTACAAGATTTTGGTAGTCAGATCTAGTATGTTCCTTGAAATAAACTGGCACCTCCTCTAAAGAAGCACTCAAAATAGCTGACCTTTTGAAGCTCTTTGGCAACTGGGTGGTCTGGACAAGAACCCTATAAATAGACTATGCTTAGGTCTATAAATATTTACATTAAATCCACTACATAATACTAGTGGAAGATAGCGCACCTTGGTGTAAATACTTTGTACAGTATCTCTCCAAAACTTCAGCTTCATCTTGCCAATGGTTTCTACCGTGGTCGAGTCACTTATCTTAATGCAGAAGTTGAAGTAGAATTACAAAAATAAATCAAACTCTAGCCAATGAAGTGTATATTTTAATTTCAAAATATTGTAATAGTCATGTTTACATGTGACATAATATCCATATGGCATGTGCTATGCTTACTTTTGCAAGTTCAACATTCAGTGCTCTGATGGCAAAAATAGCATTTCGACTTTGCTTCTTCACCAGCAAACAACACAGATAGTTTTCATAATCATGATGCCTGTAGTCAAAAATATACAACTTGTCACATTGTCATTAAATGGCAAGAGACAGACATGGGCGCCCTCAAACTAAACATGAGTTGAAGATTGCCATTGGATTAGGTCTGGGTGAATACATACATTAACACTTAGAAATATTCCTTTCATATTCAAAGACAGTCTTAGTAAACATAGTCCTTATTATTGAGGAGATTTTCATTCGTAGGAGTCTATGAAGAAAGCTTTATTGGTGCATTCCATGTAATAATATAGCAAACATATGCTAAATGATGTCAAGCTTGTTTCAAATATCTGTAACTGGGGGGTTGTGGACTTGCTTGGAGAGGGAGTATGAAAGTCGACAAGTCTGTGAAACTGCATGCAACTAGCAATTTCATGTACCAAATTACAAAATAAGTATGCATTATAATACCATAACGTGGTATCTCAAAACATGTTGAAATGTGTTTTTCCTCAAAAGAATGAGCACTTTGCATCGGTTGGAGGAGAAGCAACTTTCAACGTCTGCACATTTAATGAAATTTAAAACGCAAATACCTTACGAGATTCACGCAATAATTTATTGCAGTCGCATCACGACGTTCGTAAATGCTGCTTTTTTTCACGATTTGTCTCTGTACGACAGTCCTTGCTTTAGAAAGTGACCGAAAATTGCTATGTTTTAGCACAAATGCCATCCATCCACAACCTTTGCCATGTACTTGTACTTTATTGACTAGTGCCCCCGTATTACATACCAAACATATTTGTCTCAGGGGGGTGTCTCATTCTCCACGTTTAAATACTATAACAACAGTATCTAACACCACGCTACCACGGTATACGAGCAAACATTTAAATTTCAACAACTGCTCTAAGTCTTGAAGTTTAGATTCATGTAAAAATTGGCTTTGAACGGAAAAGTATCGAGGGTAATGCAACGAGACAAAGCTTGTTGAAGAAGGGCGACTGGTTCCTCTTTCCTGGCGCGGGATATGTCGATTCGTTGTACACCTTTCTGTGGGCCGTGCGGCAAACGTACAAGCACAGCGATTTACTTGTTGCCTTGCTGAATACAAAGGACCACGATAAAAACTTTTTCTCCTTGAGTAGCGAGATAAGAAAACTGGAGAAGGGAGGATGGAATAGGAACGACGAAATTCCAGAAGTTAACAGAAAATATCAGTTCCCTTTAATCCACTGGGCATGCGTACTCGGAAAAACAAACGCCGTGAGGTGGCTTCTTGATCAAGGTTGGTTCATACACTGATACGATTGAGGTATTGCCTGTGCAATGTATTCCAGTGAATGCAGAGCATGTTCAAAAGTGTTTGGAGAGAGGGAGGGGAGGAATAGAATGACAATATGCCTTATTTTACCAAATAAATTGCTTGTCCATAGAGAAAATGGGTGTGCCCCTTAACCCCTCCTCTTTCACTGCAGTCAATGTGTGTGCTATTGTGTGCATAGGTAATGAGGGTTTTTTGGTTGCTAATTCTTGGAAATGACCTACTTCTGAAGTTCTATAACATATATTGTACATGTTTAACATCCAATCAGTGAATGATCTTTTTCAACTAATTATAGCAACAATTTTGCCTTCACAAGAAGTGATGGAAATCGAATAACTGTTGCTATACAAGCATACAAACATAGTTCACTCTAGCTGTGGCATATTTTGTCTCGTATACTAATATGCATGTTCATTAGCTGTAAAGCTTGATCATAAGTATTTTTACTGTTTACTTCTGATCAGATTTTTACTACAGTTCAAACCAAAAATCTCTTTGAGCAGTGCCCCCCCTGTCACGTCTATAAAAAAGGTGCCTAAGTACCATAATGGGGTTTTACTTGATGCTATGCACCAGGCAAGTGCACTGAAGGAAGTCAACATCCCCCCAGTTTGATCAAATTATACGTATGAAGTAGGCATCTGCCCCCTTATTTGACTATTATTAATTCTAACTGATAAATGTGTCAATTTTGTAGCATGGACATTTTCTGAGCTATAAAAAAAATGAAAAAGTAAATCAAAACGTTTTTCTTACTTTTTCTTTACCAACCATCTCCGTACCACTGGAATCGCTCCAGGCTACCAGCACCCTAAAACTCTTGGTTCCTTACACTATTTATAGGTTTCAGTCCCACGGTCCAAAAATCTAGTACGTTGGAGACATGTCTGCATCGTACACTCATGACAATACCAGACACCGTGTCGATGAAGAGCGGACGATTGTGCGTTTCGCGATTTGATGCTATCCTATCCCAACTAAGCGATTGCCTATTGATTGGCGATTATCTACAGAACACGCCACTTCATCTCGCTGCGCAATTCATGGAGCAGAACAAATGTTACTCTCTTTACGAGAACCTATTTCTGACCATGCTCACACATGTGAAAAGGATGCCCAGTGCTAAAAGGCGTAAATGCTTGAATGCACGTAATTGTGCTGGCGATACAGTCCTAAACATACTCTCCTCCAATGGCAAGTGCATGAACATTATCGAGAAGCTTCTCGACGCTGGTGCCGACTGTATGATAGTGAACAAGCTTAGTATAGGACCTCTCGCAACAGCCGAGAAGTGCAACTCGGCACTTGCAAACTTCCTAAGAAGCACCATTTTAAAAAAGGCCGGTTATCCACTTCCAACTCCGGTGGATTGCAGTGAGGAATCGAGGAGAAAGTCGGAACGAAGATCGAACCAGTTCACGAGCTCCGTGCTGCCCAACATTTCCGGCGAGGTTGACTTCACAAACCTGCCGTCTGCTTCATCCGAGCTAAGCAACTCAAGTGACGGATCCGAAAAAACCAAAAACTCCACATCATCCTTGGAAGAAGATCCTATTCACGTTGACAGCGGGGTATGATTATTGAAACGTTAACAAGCCATAGCAAATGAAAGTTTTCCATTTGAAATGGCACAAACAGAATAGTAGCCAGTCTCAAAGTTTAGTCAAGTAGCCAGCCAACAAGTTAAGTCCAGTAGCCAGCCAACTAGTTTAGTCCTGTAGCCGGCTATCAAGCTAAGTACTTCAACCAGCCATCAAGCTAAGTACTGCAGCTGGCCAGTAAGTTAGGTTATGCTGCCAGACAGAAAGCTATTCCTGCAGCCAGTCAGAAAGCTATTCCTGTAGCCAGCCAGAAAGCCATTCCCATAGCCAGCCAGAAAGTTATTCCTGTAGTCAGCCAGAAAGCTATACTTGTAGCCAGCCAGAAAGTTATTCCCATAGCCAGCCAGAAAGTTATTCCTGTAGCAAGCCAGAAAGCTATTCTTGTAGCCAGCCAGAAAGTTATTCGTGTAGCCAGCCAGAAAGCTATTCTTGTAGCCAGGCAGAAAGCTATTCCTGTAGCCAGCCAGAAAGCTTAGTTCTGTAGCAGGGCAGCCAGTTAAGTTCTACTAAACAAATTTCATAACATTATAAACTCATTTCTTTTAAAGGCTGTTATTTCCCAGTTATTTGAGCACAGGAACGTTTCGTGCAATCACTTATGTGAACATCTGTATTCGTAATGGCCTTGTTCGGTTTGCTTTAGGATGAAACAATTAGTCATGTCAACGAGGAATTCATTTCGACACCTGCTCCCACCGCTGACCAGGATGCGGACCTTATACCGACGGCTATTGTGGCACCAAACTCATTACATATCACCTCAACTGTCGAGTCTGGCTCGCCCCCAAACTCCTTTGAAGCCATCGAAGATGAGGGAGAAGCAACTGAAGATAATGAAGAAACAGTGGACACGAAAAGGGAAGGTGAAAATTTGGAATTTGAAGAAATGTGCCGATGTAGTGAGGTAAACGAGCTTCGGATTCCAAAGAATTATACACCAGCATTGAAATTGTGGTGGTGTCGTCCAACGAGGCGCTTACTGCACTAAGCCTACATAAAATAACCTCTGTGTTTAAGGAAAAATCTTTTTGCAATAGGAGCCTGATAACGATGGACTTTCCAATAACCCGAGCACAAATAACACAGAACAAGAGGACAACAGCAGTATTGCTAACGATACACCAGCGAAAGAGGGACCTGAAGACGGTCAGGGTAAGATTTTACTGCATAACAAATTTTATAGCAAATCGTCTAATTTATATTTTCCACGCGAGTCCGCGACTTGGTGCTCATGTTGGTGTGGGCATATCTTCCTTTGCTCCTCACTTGATCTACGGTATGATATGAGCAGGTCACATCCACGATCACGTGTACAGAGGTCTCGCTCTGAGATATTAAAATACATCGCGGTGGACGTTCGGGGTTGTACTTCAACTTAGTAGAAAACGCGCGAATTGAAATGTCGTTAATGTATAGAATTTTATTTGAGGTACCCAAGTCAGCCTGATGGATAGTCTTAAAGAAGCAGGTGTGCTGCAAAATTTGACAAGCGTAATTGAGAACACGAAAAAGGGTCATGTGGACAGGATAAACGAATTAAAAACCTCGCTGTCAGGTAAAGCTTGTATTTTATTTTGACATAACTCATAAATCCATAGAGCCAAAGGCATCATAATACCATGCAAAAATAGATGCTCATACTTAGGAATATAGCCAGCTCAGTTTGTTGACCATACTCAGGAATATAACCAGCTCAGTTTGTAGACCATACTCAGTATAACCAGCTAAGTTTGTAGACCATACTCAGGAGTATAGCCAGCTCAAGTATTCAGTTTGTAGACCACTCACTCAGTTTGTAGACCATACTCAGGAATATATCAGCTCAGTCCATACTCAGGAATACCAGCTCAGCCATACTCAGGATATAGCCAGCTCAGCCATACTCATATAGTCAGCTCATAGACCATACTCAGGAATATAGCCAGCTCAGTTTGTAGACCAGTAGACCATACAGGAATATAACCAGCTCAGTTTGTAGACCATACTCAGGAGTATAGCCAGCTCAGTTTGTTGACCTTACTCAGGAATATAACCAGCTCAGTTTGTAGACCTTACTCAGGAATATAGCCAGCTCAGTTTGTAGACCATACTCAGGAATATAGCCAGCTCAGTTTGTAGACCATACTCAGCTCAGCCATCAGTATTCAGTTTGTAGACCATACTCAGGAATATAGCAGCTCAGTTTGTAGACCATACTCAGGAATATAGCCAGCTCAGTTTGTAGACCATACTCAGGAATATAAGCTCAGCCATACTCAGGAATATAGCCAGCTCAGTTTGTAGACCATACTCAGGAATATAGCCAGCTCAGTTTGTAGACCATACTCAGGAATATAACCAGCTCAGTTTGTAGACCATACTCAGCTCAGTTTGTAGACCATAAAACCAGCTCAGTTTGTAGACCATACTCAGGAATATCAACCAGCCAGCTCAGTTTGTAGACCATACTCAGGAATATAGCCAGCTCAGTTTGTAGACCATACTCAGGAATAAAACCAGCTCAGGTTGTAGACCATACTCAGGAATATAGCCAGCTCAGGATTGTTTGTGGACGATTGCATAAAGTCCTACAGCAAAATCGTACTGGCGCACTTTTAACCAACAACTATTTTACATTTCTTGTATTTGTCGGCAGATTGTCACATGACTACAAAAGTTTCCTGGATTCTTTCCGACACATTCTTCATGACTGCCACACCTCTTTAATAAACCCTCTTGCTTTGTGTCATGGACATTATCTTTCACAACCATGATGGCTGCCTTCACTATACCACACACGTGTCTGCGTGTAAAATTTGGCTTCAATAGTTTATTAGACTTTTCTATTACAGGTAGCGTTCCATGTATTTTAGTTCAGTGGATAAACCATCTTGCTTAAGTCAAAGCGAACACCATTGATTCTTCCGACAAAGTTGTCATGACAACCTTGACCCCACAACCGTCTGTTAAAACCGTCTCGTTACGCCCAATGCCAAAATGAAATATATTTTTATTTTTCTGTTTGTAGACGTTGCGCGTAATCATTCGATAGAAAAGGAAAAGCAAAAGAAAATTAAGTATGAAATGCGCAAAAAGAAACGTGAAATGGACAATTTGAAAAAGGAACTTGCCAACAGCATAAAGAGGGAGAATTTCGGACAAAGTAAACGAAAACGGTTGGTGGAGGAAAAAAATGACCTTGACAAAAAGTTGGCACGTTGTGAGAATCTGTTGAAAGAAGTGCCTAAAAACGATTTCCAGTTATGATTATCCACCCAAGGTATTCGCACATTTCGTGGCATGTAGTGTTGAGTTATGTTATTTAAAGTTGTGTGAAGGAACGGAGTTAGTCGATTTTGTGGCGTGTAACTCGAACCTTCGATAATTGCGTTCATAGATGTCAAAGTTTACCAAAGACGTTTGTAGATATTGTGGCATAGATATATTGAATTTTATATATTGCAATTATGTAGATACGGAGATTACTATAGGAGTTAGTAGATACCTACACCTTGACCTGCGGAGAAGAGTTGTTTTTACACATTTAGCTATATAATCGCATTTGTTTGTTGTGCATCTCGTTTGTGTCGGGTTTTGAACAGTTTCGTGGTTCCAATTATTAAATTCAAATACCATTCTGGCCGAAGCAACCTGCTCGAAACTAAATTAAGTTTAAAAAAAAATTCAGTAGGGCATTACTAAATATACGAATATACTCTCCAATTAGCTCTGTAGTTTCGCCTCTGGATGGTTTTTTATACGGCTAGCTTTTGTTACGACTGAGCTATAACGACGAAGCAGGATTTTGCCATTTTGCTCTTACATTTGAATGAAATAGTGGATGAAATGAATAGTAGTTGAATACATGTTTTTCCTGAGAATTTAGCCATATAATAAATAGTTCGCCATCAATATCTTAAGGAGTACACGAAACAATCAAGGTTAGTTGATATTGTTAGTACGATCCATATATATTCCCAATGTGGGAAAATAAGGGATTACTACGTACAATTTCATTGGAAACAACTGTACATCGATACGTTATTTCAGTATAAAATTGATTTGCAATGTACAATATACAATCAAGTGCGTGTTTGCGAAGTAGAATGTACACCGTTTAATTACTATATAAATATCCACCAAACTATCAAACACAATGTTCGTAATCAAGAAGACTACACACATCTCAAAACGGAACTTGCACACATTGCTCACTCATATATATCATGTTATAACCCTACACCAGCTGATTTTAGAAAACATCATATCCTTAAAAACATTCGCAACAATGCCAATATTATAATTACCAAACCGGACAAATGAATTGGCATTGTAATCATAGATCGTCAAACATATCGAAATTCCTGTCTTCAAATATAAATAATAATTTGCTGTAAAAATACCTCACAACGAATTCGTAATTCCTGAAATCAACGCATGGCTCACGGATAATTTTTCAATTTTCAAAGAATTATAGCACACAATTATTAATTCTTGTACTTCTGAACTAGTACTAAATACGTTTTGTGGTAAACTTTGTTGAAAATTTCTTAATACATTCGAGCACCTTTAGAAATTTTCATATGTTTTGGGGACTAACAAATGTTTGAAATGTGTGAAGTTGTCTTGTTTTTCAATGTACTTTTAAAGAACGAGTCTCGCGGTGATGCTTTGCTCGCTTAGCCAGCCACAGACAGCCATTTTGCGTTACCAAAAAAATGGCGGCATGTCAGATGGTTAGTGCGGCAATATGTCCACTTCTGCTACCGAGAATTGGGCCATTAACATCAAAGAATTGTAGGCCAAGAAATGAAGTAGAACAACGAAAGTTAAGTTAAAGAAAGACTTTATCTCACATTTGGATGGGAAGAAAACTATCCTAAACTCCGCAACAGACATCGGAAATTCAATACCAGAAGTAAACACAAGCGCGCAAAGCATTACCGCGAGTCTTCTTTAAATGGAAAACGAGAACTGGCCAATCAAGCGCGAGCTTTCATCAAAGCCTTCATACTCATGGACACTCAATCAATCCCGTTTGTATTTCGTCCATTTGATCAAAGTTTCGGGGGAGCGATAGAGGAACATTAATTTGGCGAAAAGATCCTCTTCCAGCTCGAAATCTTTCGTCTCTCTCACCATGTAAATATCCAAGCACAGTTTGAACACTTTGTCGACGTCTGGCATTTCATCAAACATGATACGATATGAAATGGACGTGAAAAATAAACGAACGAACTTGCCAACGAGCCAAACAAAACCAACGTAAAGCCCAATGATCCTGCAAATCAAAACGAATTTACGATTTATTAATATATACCTAAGATTTTTTCTCCAAACACGGATGACGTTGAAACCCCTTAGGACAATCCTCTGTATCTCTAAGAGTGATCATTAAAACTATTTAAGAGCAGATGTTTTCAAATAAAGTCACCCTAAGACACACTACATATCCCCTATTTTGCAAGTTCTTCATTATTGTATTTAGTTGGAGTCAGGAATAGCTAAAGTACTACAGTGTACTACAGTGTACACACGTCACGAAGAGTCAACAACAACATGATGGCAATGCTTTAAAAATTTTAAACGCGTCAGCTACAGCGCAGCCAGGCCGCGAATTTTATTTCAACTATATAAGTTTCACAGCTTGATCTATATAATCATGTATTTAGAAATCTGCTGTCTTTACATACAACTTTTTCATTACAGGAGGTCTTTAAATATCAAAATTTGCAGCAAAATACAAAAGGTACTGGATATGTTTAAAAAAATGTGAAACACACCTGGAAATGTGTGAATCAAACTTGGAAATGTGTGAATCAAACTTGGAAATGTGTGAATCAAACTTGGAAATGTGTGAATCAAACAATCAAACAAATGAATCAAACCAGGAAATGCGAAAATGCGTAAATCAAACCAGAAAATGTAAATCAAACCAGTGTAAATCAAACGTGAAGTCAGCAAATGCTCTTACCCAGTGCTTGCAAAAAAGGAGAAATGCAAAGGAGGGACAAAGTCGTTGAACGTGATCACTTCCAGGTCGGATGTGGATTTTCTTGAATCGAATATTGGTTTGGGATTCTTCTGCGTCAATTCCCACCATTCCACATCACCAGTCACGTTTGGTACAGAACCAAATCTCACTTTTATCCCACAGTCGACGTAACTTGCATTGAAAAGTTCCTTCAGTGCTGTCGCCCGACCACTGGCTGGAACACGAATGAATGTTGGGAAGAGGGCTTTTATGGTTCTGTGAGGAATGAAAAAATCCATTACTGTACCAACTTTTCCCACAAGAAATTAATTACCACGTGATCTTTATACACTTAAACACCATCCCGTACAAGGACAAAATGGCAGCTAAATATTATATTAAAATTGCTCAGACATATAGACAAATGCATGAGAGAGCTAGATGGTGAGAGAGATGATTTACAAACGCGGCACCTAAGAAGAAAAGCTCAGCAAGAGAGACAGTGCAAAATAATTGCGAGATAACACTCGCTACTATATACTTACATTTCGTTTATCGCACTGCTTGTTGAATCCACCAATAACTTGCCCAGGTGGGTACGCATCGTGTCGTTTGGAGTGAGAACAATCGAGTTCACTCCAGATATAGTTTCTTGAACTAAAGCAGTCAGTGGCTCCCTACGTAAAGTGAGACATGTAAATACAACAAAATCTGGCAAAATTTTACAACAAAGTTTTCTCAAAACAAAGTCTATTACAAAGTTTAATTATGACAAAATCTATAACAAACTTTGACTATAAAAAATTATATTACAAAGTGCAACTATGACAAAATCTAAAACAAAATTTGACTATAACAAAGTCTATAACAAGGTTTAACTGTAGCAAAGTCTATAGCAAAATCTATAACAAGTTGGACTATCACAAAGATAACCTTTTCTTTCGATAGACATTTTCTCCTGTCGTTTGTGTTTTATTTTACATTCAACAGAAATCATTGCGTTGCTTCGAAAGACTAACTGGTTACGTGTCAGGAAAAAATATTGAAGGAAAAAAAGCTACATGGGGAAAACTTACCTCGTAAATTCCCATTGAAAACGCATTGTCAAATTTGTGTTGTTTGACAGTAAATCATTTACCAAGTTTTTTCTCGACGGTGGACTGATGGTCCATATAGAACTGGAGTTACCGTTCACACGAACCATAACCACGTTTCCTTTCAATTTGAAACTCTCCAAAAATGTACTGATCTATGGTACACAAACATATATTTACATACACATTTAACACACCTACAAACGGCACTCGAAACCAAACTATTGCCTATATTTAACGTACTGTGTGTGTGTAATACAAAACCTAAAATACATCTACCTGCGCCTGCGACGTCCCCTCATAAGGTCTGCGGCTGAATTTGATGCGCTCGATTTCATCGTCATTCAAAACCCGCAAGAATTGTTGTTGGGCACTCACTTTGAACAGCGGCTACACATTGAAGGAGATGAAACATTCTCAGATACTGAACAGTAGAAAACTGTAGAAAGAAATCAGCAAGGCAGAGAATATATGAATATTCACCCCCACACACACACACCAATCAGCGTTCTAGTTTCGCCCTGATTTTAACTTCATACCTGGTACCCCAATTGTCAACGTGAACGTGGCATCGGTCGGTGTATTGCTGGTGTACACAGAGTTGATATAGGACATAAACAACAGAGGAAACCATATGATAACAATGAGTAAAAAAACCAAGAAACCTCCGAGCGCCCACTTGTTCAACGAGGGATATTTTGCACCGCGGTCGTGTCTAAACCATTGAGTCTAAAAATGGGAGAGATATTTATAAATTTTAAGCTAAATTACATAATCGCCAAGGAATATATTTTTCCTTCACAAAAAAAGATGGCCAGAGATAACTAGTTGGTGAAAATTCTTTTTGCTGCAAAAATATTGGTCAAAATTATCCGGTTGTAAAAACACATTTACAAATATTTGTGAAATATCGCGCTGATAAATATGGCAATAATTTTTCCTTGAAAACCATTAAGGAATCTCCTCTGATGCTTGTCCTAAAAGATTTTTTAAGCAAGTAGCATTCGGAAATGATCGGTGATGATCGCAAGAAACAAACTGTTTAGTTTCTTGCGATTTCAGCGCCGATGTTCGGCGAACGTCACAAAAAATGGGCTGCACAATTTTCACTTCGTTCTCATCAATCGCAAGAGCTCGCCGACGTCGTAAAAGCCCTATCGCCAACGTTTTGCGATGAATGTAAACTAGACTTTGGACGTGAGAAAAGTTTTCTTTCCAATAACTTCTTTAGAAAATTTCAATGACACTGGAATTTTTATACCTTTTCGGCTTTTCGGTAACATTTTAGGATATAAGTATTCGCATAAATATCCTCCACTTTGAGCCAGTGAAACAAGGTCAGCGTGCTATCCGTGCACATCCAATCCAACAAACTGCGCAATTCCAACATAAATGGAATTGTTTGTATCCTACATGAGAATATTAAAACACATCGTTGTCCAATCAGCTTCAGAAAATAGACCAAATTAAGAAAGTCGATGGATAAACAAGTTGGCTCAAAAATTCCTCAAATTCTACATTTCGACTCACAATGCACAAATGAAAATACTCCAAACACCATACGACACAACGGTACAACAAAAGATTGATAATTGTAGGAAAATTCAAAGCTGTACCATGTTATTCACTTATCCCTCATCGAGCAATCGTAAACTTACCCTTGAAAGAGAACCACATTCGTAAGCGTAAAATTCTTCGTGAGAAAATTACCCAGAATCCTAGTCGGGTAACCACAGCGAACCTGATACGCGGACAGGCCAAAGTAAAAGCACTTGAATAAATACAAGAATATCGCGGGAATATTGTCTTGAAATTTCCTAAAACAAAACAATATTGATTAATATTACACACGATTATCTTTTGCAACAAATGCAATTGAACAATTTCAACAAATTTCATCATACAAAACACTCGCACTTTATGCTATAGAGGCTCTGTGAGTTACATGACTACGGATCCAAGGATAGTGCAAAGTTTAAAAAAAACACAGCCTTTCGACTCGTAATTTGAATCGAGCATAAAACGTTTCATACATTAATTTCATCTCTTCATTGACTATCATTTCATTTTCATTCACGTATCATGGCGCGACCATCCATTGACTTCATTGCAAATAAAATTTTTTTTAATAAAACCCAACAAGCTACATAACCGCTTGTTGTCTCGTTTCACATTTAGTTTTTTATGGTTCTCAATTAAAGGAAAGACGGCAGAAAATCAAACAAATCTCTAAATAACAAATGCTACCGAATGTTCCAACTGTTCATCGATTTACAAAGTTCAAAACCGAATAAACGTAAAACATACATTTTGGACACCAGCCATACTGTTTGTTTTCCTTTGAATCCCTCTCCTCTCCATGGAAATTTTGCACTAAGAAAGAGATAGTATCCCCACAGAAATAACAAAATTAGTCAGTAAGGACTTTTTGATTGATATAAGCCGAGAATGACATGGGATCGAGACGCCTACGCGGCTTGCCAGTAATAAAGTCATCATATGCTTGGCATTTGTATCGCCACATTTGAAAATATCAACATTATAAAAATTTTACCTGCCCGTCAGAGCTGGAACAACGAAGAACATAAAAACATGAAAAGCAATGGCCAAAATGACGAGATACAACCACTTTCCAAGAACAAACTTGCGCAGGTAAAGAGCTCTTTGAAAAAAAAAACACACGCTAAAATGTTTCTATACGTTGAAGTGATTGACATCTCTCCAAATCCCCCTTCAGCTTGAAGCTTTCTGACAAACCCCTGTTGTACTACGTCCAAAATTTTTATTATTTTACAGTGCTATCATTTTAGTACAAACTAGAACAACCTTGCACTTCGCTCAGTGAAAAGCCATGTGGAGCACCAGAGCAGATGCGGATCAAGTGTAAGTCAAAATAAATTATAGAGGCTTACTTTACAATCAAATTACTGTTATAAAAACGCTGTTGGTTAGAAATTACTAAAAAATTTCAAGGTTAAAGTACTGCTAATATGGTTAACTCTTAAATAATTCAAATTGAAAATCTATTTATAGTAATGTATTCTGACACGCTCTGGATCCGCTACTGATGTGGAAATCAAGTAGATAACATATGGATAACAAAAGTGATCAACTGTAGTACCTGTCTATCACGATAAGTACAAACTGCGTGAGTACCATGTAGAGGAAAGTCCTGGGAACAATATTTTTCAATGATATTGGCAAAATTCGTGTCAGAACTAGGCTGAAACAAACACAAAGAGACATGAAATGTTAAGACAGAAATATCATAATAGCAAAAGACTAGAGTGTTGAGAAGAGCGTGAGGAAGAACGCCATGCTTTCTTTTAGTCAGAAGACGTATTTCCAGGGGGAAGTCGAAAGTGATGAATTTATGAGAAAGAGAAAGAAGAAGATTACAAGAAAGAAATCAACCTTAATATTTGAGGTAAAAGATGAAATAAAGATAGAGAAAATAAGCTTCGCACAAACATGACTGGAAGACGGGAGTTGAAAAAAAGCATTGACTGAAAGGGAAGAATATGGCTGAAGGCCAGGAAAGGAACGAAGTAAATGGAAGACACACTCTTAACACGGGGCAAACATAAAGATGTAAGACTGATTAGATGAAAATAAAGCATCCTGACAAGAGGCAATTATGTATATCAAATGATTCAAAATAAACTTAGGGACTGTTCATATGAGCTCGACAAACCGGGATTCAATGAGGCGTTAAATGATTCGGGCAAATGGAAACGATTCTATACTTATCATCAGATAAATCTTCTCGAGCAATTTCACAATATTCTGATTTAATAACTACGCTAAAAATTTAAAATTGAAACAGCAAGTTTGACCTGATTTGAGAAATGACGTGTGACGCTTAACAAACAGTTGTAATTTTTAAGCTTGTAGTTTTGTCCCATTTCAATGCGTCGAAATCATTTAACGCCTCACTGAATCCTGGCAAGCCGGGCTCATATAAACAGCCCCTTAGTTTTACCTCTGCTTCAGAAAACGCTGACCAACTGAAAAGGATGATGAGAAAGATGATGAATTGACATCCAAACATCACGCCATAAACATCGGTCGCCCCAGACCCCACGTCCGGATCAATCATCCGCTTTATGAACGTTTTTACATTCTCGTAAATACTAAATGAAGGAAACGTTCATGAAGTAGGTTTTTGTTTTAATTTCTTAATAATTCTCAAATAGTAGACTCATAACCAGCAGCAAGTGCATTTGAATCACTTACATGTATATTAAACTGGATAACTCATCCACAAGTAAATACAGTACAAAAAATGAAGCAAGATATTGGCTCCCACTTCGTATCGATTTCCTTGAAATTCATAGTTTTTTCCAGATTGTAAAATGAATATAATATGCGAATATTTTCCCCGCCCCCCTCCCCAATCATCGAGCTGGCTACGTGCCTTGATTAGCCCCAATGAGTACCTTTTTATTTTGCTTTCCACGGTGTCTTGACTCCCGTTGTCGCCATTTCTTATCTATAAAAAACGCACAAAACGATTTCTCACTTTTACAGATTTTATGCATAAGCCATAAAGGTGATGTTGCAATTCGTGAAAGTCAACGCTTAAAATAGTACACAGTTGTCTTCTTTCGAATAGCCTTAATTATGTGCCGGTGAAAATAATTAATCTGCAAATTCAAAGGTCGAATACAACAATTTGAAAGTCTTCTATGACTTAAGTTTATACCATGGTATTATCTTCGTCATGTTCAAGCTCTCCAGATACAACGGCTGAGGCAGGTTCTTAAAACAAAAGACAACAAACAACAGACAACATCGTTAAATATTGATTAACCTTCCTCGTCATCAATTGTGGAAAATTTTACTCCAGTGCTAATTTAACTTGTTTCGAAGTAGGGGAATATTATTAGCACAGGTAGATTAAAGGATTGGTAGATTATGAAAAAATCCAGCCATGCAATATCCCGCAAACTTTTTAAAACGTTAGTCAAGGAGTGGAAGGAAGGAGCGGGGTGAGAGATAGCAGTTGGATGGGCGGGAAGATGGTCGATGAGTAAAGAGAGGGAAAACAACGAGTACAGAAGAAGACGAAGGTGAGTAGAGGAAATAGTCCCTATTTCTCCACAATGTGTATAAATATCTTTGCCAAATCACAATAGCAATGTTTGATCAAAATTACCAGTTTCAATTGAAGAAGAGTATTTTCCGTCACCAGTTTGGGATTTCGAATCAAATGTTGCTCGCCATAGACCATGAGCCTGTAAACAGAAGAAAAACCTGCTTTGCTTCGTTCGACGAACAAATGATGCAGATCCTTGTTGACCGCTGACCGTTATCCCAAACTCGTCATTTAATGAACAGACATGCGCACAACAGTAAACATTACCTAATAATGAAAAGGAAGGCGGACACATCAGCTTTACCTGCAAAGCGTAACGATGAAAGAAGAGCGCCAATAATAGCAAGAGGTCGTAGACAGTCGTCGTTCCTTCGCGTTCGATCTCGAAGATTCTCGCAGGACACAGAGGGTCGCTCCTGAGCTCGGGTGTACTGCTGCAATCGTTGAAACGAATGAACTCGAACTTGAAAATATACTTGAAGACGATCACAAATTGTGTATAAGTGATGGCCGTAATCCAGAACATCCTCGTTGGCCGTGGAATGGAGAGCATGCCCCAAAGGAAAATCAACAAAGGAAACGCCAGAGACAAAACGGAAGCATAAACCACGTGATTCAGGATCATGAACATGAAGCACAGGTAATTCGTCTGAGATACGACCGCGTAATATAAAGCCCGGATGAACCTCATCAACTGCCAGTTTGGTACCGGGTTTTCGACTACGTTCACTTGCTCCGTCGTGATGCTCGTATAAGAAAGGCTGTCGTCATGTGGACGGTGGCTCCACTGTAAAAAATAAGAATTTTTTATTAATTTTAGAATGAGGCTAGCCAGTAGGACGAAATAAATTTCGAAATCATGTTGACTGGTCACATCATGTTGACTGGTCACATCATGTTGACTGGTCACATCATGTTGACTGGTCACATCATGTTGATTGGTCACATCATGTTGACTGGTCACATCATGTTGATTGGTCACATCATGTTGACCGGTCACATCATGTTGATTGGTCACATCATGTTGACTGGTCACATCATAAAGTAAATGGTGTGAACCCTGGAGTATCGTTACATGTTTGTAAATGTAGATCGTCCAGGTTGGTATAGTCCTGTGAAGGACTGTTTTTGTTGTTGTTGACTGACGTTTCGACAACCTTAACACACAATACAATGAAGTAAGAAAATTATAACAAATACGGCTAACCTGACGTTTACTCCTCATTTGACTCTGAAGATGACTACCGCTAAGGTTGTCGAAACGTCAGTCAACAACAACAAAAACAGTCCCTCTCAGGACTATACCAACCTGGACGATCTACATTTACAAACATGGTCACATGATGTTCTCTAAAAATTCATAACCAATGGCATTGTTATAGAGGCATTTTGAATTAAGCAAACTTCCATACGCTACAATGAAAATATCGACTTTCTGCTATGCGAACAAAGATTCAACAAGTTTTGAAGAACCAATATAAACGAAATTATTGTAAAAAATACTTTCTAACAAAACTATCGCCCTGCAGAAAGTTCACACTACAACACCTGTATGACTGTATATGACAGGACGAATTTCTGCCACTCATTAAAGTAGTGCAAAGTTTCCATGAAGAAAATCCATGAAAACGACAAATCCATACCTTGCCATCAACGTACTCCATCTCAAAGAACTGTGACGACATGGAGTCACGTGACCTGTAGTATTCCCTAATGCTGTCTCTCTGCCTCTTTTCGCGGCGAACCCTCTTCAGTTCTTTCGCAACCGCGCGATAATCTTTGCTCAGATTATTGAGGAACGAGATGAGCTTGGCGAGAGATTTTTTCCCGTACGCGGAGAAGAGTGCAAACACCGATTTCAGGTTTTCTTTTACAACGCTGAGTCTTGAGGGAGATCTTGGTGGAGATGAATTTTCATCAGCATTGACGTTTTCCTCAACTTCCTGAGGAAAGTCATTTCCATTCGTGACTTGTTCTTCTTCTCTTCTCGGATAAATTTCCTCCTGTAGAGCACCTACTGCATAAAAGAATCTCATTTTACACCTCTGGGGTAGATAGTTAAGCATTCAGGGGTGGGACTCGCCTTCAAGAAATGGATGTTTTGTACTTCTCGAAGAATCAATCGGGCACAACAAGGTTTAGAAATAAGACAGCCACCCCCTGCCATAGTTCGCACTTTTGTTATCCTTCTAAATGTTTACAAAGGCTTGGAGAAATGAGCAGTCTCTCAGGTTAAATACCCAGTATTATCGAGTGGCATGGCCAACCCGGTATATCAGTTGCAGAAAACGATAACTCGTATGACAAATTTGGAAAAAACCAAGGGCGCAAATCTGTTTTAAAACTGTGGGGGAGGGATGGGTTGGACAGGATATCTGAGGGTATAATACTAGTTTACCTAATGTGAAATCATTGATTTTCGAAAAGGTTTAGGAGGACATGTCCCCATAACCCCACTCGGGACAGAAACAAAAAAATTCAAACGTACCGTTATCTCTACTGGCTCTACTATCCCTACTGTGTTGGGGAGATTCGCTGGTGTTGATTTCGGAATCGGAATCCGTCTCCTCGCTGCTTTCAAACTGATAGTAGCCACCGGAATAAATAGCTGAAAGAATGTAAATTGACAAAATGGTATTAGAAAAACATGCAATAGCTTTTGGGGAGTTCCTAGACGAAAACAAAGGTTATTGATCAGTGGTAAATGACTGCAAAAGTATCCGACCATTTTTGTGGAGTTCTACATCACCACTGACCAATGAGAAGCGTTCCACATCAAAAAGGACACAATCATTTACAAATCACTCGGGTCCAATCCATTTTCGAGTGCTTTTTATGATCAATCTCTAAAACACTCACCTTCGTAATGCGATTGTGGTTCTTGATCTCTGTGCTGCCATGCGCGTTTGTTTTTCAGTTTCATCACACTAAATGAACAAAAGTGGAATTTGCCGATAAATCCTTCGAAGATTACTGAACACAAACGCACTGTTGTTTGAAATGGAAGCAAAATTGTGTCAGCAAACCTGTGCTTTATTTTCGCCATTTCCTGTGTGTCTCGTTTTTTCATCGCATCTAAATTTTCTTTCAGTTGCTTTTCAATGAACCGAGCCCCCCTTTGCAAAAAAGAAGAGACGCATAAATAAGCAAATGGCATTATATTTGCAGGTGGACAGCCCGTTTATTTCAAGGGCTGCTCACATCAACCGCTGGTCGATTGTAACACCGTGGAACGCACCGCGCCTTCTTGCCCACAATTCAACTCCCGTCCCTTGTTATTGAAATTTTTACAACGAAATTCCTTTGTCTATAAAATTGTCTTAAAAAGAGTAAATACCATGGTGAATGGTCAAATACTAACGTAATATAGTTCTTAAAAGAACTGTTAAGCCAGAACACTAAACCAACAATTCTAATAAAACTTTTTTTAAGCTAAAAAGACACTATCCATTTCGGCAGACTACTCATAAGGTGTCAACGCTGACTTCTGGTAATATTATAAATATCGCATGATTCTGAAGCTCCCATTTAGCAGACGTTGACACCTGATGAGTAGTCGGCCGAAATGCATAGTGTCTTTTTAGCTTAAACAACAGTCCTTTAAAATTGCTGGTTTAGTGTTCTGGCTTAAACGTTAGTATTTGACATTTCACCATGGTATTTACTCTTTTTAAGACAATTTTTAACTTTGTCACCACGACAAAGTCCTTATTTTATCATTTTTCAATCGAAATGTACATAGTAGTGAGTTGTTGATTCCCTCTCCCCTTGTCAAAGTTGATTGGCATATTTGCTATGATGGGTAGGAAAATATCTTACCACCAACACTAATAATTAAAATGTACATGCACTGCTTTTAAACTATCGAGATTCCTAGCCCAAATTAACTCCCATCATCTCCCCGTGTCAAAAGAGGCACTTACCAGTCAGCTAACTCAGACTGCTCCTTCAATTCTTTCTTGACAAAGTAAAAATAATCGCTCGTAAAGATCCTGTACTGAAGCAACAGAAATGCAAAGCATGCGCAGTCCATGGATAGACCAGTCTCGTCTGGGGATATGCAATCACGTTCGGCCGAAGTCAGCGGTCTGTACGTGTAGCCAGCCTGACGCAGGCAGTAAAGACTTAGCAACTGCAACACATAGCAACCGGTGTACTCTTTCACAGCATCGATCCACACACAGGAAACAAGCTATGATAATGAAAAATTATCTATGTAACATCTTCCCTATTACAGCCGAATTAGTTAATTGGGGCATCAGATCATACAGTGCTCATAATTGAAAAACAACATGATGACGTCAGTCGGTGTGCCATCCAAACCGCACGAATCAGTTTTCTTCTATGTTGTAACCGCTGACCTAAAACCTAACTAGAGCCCAAACCGCAATTTCAGTTTGCACTTTTATACATGTCCGCTTAGAATACAAAATGCATTTGATAAGAAGCAAGCATTGCTGGTCTCAGCCCCAAGGGTTCATGGGAATGAAGGCTCGAGAGGCGAATAAGAGGCTGCTAAAATTCTTAGTTAAATTTCGGAGGGCTAAGCTGTGTTTACACATATCAGCAATAATAAGAGTCCCCTGATTAAACTTTTCTCGTACGTTCTACAGTGACTAACAGGTATCGACTAGACAAGTGTGTAACTTGCTAAATCTCTATAATTCTTTAACTGTGGAGCTTTTCATTCCATTACCTGAAGACACACTTTGATGAACAAAACAAAGAAGTTGTAGGCGATGAATCTTTTCCACCATGAGATCAACTTCGCGTGAAGATATAACGACTGACCGTGCCACAGGAAGAAGAAACAGCCGAGAATAAAGCCGAAGTTGAAAATACTTACTGTACTTTGTACCGTCAAGTACACAACCGTCAATGTTATCCAATAAATGTGTTGGAAAATGAAAATCTACAAATGAATCGAAATTCTTTTACCCAGGGTACTGTTGCTTGTAGCGCAATGAGTGCACAGATTTGTTGAATCATTACCATTATACATTTCTTAAGAATAAATTGCATTCCAGGCGAAAAACTCGGGCATGCAACTCCACTGACTGCTGCTCAAAGGCAGAATGTGGGTTTTAAGATAGAGGCAGGTAGGTAATTAAGGATACGGTCTGGAAACTTATGAAAAGCTCACATAACTCAGGGTTGAAGTAATTCGGATTCGGCTCATATAGGGTAACTCAAGTAGGGTTATTAAAGATTGATTCAGGTAATTCAGGATTATGGCTGACTTATGCAAATCCATGTTCACTCGGAGGAATCCGAATTAGCCGAGGCAACTAACGATTTTAAGCTTGGCAAGACTACTTATGATTGACTTAGGTAACTTTAGCACAGCTTACGTAACATAGGGTGAGTTCGGATGAGATCAAATACTTCAGCGGGAATTTTATCGACAATATTTAAAGGCACTTCACCATACACACGTCATACATAATTATAAAGGTTACTTCCACTGACCTGTATATGAGTTAGCTATCTGAATAGAGATCGATGCTCGATTCTCACCTTGATCATATCAAGCCATGTTTTGTTTTGCATGAAATCTTGCAAACGCGGTATAGAATTGCTCGAGTCTCGCGTGAACGGGTGCCTGGGCGATCCATTCGAAGCATTCCCAGCCCTCGAGGTTGATACACGCTCGCTAGCAAAGACTTTATCCTGACAGCAGGCAAGCAGCAGTTGAAAAAAATCGACTAAAATCGTGGGAAACAGAAGAGATTAGGTAAACCAACCACTACATGTAAAATTACTATTATAAACATACCAAAGAGTAATTTAGCGTTCTGTGGATCTTGAGGATCAGTGAGGAACAACCAATGGATCAAGTTGTGATCAAGACGACTACTCCAAGGATATTCTATATGAAACATTAGTGTGAACAAACAGTTAACGAGAATGAAAAAAACAAAGAAAGAAAAAATTTCATCGATGAAACTCATAAACCTCCTCCCCTCCCCTCTCTCAAACTTGAAACGACAGTAAACATGGACGAAATCATTGAAATTGCCTGGTTTATATCATTTTATAACGACGGTTAAGTTTTTCACGACTGAATTAACATGAGACTCAAGGCAAGCCTCCTTTTCCTTCATGGGAGATACGTATACAGCCATCTATACCTGTGCAAAGTCCGGGAGGCCAACCCAAGACAAGAACATACTGGACAGGCAGCATGACGGCAAGGAATAAAATATAAAGACGCCATATGGATGATGATTTTTCGCGACCAAGCAAAAGAAACGTGCCTAGCCAGAGGAGTACAATACAGAAACGGCGTCACATCGAACTCCCATGTTTAGAACAATGCTCAAAACACAAATCTAAAATATAACATGGCTGTTTCATATGGGATATTCGAACTCCCATGTTTAGAACAATACTCAAAACACAAATCTAAAATATAACATAGCTGTTTCATATGGGATATTCGAACTCCCATGTTTAGAACAATACTCAAAACACAAATCTAAAATATAACATAGCTGTTTCATATGGGATATTCGAACTCCCATGTTTAGAACAATACTCAAAACACAAATCTAAAATATAACATAGCTGTTTCATATGGGATATTCGAACTCCCATGTTTAGAACAATACTCAAAACACAAACTCTAAAGTATAACATAGCTGTTTCATATGGGATATTAGACAATCTTATCTTTTAAGCTATCCATAGAAAAGCTTGAAGTTTATAGCAAGTATACGTTTACTTGTCCAAACGAAGCTTAGGCCAATTGTTGGTCTTCTAGTTATTATTGAAATGGTAAAATTAACAAGTTTGCTTGTCAAAACGAAGCATAGGTAAATGTAGGTCTTCTCCTAGTTATTATTGAAATGGTAAAAAATCTTATAGTTTCGGTTTCGAGATTTTCTGAAATCCACCTAATATAGACGATTTACATGGTTATGAGTGATATTTTCATTCAAAGTATCCCTCGGACATACCTCCCAGCCAAAATTATTGAAAACTTTGTTACAGAGATATTTAAGCATCTCCAACAATCCCTTATTGGCGTGATTCATGTCGGAAATCTCTGGGAAAATTAGATTGGGAACTTCTTGTGAGGCCCCATTCATACGAGCCAATTTCTAAAATGGCAAAAAACACACACATGAAAATTACATCATTGGTGATCCATCTGAGATTGCAGCATCTCTAATTGAAAAAGTACGCTTCTCCCCCCGTCCATCGCATGTAGCAACTGTACTTGGTTTTTGTTTCAAAATGAAATCATTAGGAAAAGTCGATACACATGTCTAAATGGTCGGTTATATGACGCAGTAGTATTGGGTTAAATCGTGTTCCTTCTCTTCGCAAACTTGCAACAAACACAAACAAACGAAAGCTGAAAATCTGAGTTCCTAACCTGATGATGAACGATAATCGTTTGAAATACGATCACGAAGACGATAAACAGATATCCCTGTGTAAAAAAAAAACACAAAAAAACTTTGAGTAAAAACGAATCCTCACACACCGTTCCAAACATGGCACCTGTTTATCCAGGAAAATCAAATACTACACATGTACCTGTATATCCTGGGAAATCTAATACTGTACCTGTATATCCTGAGAAATGTTCTCCGTTTTGTAGAAGCCAACCCAAAGAGCGTTGTTAGTGAAATGATCCACAGCTTTGGATCCATGAAAAACCTTAATATAGAATTGGTAAACCCGGTTGACATGCGAACGGGAGATGGCTCAACACCCGGACAAGCATATAATTGTTCAAGGCTTCAAATTAAGGTTTGAAACCTAACCCTCCCTCTAATGCCTAGCTATCTTGTTTGGTCAGGCAAGGATACCATCATGAAAATTGCAAAAAGCAGGGCTCTGAAAAATAAGCCAAAAGAAAGTTAATAAAACTAATCCTATCAAATATTTCAAAATCAAAACATAGATTATCTACTCTGCAACGGAAGAAGATGATTTTAGTGGTAAACATCTCCAGCTTAGCTTCTTTTCAAAATAGTGGCTTGCCTTGCTCTTAGCTAAAGAATTTTGGCAGGGTCAGTAGATTGGGTTCTAGGTCATTGTTTAGCCCTTGTTTAAACGATGTAGGTTTTGCAAGACGCAACATCAAATTACGCGATAGTCTGCAAATTTTACCAAACAAAAATGTTTGAGAGACAGAGACGACGTAAAACAGCCTCGATTGACGCAGGAATACTGGAAGACTGGAGTCGAATGAACAAAGCTTAAACGTAGAGGATGACGTATAATACGCACCATGTTTGAACAGTTATGGTAAAAAACGTCCTCATCTACAAACTGCAGTTGATAACACATCTTGGCAAGGATGACGAGCGAGCTCCATATGAGAAAACAATAAGACAGAACTCTTTGAATGAAGTATGACGGCATTGCAATGGCCAAAAGAACAATGATGACGGCGTTTATTGCACACACCTATAGAAACCATTGATAAATGATAATCATACATAACCAATTGTAATAGTTCTTACTTTCCTACAGTATCATTGGTCGTTTGGTCTTTACAGTTTAAAATATTTGGTCAAAGATTGCAGCGGAATGTAAAGTCTATAGTCAAAATTCACATTTTCCTACAGTATCATTGGTCGTTTTGTCTTTTATAGTTTGAAAATATTTGGTCAAAGATTGCACCGGAATGTAAAGTCTTTAGTCAAAATTCACATTTTCCTACAGTTTCATTGGCCGTTTGGTCTTTTACAGTTTAAAAATATTTGGTCAAAGATTGCACCGGTATGTGACCTCTGTAGAAGACGGAAATTTCTCACTCAAGAACGATAAAGAAGGTCGCATTTCGTTCACCCACCTTTGACAAAACTACACATATTAAGGTGAAACTGATCACTTTCGACATGTGAAGTTCTCCGAGTTTCCATAGCAACAAGGTCACGTAGTCATAACACTTCACACACCATTTTCGCTCATCTGAAGGGGGATCGTTTTCAACTCTTGCGCATCCTAAATTCTCATCAGCGAGATGTTCTTGATCTTCAACATGATCGACTCGGATGAAGTCGTCGTCGTCCTGATTGTTCGCGCCGAAATCTTTGTGATCTGCTACAACACTCAACGAGTCTATTCTTCTTGCATCACGTGACTCCCCGGATCGACGACGCGGATGGCGAAAATCAATCATCTTCATGAATGGACGATGAAAGAAATGAAGCTGTATAACAATAATCACTGACAAGGCAGTCGGTATCAAAAGCTCCAGCAGTAAATTGGCTTTCGTGTGCTGTCGTAGACCTAAACCATTTAACCTGTCGTTGACCAATAGAAAAGATCGTATCAAGCAATGCATTATGGTATGCCATTAAGTTGATTTATATCAAAGGTAAAGAAGAGGCGGGAAGAATTTATAAAATAATTCTGTCAATTTCAGCCCAACGCAGAAAGCCAGTTTACGATAAAAATTCAACAAGTGACGACGCATCGATGATTTAATCATCTCTACATGTTGTACCATAAAATTGAAGACCTTTGGATTGATCACTGAGATCAAGCATTGAAGCTTGCACAAAAACATACTCTTTTGCAGTTAAAAGTTATGCTAAATTTACGGGAGTTGAAAAACTATTGTTCTTGTAACAAATAAAAGCAATACATGCACTTAGCTCACAATACTTCATGCACCCGTGGGCATAGCATGACGATAGGCATTTATATTATCACAATACGTCTACGCCTAAATGTCTTTCTTTTCATATACATCCAGTTTCAGAGCCATGCATCATCTGAGAATCAAAGCAATAACTCAGAATAGGTAATGCGTGAAAAATACGTGACTACAACCAGTAGCGGATACAGTGTGCGTGAAAAATACGTGACTACAACCAGTAGCGGATAAAGTGTCCGTGAAAACAAATTATAGCTGTTCAATTTTAAATTCAAAATACTTTCAGACAAAAATTATTGGTTTTGAATTTCTAAAGAATATAATTTTAGCAATGGACTTGCCTCTAAAGTGCTTAGAAATGTAAATATATTCAAATATGTGATGCAAAAATTTGTCTCGACGTACCCTGCATCCAGCATCAACTAAATTTTAACTTCCAATAGGTGGGTTAAGCGACAAACACGATGAACGATTATTCAATCAAAAATGATACTACACTAACCATATTTCAGAGAGACCTATCTTCTTTTGCCAATACTTGGGCATGTCCTCAAATTGATATGTATATATAACCAACAGTATACAGACTGAATATACGACCATTGCCCACCATACCGGACGAAGAATAACACGCCAGAACGAAAACGAGACCTGCATAAAAACATGAACAAATACTTCATGTGAGCAACTTAGCAACACAACTGATTTTTTTAAATTTTCCAATCTATTTGGAATGCTGTCTCTGAAAGAAAAAATCTTGTCTCGAAAAGTGTCGCTAGACGGTTAGCTTTGAAAAACTTCAGTATGGTGTTTGGGGAGGGGGGGGGGGTGGGGGCAACAATACAATATATCTTACCTGGTAGCACACGCACAAGAACAAAAAGATAGCCATATAGCCTATCTGGTACATCGAGACATCGTTCTGGAGACCGACCAATAGGAAAGCGCCACAACAGACTAGAATCCAGTATTTACTCAGAAAAGATTTGATCCATGTCATGAGTATGACGTCGACGTTTGTGTTAGCAGACACAAGGGCATGATGGGATGTATCACTTTCTGGATAAAAAAGAGTAAACTGTTAAAACATAAAGTATCGTGCTTTCTTTGCAGCCTCTAGAAAAAGACAAAAAAATAAAAGTAGGAAAAAAGCGTGAAAACCTCTCGAGGGAAAATGTAGAAAAGTTTTAAAATATCAGCGGAGCGAAGTTTTTCCAATTTAAATGTGAAAAAACCAACTTAGAAAGAGTTTGACGAAAACTAACCTCCTGCCGCACGACTGTCGGTGGCCTGGTTACGAAATACTACAAACAAACAAAATGAAATAAAATAAAATTACGAGATCAAATTACAAAATTCGGACAATCAAATGATCTGACATAGTATTGTATATGTAGAATAGTGGCAATAAAATAGAAAGAAAATGCTCTTGGGGCATTTGTAAATCATATTTTAGAAATCCAGAATGACTAATTACAAAGGCAGAAGGTGTTAGAGTAAATAAAAACCATTTTCCGTCAAATCAAAGGAAAGCTTGGATATGACATGCAATATGCAGAGTTATAGAGAAAAATAAAAACATCTCTAACATTGTCACGGATATTGCGAGAGGAGTAACAAATTGTTGATGAGTTTGATGTGCGTTTGTCAAAATAATCTAAAGAAGACAAAGAGCATGCAAAAAATATATGATTGAAAATTTGCTAAGCTCATATACAAAAACCAATTTCAGAGATCGCTCCGCCACAAATTGAGAATTAATCTGAACATGCGTAGTCAACTCCATCAACTCTCCAAGTTCATGGTCATGGCAACGATCAACTGTATGTACTAGTACCGATTATGGAGTAATTAGCTCGCTCAGTAACAAATTTTCAAATAAATGATCTGCACATGCGCAGTCTGCTTGGGAATGCGCAGTCGACTTGACCAGCTGCCCAAGCAAAGCCTTTCGCAGGTGATCTCGGCGTCTGATGGGCGGAAGCTTGCTATTGCATCTCCCAAGTAGGATAGCGTGGAGAGGCCGAAATCTCCAACCGAAACGCTTAAGAGGGTATCGGGAAGCATGGACCGAAAACGGGGTTTTTTTGCTTTCAAATTTTATCTTTTTGATTACAAAACAAACCAATAATCATAAAATAAAACATGTTTAACTTCTTATGACACTGTGCCTGTTTATGACACTTATAATTTAAGAGAACCTTAAACATGTTTTATACAATATTTATTGGTTTATATCTTTCTAATTTATCTCTCTCATTTACTGTTTCTCAAGTATCACGAGCAAACCATTCATAGGCTTCATGGCAAACAAGGATTATCTGGTTCCGTAATTAACATGCGAGGCTCTGGTGCTCAACTATCTCGGGGTATCGGGAGGCATGGACCAAAAAGGGGATTTTTCGTTTTCAAAATTTGTCTTTTTTCTTTACAAGAATTCTTCTCATAAAAGAAACTAAAACATCCAAGGATACTGCAAAGATTCAAAAAACTTCTGCCTTTTTGACTTATAATTTAAACCAACTCGAAGCATCTTTATACGTTTTTTACTTGTTACCTTTTACAATGTAATTTTAAAGTAAATGGTTTGAACCCGGGAGTATCGTTACATGTTTGTAAATGTAGATCGTCCAGGTTGGTTCTTCAGAGTCAAAAATGACGATGACTACCGCTAAGGTTGTCGAAACGTCAGTCAACAAAACAAAACAGTCCTTCTCAGGACTATACCAACCTGGACGATCTACATCTACAAACATGTAATGTAACTTTGTCATAACTCTCTCGTGATGAGCGAGGGCTTTCTTATACAATATAACTCGCTCATCGTAAACGGAAGCATTCATGGGATTCATGGAACAAAAGCATCATCTTTTTTAAAAACTTTCACGTTCGAGTTCGAATAAAGAAATCAAACACTGCTGACAAAAGGATGAATGAATCATGATCGACAGGAATTTAATAAGAAATACGTAAGAAATCTTCAACAAAATTTATGCGCTTTGGCTTTCATTTTGCAGCAGAATATACACAGTGGAACAAGCTTTCAATTTGAAAGAAAAAAGGCTGAGACATGAAGTCTCGCTCAGTTGAAAGCCTTTCATAAAACAAACACCACACGCAATGGACTTTTAAGTGATTGCCAACATCTCCTTAAGTCACTAAAGGTACGATAACACATCATAAGATTCTTAATAGGAAATCAGGCGTCGGTACAAAATGATCAAGTCACAAAGTAATAACGCTTTTTTTCCCTCAAATGCTAAACATACTGACCTACTGCAAAAATAGCAAGAAATAGTGGTCGAAGCTCAAATTCGTTTCCGTTGCTTCTGCTTCGTTTCTCCTTCACGTGTTGATGAAGCGTCACCCAAAACACCCACGTGAACGACGTCTGTAGTAAGAGAAAACGTGTTACCACTATAACCACAATGATACTGGTCACGAGTTACCACGAGTTACTTTCCTATCAACTATACCACTCTGATATAGGTCGCGTTACGATAGTAAATTTGTCCCACCAACTAGAATACTATGATACAGGCCACGAGTTACCATAGTTAAATCCCCCCCCACTATAACACTATGATACAGACCACGAGTTACCATTGTTCAATTGTCCACGAACTATAATACTATGATACAGGCCACGAGTTACCATTGTTAAACTGTCTACCAACTGTAACACTATGATACAGGCCACGAGTTACCATTGTCAAACTGTCCATCAACTGTAACACTATGATACAGGCCACGAGTTACCATTGTTAAACTGTCTACCAACTGTAACACTATGATACAGGCCACGAGTTACCATTGTCAAACTGTCTATCAACTGTAACACTATGATACAGGCCACGAGTTACCATTTTTAAACAGTCCACCAACTATAAAACTATGATACCGGCCGCCAGTTACCATTATGAAATCATACTACTAACTGTAATCTTTTGATTCTAGCTACGAGTTATTTATGTAAAATTATCCTTAAAATACATGACACGAGTTACAATTTTGAAATGCTCTTACCACATCTAATTTTGATTTTAGCTACGAGTTACTATTTTGGTATCAAACAAAGGGCAATTCTGAAAACAATTTAACTGCGTCAAAGAGATATGACGCGGTGCTTGTTAAAATGTCAGCAATGAATGCCTTGAGAAGTTTTTATAATTTTGTCAATTTCTAATACCCTCACAAGAGGGATTTGTACTATATCAATGAAATATTCAGGATCGACTCAATACATTGTACACTACGAATTGAACAAAACGAATTTAACTTCGTCAAGTGAATATAAAGAAACTCTGGCCTATTCGTGAGCAATGAATTTGTTGAAAATTGGCTGATGATATCTCACGAGAAAGACGCATTATTATATACCAATGAAATCTTCAGAAGACACTCAGGTTTATATGTAGTTGTCATTAAAACACGGCTTATATCTCCGGTACCTGAACAGCCAAATGTAGGCATGGATACTTCCACTTCTTGAAACCCAATTCCTCCAAATCGAATTCGCCTGCTTTCATCGGTAGTTCCTCATCATTGAGGTCTAGTCCGTAGACAAACTGAACGAGCAACAACACCTCGGCATAAATAACCAAGTACGGCGACGTGATCATGCATGCAGCGCGTGCAAACGGCGTGACCCATATCATACATGCCCAAAGGAGCAAGACGAAGGTCAACCATGAGTGGTACATGATGCTCCATGCCTTGAAAAAAACATCAAATACGCTAAGTCAACTCTCCGTGATGATTCTTAAATTACGTTTCCATCATAAATAATTCGTGGGCTCAAATTTTCTAAGAGGTTTTAACTATACCGCTCAGTTACAAGAAACATCAACTGGGATTTAAGGGTAGTGCAAAGTTTGAAAAAAAACCCACTGCCTTTTGATACGTAAATCGTAATTTGAATCAACAATAAAATGTTTCGCACGTTTATTTCATTTCTCAATTCTCTCTCATCTAATTTTGATTCATTTGTCATGAGGTGAACATCCATGGACTTCGTGGTAATTAAAAATATTTCTAATTAAACCTATCACAAGCTATAGTTTGGAAATAACCACTTGTTGTCATGTTGTCACGGTTTACAAGTAAGTGATTTTTAGTCTATAATGTCTATGGTTGTGTATTGGGCACAATATGTGCGCTGGGAACACGCAGGACACTTAGGGTGATGAAGGTAACGAGTTTGAAAATGCATTTTCTGTCTCAAAATGCATCAAATCGCACAACAAGCAATGCTGCCAAGCGAAATAGCTTCGTGTTATCAAACGATTTTTCGTTTATTTTTTCCCTTTAGTCCGCACGTGTACTTTTCATAAATAAAAACTTTCAAGGATAGTACTAAGATTCTGAGAATTTCTGCATTTTTTCCCTTATAATTTAAGCCAACCTAAACCACCTTCATATAATTTGCAATACAACTTTCTCGTTTACATTCAAGTCAATAAGCGTCAAGCAAGTAGAGACAACCGAAACTCGAACGTTGGTGGAGTGCACTGGGCCGAGATCTTAGAGCTCTTATTAACAATGTGTTTGTACTCACCATCATTATAATAAGCGATGCTATGTAGCTTTGTGCCATCAAGAAAGACAAAATGCCGGATATGGTTTCTTTGAGAGTCAGTTTCGGGCGTTCCTCTGTAACATCACGTCGTGGTTCGTTCTCCGCACCTTCATCATTGTCAATGGCATTTTCCTCTATTTGTGCCTCAGATTGACGCTTCCTGCTTTCTTTACCGTGCTAAAATAACGATAAATACAAAGATCAGCACGCCTTAGTTCACTGCATATAATCGCAAACAAATAAAGTGAATAAAGCAGAAAAAGAAAAAATCAAAACTAAAACAAGAATTATGGCAACCTGATCATCATTGTCGTATCTGATCTCCGTTGCTAGAAACCAATAAAGAGTTACAACAACGAAGACGACAAGAAAATGTGGCCAGTCGAGATCTTCGCCACGAAATTGTAATTCCTGGGGATTTGAGCATGTCGTCTTCACGAAACCAATCAAACCTAAAAGCCTTAAGATAGTTTTGGTTTAATGTAATTAAAATCGAACAATTACTCGATTTTTGTAACAATAATGAAAGGATTTTGACACAGATAAAACTCTCTCTAATTTGTATCATTTTGACCGATTTCATGCTTAATTCTAAACAAAAGAAAAGCAGTTCTACAATAGTTTCCAATTAACAATAAACCGTGTTTATGCTAGTTTCTATTGTCAAGAAACCGGTCCCATGCGCGTTCCAGTCACAAGCAAACCGGTTACACGCTTGTTTATAATCAAAAGTAAACCGGTATCGTGCTGGTTTCTAATTGCGAAGAAACCGGTTCCAATGCAGTTTCTAATCCCAAGAAAACCGGTTCCGGGCTAGTTTATGATCACGACCAAAACTGCACGTAAGTCTTCAACAAGCAACATGATTGACTACGAGCAATGATTTGCAGCGTGTAGGGAGGGAGGGGGGATAGATGAAATCGTTACTTCCAATTTTGCTCAAAATACTTTGAACAATTGTGAACGAACTCTAAAGAAGCCTTGTCATAAACACCTACCTTGCGGGTAGAGACATGACGGGCAATGTCTCTTGAAAAAACTGAAACTGATAGAAATACAAGAGAAGAAGATGCGATCCAGAATATATCATGAGGTACAACCTCAAACGAAACAAAGTCGTCCAATAATGCGAATGCAGGGTCTTGTGCAGTGACCACATCGTACCAAACAGCAAAAAAATCAAAAAATAAACACTTGATATGAGACAGGGTACGGAAACTCCAGCCAAGAAAAGCAACAGCAACACAAAATAAGGTAAAACATAGTTGCGAATGTTGGAGTTGACTGAGAAAGTGGCCTCCCTCCATGATCCCTCATGATCACTGCCTCTACGCATGCGTCCCAACGAGCGCATGTAGACCCAACAAAATATGGAAAATACCAAGATAATATAATCAGGTAGGAGAAGACGGCAGATGTCCGAAAGGGAAACCTTGTCAAATCTACAAGAACAAAAGTAAATTATCTTTCTATAAAGTTCACAACTTTTTACTATAAAGGAACATAAGAATAAAGCTATATAATTAGTTGGGTGTCATGCCACTTTGCGTGTTGGGTATTGAGTTTTCCATGGTTGTGATTGGATCGTCAACTGTGACGTCATACATCGTTATAAAATGAACAATGTGAAGAATGACTGGCTGTTTGAAGAAAATCTTTCACAGAAGGCTATAGATAAAATAATTTACACGTACCTGTTAAACCCTATTTCCCTTAAAACCTTTTCAAGTGTTGAGCCTAAACAAAACAAAGCAAAGTCCATTAAGGTTAATTGAAAGCTTTTCCAAAATACTGTATGGGCCTGTAGAACGACTTACATCTTGGTATAAAATGACCGTACGGTGACCTAGCACCAAGAACAATTTGAAAGATGATTTGACCAATTGATGCGAGACCAGATGAAAAATTAAGGCTTTCAAAAATAACACCGTTGTCCCTTTACCTGAAGAAACATGACATGTTTAAAGAAAACTGAAAGTTTGTTTCAAGATGCACAGCCTCCCTCAGCTTGCTGGCTGCTTGCTAGTTCTTATTTAAGGAAGGTGCAGGCAGGTGTATCGTAAGGACAATGGAAGTGTGGGGGTAAGAATGAGGATAAATGTAAGTATGGTGGGGGATTATGGTTGCTAGAAGAAATAAAAATGGAAAGATCAAATGGTTTTTTAGCAGGGATATGTCCCTTCTGTAAAAAGGTAATGGGGGATTCTCACCCTGCCCTTGTTAAGTTTTTCCTCCCCACTTCACTCCCTCCCCATGTAGAGCATTCTCATCCAACCTTACCCTAACCTTGCCGCAATGCTTATAATGCCCCAGGATGTTAGTCTGCAAAGAATATAACTGGTTCCCAGTCCATATTTATCTCATCCCTTGACAGACCAAACTTCCTCCCTAAAGTAGCCATTGGCTGACTTAATAGTGTTTGCCCCATTTACTGCCACTGTGTTACATAGTTTGTACTTTACCTCGACAATTTTCGACAGATGGACTGGGTAGAAGTGGAATACAAAAGAAACAACACAAGTATAAAAGCGAGAAACCATTGAATCGAAATACAAAAGCTAGAAATAAAAAAAAAGCAATTACAATTTATAAGTTAATGTCGAAACAAATCATTCATCTATTCATAAAAATGTGGCATTTCATCTCTCAGAATTTAACATATTTCTTTTGGAAAAATACTAGCAAAAATGTACAGGTGCATGTCACTTCAAATGATTGCTTTCTAATAGGGCCATTTTCTGACATGACTTTCCTCTATACACAAATTCAAACCATATGGTTAAGTGTCACCCACTGAGCAACCATTAAAAAAGTAATCAATTTTACTGCATCACAACACACCAATAAACTTATGCATTCTTCCTCAAGCCCTATTTCCATGTATCATAAAAGCATTTGCACTAAGTTTTCAAGCAACTATTTTAGCTTAGTAGAGTCTGTATTGACTGCTTAGTCAATACTGTTTTAATTGCCAAAGGTTTTTGACAGCGGGTTCAATTTTATCATGAATTAAGGCGATGAAACTAAGGCGTGTGAGCATGAAATGGTCAAAAATGTAGTTTGCTAATTAGGGGTGCAAAACTCTGCCAAACACGTAGACTTTCATTGTGGTAAGATTCTCAAAGCTGACTCTAACACAAACTTTGTCTAAATCAATGTATTTAAATACGTACCAGCGACCAACAAAAGAGGAAGGCAAAACTTGAACAGGAAAACACATGAGATAGGCGACGCCATCGCAGCTGTGACCTTTGGAATTGTCTACACTTAAATTGCATGAACTTTGACTTTTACATTTCCTGAGTTGGCAAAAATGCAGCAATTGTCGACACCGCGGGAGTTGAATTTTCTAACAACAACGAAACCGGTTTGCCAGCGTTTCGTTCAAATATGTTTGTAAAATATGTCATTATAAAACGAAACAAGGGCATTGCACCACAAGGTGCCGACTGAAACCAAACAAGAAGCAATTACAAGCGAACAAAAATAACTACAAGAAAGAATTTCAATTGACAAAACACAACATGTTATGAACGACTAGCAAGTCTGAACGAACACCTAATGTCGCAATTATGTGTTGTCAAAGTCTTTCCTGGGGGATGCGGAATTTACGTGGCAATAATAATGTTTATTTTGTCAGCAAAAGAGCAATCGGCGGCCTTATAAGAAGCTAATACACGTGCTATCAAGAAAAGCTTGTAGATTATATAAATGACAAATTGAATTGTAGATGCCAAAAAAGTTAACATTTATCGATTAACTTTCAATTTTAAATTTTTAAAATTATAATAGCATGATGATTCTTACCACTCCACACCCCCCGTCGATGAAATGAGAAAAAGTTATCCAAGTATATAAACGTTTACATCAAGTATCGCACAAGTAATTTGCAAGTGGGTGCAAATAGCAATATATTTCCAAACAAATTATTTGTTAAATCTCTTGTATTTGATTGAAAGTTGCGTTATGTTTGCTTCGAAGGAGATTACCTCGGATCACAAGGACTTAATTCATGATGTTGCGTTTGATTTTCACGGTCGAAGAATGGCCACTTGCTCAAGCGATCAGACGGTGAAAGTAAGTTGATGGAAACTAGTACAACTTGCTTGTGAATAATGTCTGAATAAACCAGAAGTAGAGTTGATGTTTCTTTTAGAAGTTTCCTTGAAAAACTGACACCAGCTGTGTCGTATATTATACTGCTTCCTCCATTTTTCTATTGTAAGCATTGTAGCTAGGCGCTAGGATAATTTGCATATAGTGTACACCTAAATGGATATGGCATACATATGCTGTTCAGACATCCCACCTGCTATAGTACATGATCCTTATTTGAGCACCTGCATCATACATTACGGGTAGTATCTATCATAGCACATATCCTCATAGAGATTACTTGCATCCCTATCCATCCTACTTTATCCCAACATGTATTTGTTTTGACAAGAATTTTGTTTTTTGAGTAGCAGAGCTCTTTTTCTGGAACTTAGGTGTGGGATATCAGTCAGGACAATGAGTGGAAATGCACTGCCAGTTGGAAGGTACACACAAAAAAATGTTTACATTTGGGAAGAGTTCCAATGTTTACCAGTTTTCTGTCAAGAACAGATTGATAAACAGAAATAACTATACAGGGAATGGTTTGAGCCTGGGAGTATCGTAACATGTTTGTAGATGACAATTGTACAGATGTTAGTGCAGTCTTGGGAAGGACTGTTAGTGTTGATTGAAGTTTCCACATCTTTGGCTGTAGTCATCTTCAAAGATATGAAATTGTTGGTCAATACAAATACGAACTGTCCTTCCCTAAACTGCACTAGTCTGAAAGATCAGTATCTGTAATAATAGAAATACAAACATCTCCTTTCTGCTTCTCTGCATAGTTTAAAGTTATAACCTTAGTTCCATTAGTTCAATCATTATGTTTAGTCTATGTGAAGTGATATTGATCTTTGCATAATTATGCATTTTTATGTTAAGTAAGAAATGGACAAAGGCAAGCACTTTTAAGTCATGCCAACTTTATCATGTGTTTGAAGCTTACTAACTTGACAACAGCTGCAAATTACTGACTTTCGTTTTTAACTAGACACATTATGGTTCTGTGTGGCGTGTGACATGGGCACATCCAGAGTTTGGACAAGTGCTAGCCACCTGTTCTTTTGATAACACAGCAGCTGTTTGGGAGGAACAAAGTACGTTAAAAAGGCTTGCACTCTCTTTCCACCTAATGCAATTACGACTGAAACATGGAGGGGGGACTGGGCCACAGTGCGGGTGAAATTAATGGTTGAAAACAATTTTAGTTGCAACAGAAACGCGAAGAGGGACTGGGACACAGAGAGGGCAAAGCTTCTGGGTAGTGTAATCAGTTGATTAATACATTTCATGTTCGTATTGATAATATGCAAAATATAGCTAGTTTAAAATTGAGTTATTTTGTTCTACAGGAAAAAAAGGCTGGATTGGTGGACAGTAGAACATCCGTGACGGACGTAAAATTTGCACCAAAACATATGAACCTCCAGCTAGTAAGATATTTTTCACCCTGCAACCGCTTTTTGGTAGTTTTTAATGTTTTCTTTTCCAACTGAGTCGCAATGGCGTTTGGGATCATATGGAGATTCGAATGAGAACACGTGACGTTGTTTCTTACCTAAGCACGAGTTGCGTCGTAGACGCATTTGTTACGAGCCCACGCTGAGACGTGGGAAATGCCGGAATTAATTGAAGTCATTGTTCTGCTCTAGGCCACGTGTTCGAAAGATGGTACAATACGAATCTACGAAGCAGTTGATGTTACAAATCTTAGTCATTGGACGAGGATGGTGAGTTTATTCTTTGCTCGCGATGAACACATCATGCCGTAGCGGGAAATATCATAAAATATCAATGGGCATGCGCAAATCACACGTACACTAAAATACTGTTCAAGTATTCAAAACTTAAGGGAGGTTTTGGTAATGTCTTCATGTTGCATTTCTAGCACGAAATCAAAAGTAAAAAAAACTGTTGTTGTTTATCATGGAACCCGTCAAGAAATCACGCAGCCATGATCGCGGTTGGCAGTGACGATGCCAGTCCTTCGGAAGGAGGCAAAGTACAAATATTCGAATACAACGATGGATTAAGGTTGAGCTCAGTTGACAAACACTCGCAATCTTTATGGTTGACGAAGCTAAATATTTACGTTTTTCGTCAAATTATTTCCCGAATTTTCATCACTTGTCTTGATCTTCACAGAAAATGGCAGAAAGTCGAAACGTTGAACGCAATCACAGAACCAGTGCACGACGTCGAGTTCGCGCCAAATTTGGGCAGGTAAACTGGTAAAACGTCGGTTTTTTACAATTATTTCATTGACGTGTACATCAATCATTGGTAAAATCAACAACATCGAGCAACATTTTTACGCTTTGTTAGGACAATTAAGATGCATTTACAAATAGAACAATTAGATATAAAACAAAACAATTAAATTTTGAAATAGAATACTTAGATTTAAAAATTGAACAATCAGATATTGGTTAGAATAATTAGATTTAACATAGAACAATTTTAATTTAATCATAGAACAATTACAAATAGAACAATTGTATTTTAAAATAGAATAATTAGATTTAAAAATTGAACAATCAGATGTGAATTAGAATAATTAGATTTAAAGTAGAACAATTTTAATTTCAAAATAGAACAATAAGATTTAAAAATTATAGTTTAACCGAAAATATTTTCTTTTTTCTCGCAGGTCTTATCATTTGCTTGCCATCGCGTGTAACGATGTTAAGATTGCGTCTCTAGAACCGAATAAACAAGCGGGGTATGCAGCATTTATTATACTATCCTCAGTGCTATAATTTGACATAATAATTTGTGATGATAGTTCACATGGTGGTATCCTTTGCATACGTAATTCCAAGTTTTTTTTTCTCACCAGAAAAGATTCTAACTACCCGAAATTTACTGTCAACATGGCAGCGCAGTTTAAAGAACATGGCAAAGTAAGTGTAAAATGTTTCATCGTATGTGTAATGCTTCACTCAAGATGACTTAAAAAACTCCAAATTGTTGTTTCATCAAACTGTGCTTTCATCTACCCTTTACTGTTTTGCTTTTGCAACACCCTAGGTGTGGAGAGTGCGCTGGAATGTAACTGGGACAATATTGGCTTCTTCCGGAGATGACGGTTGTGTTCGCCTTTGGAAAGGTATTGATACATATCCCGTGTGGCCACGGACAACTCGCGTTCCTTTCCATCTTTTTTTCTGCCATGAACTTTCGAACCTCTCACGTTGTTTACAATCTTTCATCTTCCCATAGACTGTGTTGTACTACTTACGTTGTTTACAATCTTTCATCTTCCCATAGACTGTGTTGTACTACTTACGTTGTTTACAATCTTTCATCTTCCCATAGACTGTGTTGTACTACTTATGTTGTTTACAATCTTTCATCTTCCCATAGACTGTGTTGTACTACTTATGTTGTTTACAATCTTTCATCTACCCACAGACTGTGTTGTACTACTTACGTTGTTTACAATCTTTCATCTTCCATAGACTGTGTTGTACTACTTACGTTGTTTACAATCTTTCATCTTCCCATAGACTGTGTTGTACTACTTATGTTGTTTACAATCTTTCATCTTCCCATAGACTGTGTTGTACTACTTACGTTGTTTACAATCTTTCATCTTCCCATAGACTGTGTTGTACTACTTACGTTGTTTACAATCTTTCATCTTCCATAGACTATGTTGTACTACTTACGTTGTTTACAATCTTTCATCTTCCCATAGACTGTGTTGTACTACTTACGTTGTTTACAATCTTTCATCTTCCCATAGACTGTTTTGTACTACTTATGTTGTTTACAATCTTTCATCTTCCCATAGACTGTGTTGTACTACTTACGTTGTTTACAATCCTTCATCTTCCCATAGACTGTGTTGTACTACTTACGTTGTTTACAATCCTTCATCTTACCACAGACTGTGTTGTACTACTCCTTAATTTCATCAACAACCCTTCATTTTATGAAAGACCATTGTAAAACTTCTCAGAATGTTTATAAATTTTCAGCAAACTATCTGGATAACTGGAAATGTATTGGTGTATTGAAAGGCAATGGCAGCCCTGCCGAAGTGCTGGGATCAAGTGTACCCACTGGCTACTGAGATTTCAGTTGTATCTTAAGGATATAAATTAAAAGCAAGTTACAGGCTTTGCTTAAAAGCACTCTCGGAAATATTTTCCAATGTTACTGTATCTAGTACAGATATGATTCTTCCGGTTGGAAAATAACAAATCATTACCAATGTGAATATTCTAATGATTTTGAAATTTTAAAAATGTTCTATTTTTCAAACATACTGAGCTGATTCAATTATTCTTCCTTGAGGAACTACAGTTACACCCGTCTTAATAGGCACCATATGAAGCAGTCACCAAAAGTAGTAATTTCGAAAATTTCATTGTATAAATAACATTCAAGTGACATTTATTGCAGCGTCACCTCTAACAAGCACACATGATCATCTTTTCAAAGATTCCAAACTTAAATTTTTCTTTATTTTGAACTGTATTAAATGGTCAAGAAAAATAAGAACAGCACACACAATACACTATTGGGAACTGGTCAAAGTCGTCGGCAGCAGAAAACAAAAATAATGCCTAGGTCAGTTTAACTTCTGATATTTTCTGCCTTGTATATAAAAAACTGTAATCAGTGGCCAACCTGTATTAACTAAAGGCTTGGTAAAATGGTCACATGAGAAATCCCTAAGAGTGACCATTTAAAACAGGTTGGATTGTGGCATTATTTTCCTTATCCTGTTGGCCAGTTTTGGAAAATAAGCAATTGATACTTGCGACTTGCATGCACAAACAATGTAAACCTGCCATGTAAATACCATGTTTTGGAAAATAAGCAATTGATACTTGCCACTTGCATGCACAAACAATGTAAACTTGCCATGTAAATACCATGTTTTGGAAAATAAGCAATTGATACTTGCCACTTGCATGCACAAACAATGTAAACTTGCCATGTAAATACCATGTTTTGGAAAATAAGCAATTGATACTTGCCACTTGCATGCACAAACAATGTAAACCTGCCATGTAAATACCATGTTTTGGAAAATAAGCAATTGATACTTGCCATTTGCATGCACAAACAATGTAAACTTGCCATGTAAATACCATGTTTTGGAAAATAAGCAATTGATACTTGCCACTTGCATGCACAAACAATGTAAACTTGCCATGTAAATACCATGTTTTGGAAAATAAGCAATTGATACTTGCCACTTGCATGCACAAACAATGTAAACTTGCCATGTAAATACCATGTTTTGGAAAATAAGCAATTGATACTTGCCACTTGCATGCACAAACAATGTAAACCTGCCATGTAAATACCATGTTTTGGAAAATAAGCAATTGATACTTGCCATTTGCATGCACAAACAATGTAAACTTGCCATGTAAATACCATGTTTTGGAAAATAAGCAATTGATACTTGCCACTTGCATGCACAAACAATGTAAACCTGCCATGTAAATACCATGTTTTGGAAAATAAGCAATTGATACTTGCCACTTGCATGCACAAACAATGTAAACCTGCCATGTAAATACCATGTTTTGGAAAATAAGCAATTGATACTTGCCACTTGCATGCACAAACAATGTAAACCTGCCATGTAAATACCATGTTTTGGAAAATAAGCAATTGATACTTGCCACTTGCATGCACAAACAATGTAAACCTGCCATGTAAATACCATGTTTTGGAAAATAAGCAATTGATACTTGCCACTTGCATGCACAAACAATGTAAACCTGCCACGAAATACCATGTTTTGGAAAATAAGCAATTGATACTTGCCACTTGCATGCACAAACAATGTAAACCTGCCATGTAAATACCATGTTTTGGAAAATAAGCAATTGATACTTGCCACTTGCATGCACAAACAATGTAAACCTGCCATGTAAATACCATGTTTTGGAAAATAAGCAATTGATACTTGCCACTTGCATGCACAAACAATGTAAACCTGCCATGTAAATACCATGTTTTGGAAAATAAGCAATTGATACTTGCCACTTGCATGCACAAACAATGTAAACTTGCCATGTAAATACCATGCTTGAAACATAATTGCACGGCATTCAAGTCAAACTTGTCAAACTTTCATTACCTACATTTAATTTTTTCATCACATTGTTTGCATCAAATACAATTTTGTCAAAGTTCATACACGCCAGCCAATGAAGTTCATGACAACAAGATGCAACACGATGCTGGCAAAGATGAAGTCTGCAAAGGATCTTTCGGACTGATTCCTTTGAAATCATTTCCATTTGCTGAATTGGTTTGGATTCTCAGGCAGACTAAAGAAAAATGAACGTTACTTTACATCTCACATTGTTTTAAAATGTGAATGCAATTGACTAATCCAAATACAATAGCATAGTATTGCCAGCCAGCAGATTTACTCCTGCTTTGTAATCTTTAAGAATGACCATTAGTGTAATCTTTAAGAATGATCATTTTTAAAAATGACCATTTGTTTAAAAATCTATTGCTCCAACAGTCAGTGAGCACAAAAATGTGTGTAGCTGGAATAAGTCAGGCTGGCTACACTACTGTCCCTCAAAGAAAAAAAGCAGGCATGCACAATCAGGGGCAGATTTTCTGGTGGATGAAGGGAGTGTGCACCCCCTGAAATTCTCTTGTATTCCCCAAGAAAAATTGTAAAATGACATTATGATTAAAATAAAAGTATTAGAAAATATGAAATTGTACTTAAAAAGTGAATAACATATTCTTATGCCAGGTTAACTCATCGGTAAGTCTAAAAATCCACTATAGCCCAAGGCCTTGTAACTTTAGCTGGGATAGCAACGCACCCCCCTTAGAAAATCTGCATCCTCCCTAACAAATTAGCATTGATCAGCCCCTGTGTGTGCACAATTTGTAAAACCAACTTGTATTAGTTGGCCATAAAGTGACGAAGACTATTTAACTTTATCCAAGATATTAACTTAACACACCATTTTTCTGGGACAGAGTTTTAACTAAGCACACCAACTTTCTCGGGGAAGGAAAGGGAATAATCATTAAACTGAACCGTTACTATGGGGTCTCACACTCTCATAAAACACTGACCATTGTTGAACTGGAATTACAACAAATGAAACAAACACTGAGACACAGAGACTTTCGACGACATCTTCTTGTATGAAACTTACCAGCCAACACAAAGGATCCTACACATGATATAAAGCCAGATAAAAACGAGTTGAAAGGAAAGGTGCCAACAAGTAGACAATAGCAGAATTGAAAAATTCCAGTGAACATTATGTACATGAGGTAAGCATCGATCAGTTTCGTTTTTTGACTTGTCTTTTCGTTGTATTCATTGTAAAATTTCACCAAAGCGCCGGTTAGGGATGCGGATCCACTCATTTGGACGAATTTTTGAATGCTGTTAGACACAACAGTGACACACTTTTATAGCGAAGAGAAGAAAAGAAAGGTTTTAACGCATGCGCGTATTAAATTTACGTAAGTACTTCATATAACACTCTCTGTTGTTACCATAGTTGATACACTTCACATCCTTGATCTTCGTATTTTCATTAAAGTTGGAGGGGAGTGGGATTATAGCGTCCATCGTCCAATACAAACTAAGAACTATGTCGAACAAGGATGGCTCTTTATATGAAGTTTATATGCAGCTGTAACCCTGTCAATCTGACCTCTTGCGCCATCATTCAATTTTCGGGAAGCAGATCTTATAGAAGAAACCTGCACTTTCTATTGGTAAAGAAAAAAAAATTGTGTATATTTAGAAGAAATCTGAACCATTTGCATTAAAGTTGATAGGCACATGCTATATTTCGCTGTTTCCACAGGCAAAATTCATTGAAAAAATATCTTCTAGAAACTCAACAAATTTTGGAGACAAGAAAAGATTGAACAATCAATAATCGGTCCACTGAAAAGGAAAGATATTCCATGCAAAAGTTATTACTCTACTCCTAAGAGACGTTCGATAGTTTATAGCGTCAGAAAATGTCCGGCAGACTTGCTGTTGCGTACATAATCCAAACCCAAGATCCCAAACACATGATCCAAACCCAAGATCCCAAACCCAAATTGAGGCAAGAAATCGGAGGTCAAAGGCAGTTATAGGACATAGGCCAAAGATCAGTATACACTGTGTCGATTTCGGAAACTTTTTTTATGGGGTCCAGATACTTAGATTTAGATATTTACAGGCTGTACTATTCTATTTCATTCATGACCAATTTCTAATGAGGACTCAAAGTTTTCATACGAGGTTTTCAAACGTTCATTTCTAGTGTATAGCTAATGGTCGGATTACTTTTTTTTGGACAACTCTTTCCATATTTTCAGTTTCCATGAGCGGTTTTCATTCACGAAGTTCGTCTTTGACAGGAGTGTCTTTTGGTTCGCTTTGTTCGTCCGCCTGAGGGTTAGGCTTCGTTGGTGTGCTATTTTTATCAGACATTTGTATTTTCTGCGTTGCCAGACGACACGTCTCCATTTTAATGGCGGTCATGATTTCCTTGCCTTGACGCGTTAGAAAATGATATTCACCTCTTCTGTTTTTACACTCTCTGAAGGATGAAAATGAGTGAAAAACAATGTATACCATTTGGAATCAACATATAACTATTTGTTTTTGACAGTACTGTTCAAAACGTTTTCTTAAAATTTGTTAAGGGAAATGTACTTGCTTTTATAAGTTATTTCAGAAAACTTGTTTTAAAGAGTTGTGTTTGTATAATTGGTTGAATAACGAAAAATCTAAGCCCTAATGGTAGGGGCGTGGCATTTTGACTTTTGTAGATGTAGAACTCACAAATAATATCATTTTTTGCTTCGGTCTCAGACTAAGTGAAAAAGCTATTTATTTTAGACTGCGCCATATTGCCATTGTATTTACGCCATTCTAATAACAAATTTGGCACGATTTTCTTCCTGTCATTAACTCACAGTACTGCAAGTAAACGAAAGTCTTTAGGAGAAGCAAGCTTTCAAAATGGGTGTCAGTATTTAAGAGTCCATCTATGTCAATGATTTTCTTATGTCAAACATAAACATATATTACAGGAAAATATCGACCAAGGATGGCTTGAAATTTTTTGTTAGCAGTTGCTTTTGAAACGTGTTTTTGAAACTTGTACATAAGAGTTTCCAACGTCTGTTCCAAAACTTGTTTTCTGAAGTTATTTTAAAAAGTGTTTTAAAAGTAAAAAACACTTTAAAAATGCTTTTGCAGTATTTAAGAGTCCATCTATGTCGATGATTTTCTCTTGTCAAACATAAACATATATTACAGGAAAATATTGATGAACGTAGCTATTTGATTGGAAGGGGTTAGCTCCCCATCTGAATTCTTAGGGAGGCTGCAGCCCCTCTTAGTCCCCCCCTGCTTTCCGCCGCCCATGCTTCCTACAGCACAAAACATTGGTACATACGTAGCACTCACCTTGAAGCCCATATCACCAAGATCATATCAAGATCTTGAAGTTTCGATACCTTTCGAAGCTTGAATCTTGGCAGATTCTGAAGACTCCACTTCGTCGCCAGGACACCCGTTTCGATGTCGTAAAGGCTGAGAAATTTCTCCTCGACGCTCATGATATAATCCCCGTCCAGATGAAGCCGTTCCGAGTCCTGAGTATTTATAATAGTCACTCGTAACTGCTCGGGGTCTTTGGAGAAAAAACATAACAGAATATGAAAAATTAATCATTCATATGATAGGTACGCCTAGCTACACAAGCAAAGCATAACAAAGAAATGAAATTGAAATTTTTATGTGACGTATGTGTAACTACACATGAACTAAAATAATGGCAGCAAGTCAATCGCAATTTTTTACCAATAGGAACACCGAGATAGCTAACTGTAGCCAGCAAGATGATTAAATATACAGCTCCAAGTTGTAGAATGAAGTGACACTACTGTGTGTACACGCGAGCAAAATAACTGTTTCCCAATGATGTTGAAATTAATACGAGATAAAGTTATTTTTTAAGTAAGGGGGACTTTTTTCATAATAGATGGAAAAGATGGGGAACTTGTTTCTATGTTATCAGTGGCGTAGTCACCCCTCAAATGTTCAAGTCATGCTATGCAATATTTAGAAACATTATTATCAATCATGTGTGTTTAGAAACATTTTTTTCACAGTATATACAAAAATTAGCACAGTGATATTATCACAATAATATGTTATTACACTAATGTGTTGACGTTATTGATTTAGATACTTTTACTAAGCATTATTCAATACTTTTTGTTTCCTCAACAATCGACTATGGAAAGCGTAGTCATCAATCATCAACCCATTACTAATACAAAAGGTACATGTGTACAGTATTTACTGAGGGCAGTACATACCATTTTCACATTCTTGAATCAAACCAAACACAGACGAAGGTACTAATTTGTCTTGTCTAATTTTTGTAACATCATTAATCATTGCTATCCATTCCGCACGCTCGGCTAGTGACTCAACAGAAAACACATATTTGCTTTTCCTAGAAATCAGCTCAAATACATTATTGTGTGTCTTTGAGGTTTTTGAATCGTTCACTGACACATCTTTGAGCGGTATCCAGCGCTTGCACTGCCCATTTATGCAAGCCAACTCACTGCGATAACATTCTAGCCTGGCAACACCGGCAGAGGTTTTACGCCGCAAGACAAACCATTTTTTCTTCCAAGCCTAAAACAAAACTAGTGATCGTTATAAATATATCGGTGCTAAAAATTCCATGTGAACAACCATTTTTTTGAAAGGACACATTTTTGTTCACTTATGTTATCTAATGAAATTTTGGCCATTGTACATGTGCTTGCTTCCAATTTACAAATTCCACACTAACTTCCCCCTTTCACCAACTAACCCACCAATATCTCTCCCATTTGCTAGCCCCTCTTCTCCAATAGCCTTCCTCGCCCCAATCCCCCCTCTTCTTCACTAGCCTCATTCAACCACTAGCACCCTTTCCACCTCACAAACCCAACCCTCTCTGCCACTAAACTTGGCAATTGCTTTCCAGATTAACTTTAAACATTTCTTGTTTTTTTGGTAATAGAAAACATTATGACTCAGTGATAATATACTATTTGCAACTATACGTCACAAAATTCTCTTCATTAATCACTGATATTCACTCATTTTTAATTTATAATTTTTTACATTGACATCAATACAGTAAATGGATGCAAGGCAAGTCTATAACTCCCTCATTTCAAATGGCTGTCTGTTCAAGAGGACTGCTCTTTATCTGAGTACTAATATACAGATCAGTGGACTATTAGTATAACATATATTATAAAAGATATTTTTTAAATTTAACCGCAAAATTGAAACATATAATTGCACACATTTCGAAATCTATCTCTGAAAGTTGTAGACAACTGTAATTCATCGCCTGTTTCGAGCAATATCATCATCAAAAGGTTCTTTTGAGATTGTGAAAAGTTCGAAGCTCAACCTGTGGTTTATACACATTCAAAAATATATTCATAATTTTACCTTTTCATGACTTTTCGCTGCTTTCTTGGCAACTTTATTTCCATAAATCCGCATTTTACAATCCCGTTATAGTTTGTCATCGACCTTCGAGAAAACTACACCAAATAAATTCACCATTGAACATCTACAGTCTTTCCTCGTGTCGGGGGCTGTCGGGTGGACTAGATTGTATTGTATGCTAATTGCAATTGCATTGTATTGCAGAAAACTGAAAATTTGTAATTTTAATTTTTAGAAATGTGGCTTATGAATGCGCGCACACGTTAATCAGCGGTGCAGTAAACTGGCATGACTTCATCTAATTAAATCATATGCAGGAGTCTTCACATTGACAACCCTAAAACTCTAAGGTAGCTTATTTTTGAAGAATTTATGGTTCTCACCCTCGGGTTTCTTTTAGACTGTGATTCAGGTCTCTCACAGTGGCTTTTCAAATGAAAGAACTTGATATTTTTTGAAATATTTGATGTCATTTACTAATATAGATTGTTCCAAGACTGGCCTTTGTATGTTATTTCACATGTATACGCGAAATCCTTTTTTCAAACTAGAAAACTTGTACTTAGCTAAGTTTCACCGTTGTGCAGCGTTAGTCAAAATAAATTAGCGAAACTCAATTTCAATATTCAGTTTCAACATCCATTCAAGCAAAGCTACGTCAGTACAGGCTGTTAACTTTCAAATAAAGAACGCCGAATTCTTATTATTTCATGAAATGTACACATCTTTAAAAATAAAATGTTTTAATTAATTTCAGAATTTTAGCAATTGATGTCATGTGATAAAAACATAAATCACGTGACTCATTACATGCATTAATAGAATGAATTACAACTATATAAGCTAACTGGAGGTTTATTTTGACATGAAACCAAAGCGGTCATATTTTGGGGTTACTTCGAAGGTCCAACGTTCAACAGTCCTTGCCCTATATAGGCTTGATCCTTTCCCCCTCAGAGGGCCTGAACCCTGATAGCACAGCACGGGGGGCTACAGCCCCAGCCCACCCAAATAAGGCAAACAGATCATTTCAACCCCCTCCCATCCTTGCCTAATACAAAATTATTCGTTCTCCCCGTTCCTATCACAACTTCCTCCCGTTCATCGTAATTCAAACGGCTTCCCTCTCGCTACTAAAACTATTTTTATCAACGACTTTTAGCCTTCGAAAGGCAGCAATGACCAAGATCAAACCGAGAAACTGCACGCCGGCGATCAGACAGCCCATCAAAGTCTTGTATGTATACAAGCTGCTTCCGAAAATCGGGCCCAGCAGTCCAGCCAGACGATTGAATGACGTAAGTATCGCGTGAACGAGTCCTTGGTTCTCTTGTGATGTGTGCTTAGATACGAGCGAGCGTCCCACAACAACTGTTATAGATATTCCTACCCCTCCGAGGAAAATCGTGACAAGGAAACTGTAATAACAAAGTTTACTTCCGGGGCTTGAGTACGACAGTACAATCAAGCTAATGGAGGCGAGTGCACCGCACAATACTGCTACAAGAAGGATGACGCGGTCGGCTATTTTCGGAGAAACAAGCCAAACGACAATAAGGACAATGATAATTTCCAATCCCCAAACCGTATACACGATACTGACTTTAGTCTCGTTCCAGTCCAGCATCTTCTCGGCGACCAATGGGGTGATACCTTGTAAGCACGTGTGAGTGACGTACATGAAAAACAACAAGTAAACGAGCACGTTGACCTCGAATTTAGTAAACATGTCGACCCACGCTGACCAAAATGTTGCAGGACCTTTAGGATTTGTCGGTACGTCCTCGGTCGTGTCAGCGGTGAGACTTTTCAAATCATCTTTCTCGGTATCATTGCTCATATCTTCAGCTCTGACGGCAACAGTTTTTTTAACTTTGCCTCCATTTCCATTTTCCTTCGGTGTGATTGCACCAGACAATAGCGAACCAGCATTTTTCTCGTCCGGATTATTCTGTAGAAGCAACGTATACCTAGAAAGCGATCGTTGTTTTAAAAAGGTCAGCTCAATAACATCTATCTGCACTTCGTAACACACAAGTGATTTAAGTAGATAATCAAATTTGTTCATAACATGCTACATGCTAGTGTAGTAAATAACTACTATGACCAGTTTTAACATTGGAAATAATGTGATGATTTTAGAATAAAGTTCATAATACTCAGATCAAGAATCGAAATTGCAGATCTCTCTATGCATGCACTGATTGAGAATTGGACTTTTCTCCACATGCACTGAGAATTGGTCTTCTAGATCTCTGTACATGTAGTGCCTGGAAACCTGACATCTCTGTACATGCACTGACTGAGTACTGGACATCTCTGTACATGCACTGACTGAGAAATGGACGTCTGTGTACATGAATTGACTGGTCTGGACTTCTAGATCTCTGTTCATGTAGTGACTGGAAGCCTAACATCTGTTGAACTGTTGAACTTGATGGGGAAAAGCTCTAACGTGATGCAAAAGCAAACTTATAACGTTTCAACATTAGAAAAAATTGCTTGCATTCATGTGGTAATCAAATGAATGATTGCATTCCTCTAGCAAAGGCCGTTAACAACTGTAAAAAATATATACATACCCATTTGACTGAGACTGCAGTTCTGACGATAAGTCGTAAACGAACACCAACATTATGAATGTGACAAAAATCCAGACGATACCCATGAAGAAGCCCGGTGAGGTTCGAAAGTCAATATGCCAACCACCGATATAAAAGTCGAATTCCTTTAGAAAGAGGTTGAGCGCTGGACCAATAGCTGCCCCCAAAAGATTGCTTCCTTTCAAGATTGCAAAGTAGCGCGTTCGTTGCTCCTTGGTCGTAACTCGTGCCAGTTCGCCCCACATCGCGGATATGTATCCTTCTCCAAAGCCAGCTATCATTCGGCCAAACAGGGGAAAAGTGACGTTAAAGTGCATGGCATAGACAAAATTTCCCGTGATTTCCGCCAAATTCCACAAGAAACCGGTCAACCGAATTCTGCGTGTCGCATCGGCCAGCCGACCAACCAGAATAGTAGAGACAATCCCCACCATGTTATAAGCGGATAACACCAATCCAAGGTACCAATAGTCCACGTGAAATATCTTTAAGTACAACCAAACGGATGGAAATATCACCGCATATTCAACGCCCATAAAGAGCATACGGATGGAGAATGACGTCACGGTGAGATACCGCTTTTGGTCGAATGTCAGGCCTATTTCCATAATGCTTCGAGCGTGATATTTGTACGAAACACCGCAGTCGTTCATATGACCACAATTCGTTAATGTTAACAGTATGTGCAATACTAAAAATAAGGAGACGACATGTTAAGGACTACGGTAATATCATAATAATGACGTAAAAGCATACACAACAAGCTAAATCTTTTCTAGAACGCTTAATTCGATTGGTAAAGTTTACAATCAGGCCAAAGTTTTAACCGAAAATCTTGTTTTCCAAAGCATAATTATTCAGTGGACCCTGTGGCCTGGTGTCGATCAAGATCTTCGCACGGTTACGTTGATAAGGGCAAGGTTATGACTATAAAGGAACTGATTTACACTTAGGTTACAAGCGAGATGATCTCCATCCATGGCTTTCTATCACATATACCATTATCGTTCAAACAAGTGCAAATAACAGCATTTGTTTAGGAGTTCAAGGGCAAGGAGCGTAAATGACATTTTCCGGATAGCTCATAAGCAAATATAGCAATATTATAAAATATAGAAGATGGTGTTTGAAGGATGTTATTTTTTAGACCACTGAACTTAGAATATTAGTTAGGCCGCCTACATATACTCAAGCCAACCCTTACACGATGCAAAGTCGTACGTATAGCAAACATGTGCACCTTTGGAAATAGCACTTCGAGCTCAAACTCAAGCAAATTTGCATTTTTGATTGAATCAATAAGTAATTATTGTGCATATGATTTCATCCACTCACAAAGTCGGCACTCAAGGCTTCTAGCCTGTGTTCCAAACATCAAAATCATAAAACTAGTTATATCATTGTCTGGAACAAGCCAAGTGCATGCAGAGTACACAATACTTCGATAGAAATATCTTATTATTTCAGAGCTTACGTCTCTATCGTGAATAAAACAACAAGGAATCTGGGATTACAAAGCAATTTAATGTCAATTGCTGAATTTTCTTCTTTTCAAAATTTTCAGCTGATTAGTTGCAACGTATTCTACTAACTTCGCAGTGATACCAGAGGCATCTTTTAATATTCGTCATGAGTTACCATAGTATCATGAAAAATTAGTCTATTTACTTCCTTTCCACTGAAGATTGAAAACAACTTGTTGATACAACAAAAACGGTACAAGAGTAAACTGAGGCAGACATATCGTACCATTACAGGTTTTACACGTGCATCATTTATAATACATTGAAATTCTTTCAATTGAAGACATTTCACACGGTCGCTCGTTATGCACAAATATCCATATAAAAACAATTCACGTTGCTAATAAATAAAAAAGTTTGCTGAACGCCTGTAATCAAAATGAATGACGAAGAAAAACGAAGTCCATCTTCACCGATGCGCAAAAGGAAACAGAGAATTGATAAAAATACATAATCATATGAAGTAATTTCATTTGCGAATTACATCGTAATTTGCGTTGTGCTTGAACTTGCAATGAAGAACTAATTTCACGATTTACATTTTCAATTGCTAATATCAATTTTAGACCAGTTAGAGAAACAGATGGGCGAAGCTTTAGTGATGGACCAAAACTATTGACGACACAACTCACACCATGAGACCTCTCTGTACATTTATGAAATGGCTCAAAACTGCCTAAAGACGTCACTTCCAATTAGAATGAACATTATTTAACTGAGGCCCAGTTCAAACGTCGCATTTTACATGCGCCGAATCAAATGCGAGAATTATGTGCATGTAAAATGCGACGTTTGAATCAATTAAATTCGACCGATTTTAATTTAATGCGACTTTAGTCGCATATTCGACTCAGTTAGTCGAATATTCGACGGAAATTCGATGTTGATTCAAACGTCGCATTTTACATGAGCCGAATTTAATGCATAATTTATTTTAAGATATTTCTAAGCAAAAATCAATTATTTCCATGCTAAATGCCATGCGCAAAGTTGTAAAAACATGGCGGCGGCGAGTGATGGTAATGGCCCTTGTATTTCGTGCACAAGTTTAACAAAATACACTTGTTTAAAGTGCAAAAAATTTATATGTACAAGGAAAGTTTCCTCGAGATACACGAAATGTTTTTTTGAATCAGAATAAATACTCCAAACTTTCTTCCACCAGCCGGATTTTTTATCTTGTCTTCGACATGATCGATAAGGAGGGCTACGTATGAAGGCTTTTTTTTGACCAATTAACGGTAGAAAAACATGGGAAATTTGCAGAAGCTGCCGTCTCGTTTCTAATAGTTTATTTGCTGTAACATGCATCAATATTCGTCTTTTCCTATTAACACGAATCATATTTGAAATGCATAAACTCAACATTTTTCTGTTCGCCATTTTAGGAAATTAGTACAAGAAAATGAATAAACTATGAAAAAGTGGAAGCATAACTATAATAAATGCGACTATTAAATTCGACGTCTGAATCAAACTACGCATAAAACTATTTTAGTCGACTAAAACTCAGATTTGATTCGGCGCATGTAAAATGCGACGTTTGAACCGGGCCTGACATGCAGAGCTAAATAAAATTATTTATTGAACGGAATTTTATATTGGCTATATCATTAGCCATAAATTATTGTATAGTCAAAACTACTAATCAAAACAACATTCGCTCATTACTTATAATATTTGAAGCACGACACTTCACTTAGTTTTGAACGTATCTACACAAGCGGATGGAACTCTGAATGCCAAGTCATTATTTAGCAAAACACGGCAAGGTGATTTTATTTTCACCTTTGTATCGGCTTTTAATGTACTTTTTGATAGTTAAACTCAATTTAATGATGACAGTCTCATCTTCAGCTCCACTCCGCTTTAGTTGAATTCAAAAACTGTTCGGTAAATTTACACTAAGGGCAACGAACCGAATGGCGGCATCTCACATTCAACATAAGCGAAGTTTGTCTACATAATTTATCATAGATTACGATGATTTGTGGTCTTCCAACATACAAAAGATCGTTAATCTAATTTTAACGATAGCAACTGCGGTTCGGCCGGCAGGCAAACAAGCCTTCACTATATTTACTATCTTTAAATACGACGGCCATTTTGTTCGGTCCTTCACCATCTACCTTTCATGTATGGCTATCACTGTTATGACACTTGATTACGATTAAATACATAAAACAAGAAGGACGTTACATATGCACCTGTTCTGGCAAAACCAGAGCCTGCTTTGAATGAGTGGCTAATCGACAATGATCAAAAGACAGCTCTTTTCCTCTCTTATTGAGCAACGAAGCAAATACCAACGCACCAAAACAACAAGCGTCCTCCTCTACATGCTGTGCTTACTGTGGAATGTCATCGCTTAGAATAAGATGTTTTTTCAAATTAACTGTTCATCGATTTCTTTTCAAGGCAATTCGTGTAACTGACGTCCTTACCGACAAACGTATAAATCTCGAAAAACTCAAAACTATTGAAATAAACGCAATACCAAATCTGTCTTATGCAAATATACTTGCCAACTTCACAAATATCCTGCTCGAGCTAAGTAAATTTGTACATTAGTAATTCAAATGAAGACCTTATTGCATTCTTTGCATTTAATTGGTCACCCTTGGTAAATCTTGAGACGGGTTTTTACCTGATTGGTTGATTGATTGAATGCCGAACAGGAGGTTTTTTCCTCACTGAAAAACACTTGCGCATATAACAGGTGTCGAAATCGATGGTTTCTTCCAGGCCTGATGTATTGTACACGATTTTTTCCAGCACTCATTCCCAGCTTTCCCGAGTTCACGGTGAACGCCTCGTATCGACGAGGCAGATGTGATCCCGCAAAATGTAATTTTCAAAATCATCTCTCCACGAAACCGATAAAATCAAAATGTGTCATAATTTTTTAAACACCTTGACAATGGACATGTGTTTAAAAAAAACAAGACGTCTGCTCAACACGCCTGTATTCTAAAAAGCATACTCACACATTGAGTACGAGTCGTAAAATCGCACTCGCACACATCAACGGCGAACTTTTTTTCTCGTCGTTGCCGAGATTTATGCTGAAATATTTCAAATCAAGAAATCAACGGAGTAAAAAATGCCGTTTTGTAATAATTATGACACAATTTTCAATCCACTCGTTGAACGTGAGTGCCTATACAGGCGTGAGCGTTTCAGAATTCACATTAGAACCGCATATAATCAAGGCAAAACACAATATTTGTGTGTGCGGGGAATATTTACAGTGATCCAACGCGTCATAGTCTTATGATTGCGTTCTTTATCAAATTGCAAGGCTTCCCATAACAGCTTTGCGTCTTCGTCCAGTCATTTATGTTGAACATGGAGTTATTCATATAGAGAATGAATGACGGCTAAGAAGCATATTTCTCAAAATTTTTTGTTGCTTTAATTGTATTTTCTGTGCCAATATTATCAATTCGTAGACAAGCTGTACTTAGCTCTATTTGAGATTTTTATGATAAGAAATTAATTTCTAAAAAATATTTAAATAGCTTATAATAAAAATATTTAAATAGCCGTTTTACTAAATACTTAAATATTTAAATATATACAACTAGTCTTCTTTAGTACTCTCGATGAAATGTGGCAGGATTGTATAACTGTTCTATGAACAAAGTAGCTGTCTCGAATCATCTTTTGTGATACGTCAATCGAGACTTTTGCACCATTAATCGACCCCTTCCCGCCCCCATCATTCCTTTATGTCTTTATTTCTTGGACACGTGGCAGTTTTGGATGATTTCATCGAAGCAAGAGATGTTGAACTGTTTAGAGTATATTTCATCAAAGGTGACGTCACTAGTTATAAGCCATCTCATTTTCCCATCTATTGTGTGTATATAATGTCTCGTCAATATAGGTGAACCTGGATTTAAGTCGTGCACATAAAGATCTTTCAACTTGTATATAGAGGCTTGAGGGAATTTCATATCAAATGACCCAAAACTTGAAATGAAATAGCTGCTGGATTTCAGTACAGCAGTCTCACCACTAAACATGTCAGACAAATCAGCCGGATCTAGTATATTACTCAAAACCGCAAACTCTGTGACAAATTGTTGATCTTTTACGAACTGCCTGATTTGAGCGGTGCTTTCCTTTGCCATAGTCCAAAAATCTGATTTTCCCTTCCCCTCGTACTTCATGTAGCATGACATCAGATACACAAAAACACCATGATACTCCTCTGATGGTTTGGGATTGCAATAACGTTGGCTACTGACAGCAAACCATGACTCTAAATTAGAAAATTCTTCTTCTTTCTCACCGATCATTTTATAAAATGCACGGTGAACAGCTGCAGTAATGGCTCCCGTTACTGTACAACCATTCAAGCGACAGGCATCAACAATAGCTCGCGTTTCCTCTACGTTAAATGTTTTCACATGCACTCGTTCTAGAAATTCAAGGGAAGTTTCTGTATGCTTTATTGGTGGATGCTGCGCGTAAAACGGGTTGACTTTCTTCTTTGCAAGCATATAAGAAATGAGTTTTTTCATCAGAAAATTCAAGATCAGTCGTAATCCTGGAAACGAGAGGACGATGTGAAACAGAGCAAACCAGACTCTACTACGAGTGACGAGGTCGTGTGTTGAAGGCAAAAGCTCCAGACTTTCGACTTCCTTCTCCACATCGAAGATTCCACTAGCAATCTCGTTCATGTTGTTCAAAAAATCCTTACAAAACTTTATACAGGAAATGCCGTCGTAACAAGCATGTTTGAAAGCAAACAACAATATATTTACGTACTCTCCCGATGTTACGTCAAATTCCTCCTGTAATATGACAAGACGCCAACACAAAGAGTTCTCGCGTATTTTCGACGTGTACTCGTATATCACACGTTTCCAATCACAAATTTTTACATTTGAAGTTTGAATATCGAACATTTCAATGGCTTCTTCAGTTTCCTTGATTGCAAAATATTGTTCGCCATTAGGCAGTGTTGATATCACCGCTCGAAGCATTGGCTGACGTTTTACCAAAAGCACCAAAGCATCGTGAACATGTTGCGTTTCTAGACGATGCTTCGACGCAAGTGTTACATTAACGGATAAATTTCCTTTGCCATCGTGTGTGGAAGCGCTAAGTTCAAGGAACCTTTCAAAATAATCGAGTCTTCTTCCACATTTGATCGTGACAGGGTGGTTAGTGAAGGATTTTAATAATCCTATAGTAAGAAATAAACATACGACAAGCAGGAACGTTTGTAAGGTCCAGCTTAACTCCAACAAGTAGAACATATTTATGTCAAAGGTAACATCAATTAACAGACGTTTCGTTGTCAAATACAGCAGAGTTCAAACCGAATGTAATAACACGTGTCTAAGTGTCTTGCTTCGTTATACGAGTACTTGTCTGCCATGTTCTTTTGACTGAACACAAAACATGGGAAGTCAACTTGAAAGTCGTATCCGGCAGAGCCCTCTATCATGTTGTTTGAAGCACTTCCGTCGATTAGAATACGCTTATTGAGACGTAGTCGTAGAGTTGCGCTAGAGTGTATTTACATCAGTCTCAGCTAGTTGCTATATGCATTGCAAATGATTAATAAAATATTTACAACGTCATATTCTATTTCTGCTTCAACAAAGGCATTGCTCGTAAAACAGAAATAAAAAACATACCAATGGCAAGGCATACAAATCTTTCTTTTTAAATACACTTATCACTCTTGATAGCTATGACTTTTATTCATCATCACTTCTGTTGACTTGTGGAAGACACGTGTTCAGACCTATAGAGTTTTGCGGTTTTATCAGAATGATACTTTGCAGTCTTGCAAACTATATCAGAAAATAACTCGTTTTATATTAGCTATTCATGACAGCTTCGTTTTCCTATTATTTGAGTATGTGGTTTAAGTAAAGCTGAAAAATTATATCGGATACATATTTTCTTCTTCTTCTTCGACTCGAGAAGTGTTCTTAAGATAAAAAAAAAGAACAAACGAAAGATCCAGCTATTTTTCAAAAGATTCATATACCTCAATTACTTTGTATTGCTTTAATTGCATTTTCTGTGCCAATATTAGCAATTCGTAGGCAAGCTCTACTTAGCTTATTTGAGAATTTTATAATAAAAAATTCATTTGCAAAAATATATTCAAACAGCTTTATTCAATTTGTCCTTTTTAGTACCCTCAATGAAATGTGGCAGGATTGTACAACTGTTCTATGAAGAAAGGAATCTACATGAGTCATCTTTTATCATACGTCAAATGAGACATACGCAATATTAAATGACCTCCCGCCCCATCATTCCTCTACGTCTTTATTTCTTGGAAAAATGGCAGTTTGGGATGATTTCATCGAAGAAAGAGATTTTGAACTGTTTAGAGTATGTTTCATCAAAGGTGACGTCACTAGTTATAAGCCATCTCATTCTCCCATCTACTGTGTTTATATAATGTCTTGTTAATTTAGGTGCACTTTGGCCGTTTACATAAAAATCTTTCAACTTGTATGTAGAGGCTTGAGGGATTCCATATCAAATGACCCAAAACTCAAAATGAAAAAGCTGCTGGATTTTAATACATCAGTCTTATGGCTGCAGATGTCAGACAAATCAGCCGAATCTAGTATATTACTCAAAACCGCAAACTCTGGGACAAATTGCTGATCTTAATAAAGTAAATGATTTAAGCCCGGGAGTATCGTTACATGTTTGTAGATGTAGATCGTCCAGGTTAGTATAGTCCTGATAAGGACTGTTTTTGTTGTTGTTGACTGACGTTTCGACAACCTTAGCGGTAGTCATCTTCAAAGTCAAATGAGGAGTTAACGTCAGGTTAGCCGTATTTGTTATTTGGTTCTTACGTCCTTGCAGCGGTGGTTGAACCAGAGTTGTCGGCGTATGCATCTGACGTTGCTTGCAAAACGTGTGTAGTCATTTGCAATTTGTTCGCTCTGTCGTCCAAATGATCATAATAAAGTAAATGGTTTGAACCATTTATTTTATTTAGGAACTGAATGCCATGCTTCAACACAGGCATTCAGCTCCTAAAACAAAAAACGTATCAATGGCATGACTACAGATCATTCTTTTTAATGCACTTATTTATATCACTCTTGTAACTTTGACTTTTATTCATCATCACTTCTGTCGACTGTCGAAAGACACGTGTTCAGACCTATAGAGTTTCGTGGTTACATTAGAATGATGCTTTGCATTCTTGCAAACTAAATCAGAAAAGAACTCGTTTTATATTAGCTACTTAACAGCTTCATTTTCCTTGTATTTGAGTACAACAAGTAGGGTGAGAAAAGTGGCGAGGTCCACGAATGGTTTGCAAGTTAAACACAATAAAGCAAAAAAGATGACTGGAATACACATTTTTCTTCCTCTTAAAACGAAAAAGAGAACAAACAAAAAAGAACTTTATTTTTCAATACTTCTAACCCTCTAGATATCTTTGACTTCTATGTATTATTTATATGTTTATAATCATACTACCTAAAATTTGACGGAGTAATCTTCGCTTGCCAAAGGTAAAGAAAAATTGTAGTACCCTAAGAGTTATATTGAGTTCAATGGTGAACTGAGATTTTCTACAATCAACTGAAATCATCTCTTCCTCAGTTCTTCCCCATTTTCTTCCCTTTTAGTAATTTTTGTAAGTTGCAGTTTTCGACAAGTTCATTAACGCAAGACATAACAAACTGTTTAGAATATTTTTCATCAAAGGTGACGTCACTGGTTGTAAACCATGTCATTTTCCCATTTATTGTATATACGTAATGCCTCGTCAATATAGGCGAACCTTGGCTTAGATCGTGAACATAAATATCTTTTAACTTGTAGGTAGAAATTTGAGGACTTTCTAGATCAAAAGAGCCAAAACTTGACATTTGATAACTGCTGGATTTCAATACAGCAGTCTCGTGGGAGATGATGTCAGCATATCAATCTGGATTGAATATATTAATGAGAACCGTAAACTATGTGACAAATCGCTTAGCTTTTACTAACCGCTTAATTTAAGCCGTGCTTTTGTTTGCCCATGTCCAAAAGTTCAATTTGGCCTTTTAGAACAACTTCATGTAGTTGAACCATAAATACACAAAACACCATGATAATCTCCAGATGGTTTGGGATTACAATAGCGTTGGCTATTGACAACAAACCGAGACTGTATGTTGGAGAATTCCTTTTCTTTTTCACTTATCATTTCATAGAATACACGGTGCACTGCTGCAGTAATGGCCATTTCTTAAATTGCTGAATGACAGAAAGTCCTCTTTGATAAAGATGTTGCTCTTCCCCCGATTTTGTAATTAAATGTACATATTTTCAAAATGTACGTATTAACAAAAGATAAAGCAAGGAGCAGGGTAAAATAACCTCAAAGAATGTTTGTAATGGGATCTTTGCTAAACGTTAAGAGGAATCATAGAGGAGAAACGGAAGTATCTTTTAGCGTGTTCATGCCATTATCTATTTCCTATGGAAAAGAGCGATGGGAATTTGATGTCTTGCAAAGAGCGAAGGTGACGTCACTAGTTATAAGCCATGTCATTCTCCCATTTATTGTATATACGTAATGCCTCGTCAATATAGGCGAACCTTGGCTTAGATCGTGAACATAAATATCTTTCAACTTGTAGGTAGAAATTTGAGGAATTTCTAGATCAAAAGAGCCAAAACTTGACATTTGATAACTGCTGGATGTCAATACAGCAGTCTCGTGCTTAATTTGAACCGTGCTTTCGTTTGCCATTGTCCAAAAGTTCAAATTGGCTTTTTTAGAAAACCTTCAGATGGTTTGGGATTACAATAGCGTTGGCTATTGACAGCAAACCACGACTGTATGTTTGAAAATTCTTCTTCTTTTTCACCTATCATTTTATAGAATGCACGGTGCACTGCTGCAGTAATGGCTCCCGTTACTGTATAACCATTAGCAGGACATGCTTTAACAATTGCTTGCGTTTCCTCTACGTCAAATGTTTTTACATTTAATCGTTCTAAAGATTCAAGGGGAATTTCTGTGTGCCCTACTGGAGGATGCAGCGCGTAGAATGGGTTGATTTTCTTCTTTTCAAACGTATGTGAAATGAGTTTTTTTATCATAAAATTCAAGATTAGTCGTGATCCTGGAAGCGACAACACGAGTTGAAACAGAGCAATCCAGACTATACCACGAGTGACGAGCTCATGTGATGGAGGCAAAAGCTCCAGACTTTTGACTTCCATTTTCACATCGACGATTCCACTGGCAATCTCGTTCATGTTGTTCAAAAAATCCATACAGAACTTTATACAGGAAATGCCGTCCTAACAAGCATGTTTGAAAGCAAACATCAACATATTTACGTACTCTCCCGATGTCTCGTCGAATTCTTCCTGTAAGATCACAAGACGCCAAGACAAAGAGTTCTCGCGTATTTTCGATGTGTACTCGTATGTCACACGTTTCCAATCACAAATTTTTACATCTGAAGTTAGAATGTCAAACATTGTAATGGCTTCTTCGGTTTCCTTGATTGCAAAATATTGTTCGCCATTAGGCAGTGTTGATATCACCGCTCGAAGCATTGGCTGACGTTTTACCAAAAGCACCAAAGCATCGTGAACATGTTGCATTTCTAGACGATGCTTCGACGCAAGTGTTACAACAACGGATAAATTTCCATTGCCATCGTGCGTGGATGCGCTAAGTTCAAGGAACCTTTCATAATAATCGAGTCTTCTTCCATTTTTTATCACAACGGGACGCTTAATAAGCGATTTAAAAAATCCTAAAGTAAGTACTAAACATACGACAAGCAGGAACGTTTGTAATTTGTAGAGCAGGTCTATTTGCATCGCAGTGCATAAAACATTCTTTCATATGACATTCCTTTCACGAGAAAACATCAGCCCAACAAATTGACCTGCTCTCCACTGTGTGACTTCATAGCTCAGTTGGTTAGAGCACTGTAACGGCATCGCAGAGGTCATGGGTTCGAATCCCGTTGAGTCACCTGAATTTTGCAGGGTCATGAGACAGTTGCTTAACTTGTCCAGCAAAGGGCGAAGATCATATCTTCATTAAAATTCAAACACCGCACTCCATAAAACATTCTTTCAACAAATAATGCACATATGATTCCAAGGCAACCATGTTATTGTTATTATTTATTTACTGGCATATAGGCATGTACTGATTATCCTTCAATATATTCATTAGGGACGTTCAAACTTAACATCCCTCATCAAGATCAAAACAGTATGCATTGTTTCCATATTTTATTCTTGTTGTGTAGAAATTGCGCCAGCTTGCTTCTTCATTCCACGGATGGAATCATTTTTAGTTGTGCTTAATGAAAAAGGTTAATGTAGCGTGATGCCTTCGGCAAGTCCTTTGATACCACATTAGTATTTCCGGAGCATGTTTACGAAGTCAAAGTCCTCTGCTCGACTGTTACATCGTCATTCTTGACTTGCAACATTCTCTTGAGATTTGCAAACAATGTTGCTCGCCCACGCCGGCTGGTGCCAACAATAACTCTAATAAAATATTCTTTTGACCACCAACATGACTGAATTGTAAGTCAAGAATTCTTTAGACATGAGTAAATTTATCATTATTACTAATCATTATTACAAGCTTTAATTCATTTTTTCTTTGCAATTAATGTAGTTGAGTGGTAACAGAAATCGTCTTTTCCTCACGTCGGGAACTTTCTTGTCACTAACTTGGGAAAACCAGTGATGACCTTTAATGATTTCAACAATAATTAAACATTAAACTACACTAAGTAATTTCCAACACAGGCCCACTGAACCAGTTCAAAAATAGGATTCCAATTAAATGCTTTCATAAATTTCTTTATGCCGTCGCTGACCATAAACAATTTACGCTTTGAACACCATCAGTGGTTGTTAACTAAATAAGAAACTTGTTCTTTCAATATTTCTTAACAGCTTCGTTTTCCCCTTATTTAAATATGGGGATATCATGTGAGAGAGAAGAAGACGTTCATGTTAAAATGAGTTACAAGAGCTAAAAGGTCATGCCGAATAAGCCATATATTCATCATCTTCTCCATCTGAAGCTCTATTCCTAACATGGAAAAAACGCGTGACTTCAATACAGATGCACGTTTACTTTTAAATGCACTTCTCTCTCTTGCCAACTTTGATTCTGATTGTTGTCCTATACAAATTTGCTATGAGTTGTATTTGTCAAATTGAATCAGTAATTTGATGCAGCAATTGTTTGCAAAATGAATTGATTGTAAAATAATTACATTGCTTTTGTTTTTGTCCAAAAATATCAATTCATTATCGATTATTGCTCGAACACGACCGTGCAATGTCACAGAAAACACTATCAAGTAAAGGTTGTTCTCAAATTGATCACTGCAGCTAGTATTGGTATATTTCGGACATTGGACATACCACAACAAAAATTTTCCACGCCGAACACTACCAATAGTGATGTGGCTTGACCATTTGACATTGATTTTAACAGAGGAGAGAGAGGATGCAGCATCTGTGGTTTTATTGATTGTAGCAACACGTGAGCATAGTCCGTTCATATTATAAAATTTACATTTTTTGTCAAAGTTGGTAATTTAGTTTCTTACATTACATTTAGATTTAAAACAGAAAGAATGCAAATTTTAAGCATCAAAAGAATAATACTCACTTATCTTTCAAATGAATATAGTCGACTTCATGGGGAAAAGATCAAAGAGAAAAGTCTTGCACAGCTAGCTATCTCTACGACGTGTCATCAAAAAAAGAAATATAATAAAGCAAATTCACAACAGTTTTTGTGCTTATAATTATAAACGTGCTGAGAAAATTACAGTAAAGAAACATAAATAATGATCTAAGTAGCCCAGGATATATGAAGTGCAGAGTACAATTGATCAATGGTAAATAAGTATAAACTGTGCTTTACTTTGTAATTTAATGTTAAATGCTTTTGAGATTGTTCAAGGGGCGTCGCTAGGTTTTTCGAGAAACGTTTGGGGCATTCCCTCGTCAAATTACTTATTTACGAGTTCTTAAAAACGCCACTTCTCACAATTTCCAGTTTATACGTTGGCAATTTAAGTTGAGGAGAGCGAATATTATTTACAAGGGCAACTTTCCGGAGTTAGCTAATCTAAATATGCCAACAATGGAATCCAACTTAATCTTATCTGCAACGTCTTTTTCTATGTCGATGTGAAAATTAGTCAAGATGTTCATCCCATGATATTCGCTTAACTTTATAGGGAAATATTTAGCAAACATTTACAGTAGCGTAACCAGTCTGCAAGTTTTGGTCGTGCTATGTAAATTTAGGAAAATCAAATATTATTCATTTATTTAGAAACAAATTGTTTTTCTACTGATTAAAGACAAAAATATTAATATAGCAGACAAATTTTGCAACCTGGCTACCTCACTGACTATTTTTACAGCTTTTTGAAATTGGAATCATTGTAAACTCCCCGTTATGCAGAAATGTGAAATAGTATTGTGAATAAATAGGAAAACACGTCCCCCATTTCCCTCTCTAGCTATATCATTGAATTGCTATGTTGTTTATTTAATGTTATAAGATACTCGGGATAGCACTGGTTATCTTGGAAAATGACGAATATTGTTGGGTTTCTCTGATTATCCACTACAGAATCATAAACTAGACCTGGATTACTTGGATCATTTCTCGATGGCGGTGCCTTTAGTCCTCTCTGACCCAATGTGTAACTTCCAACAAGAACTTTGGCGATGAACATCTTTGCTCGTGATTCAGGACACTGATCAAGGGAGTACCTGAGAGAATATGATGCATTTCTTGCAAAATACACTCCTTTTCCATACGATACTCCTGTAAATAGAACCCATGTGTTAGGATTAGGGGCAAATCGTATTGTGGTGGAAACCAAAGAATCTGAATAAATATCTACTAGCGTGTTATCTAGTTTGAACTTAGTAACATATACTTATAGAAAAGACTGAAAAAGTTTCTCAGAAAAATATGCTAAAGTACTTTTATACGTCTATCTTGAAAATTATAAAAAGGATCTATCGTCACAGAAACTTTGAAAAAATTCGCATTGTGAAACTGGAGCCATCTCAACTCTCACCATTTAATCCAGCAAAGCTACGGCTGAAGTTATTTGTGTATATTGATAGAACATTGTTTGGATTAGTGCCGTGAAAAAGACGCATTTCATTTACAGCACCATGCATGTTCTTCTTAAAGGCCTGGTACAGACAATAAAGACCGGGGTTCTGTATCCTTTCAATCATGTCGATTTGATCAGCTCTTCCTCCATGAGCTACGAAATAATTTTTTATCTCCAAGTATTCAGGAGAGGATTGTACTACTCTGGCAAGATGAACAACTTGATTTGGTGTACATGGCGGTGACCAATTTGATGGAAGTGAAACATCTACACCAAATATTTATGATAATATCAAGCTTAGTTATAAAGAAAACACTGCTTTAGTAATGAATCTTCGAAGACATAACATGTTTTTAATTTATCAATAAAAACACCTTTCCTTCATTCCTCTTCTGCCATTTAAAATTAATGAAAAAACCATTTAAAACTGTCCGAAAAAAATCGTCTAAAAGGAAACAAGAATCAAAGATAACCATTGTATCAGAGGCGTAACTAGAACGTTAATTGGGAGTTGTTATACTGATTTCTTTTGACATTCAATTCATTTTCAAGAGAAATCATTAGGGCACAAAGGCATATATGAATATGCAGCCCCCAATTAACGTTCTAGTTACGCCTCTGCATCGAGATAATGTTTTCTTACCTGTACCCATAATTCTAAAATTCTGCTTTAAAACATCATAAATCGTAAAAAGCATTTAAAAATACAATATAATACACTATACAAACCCGCGATCATCTTCCTCAACAATGTCTTTTTTTCACCCGTTCTTCTATTGATAGCTTTCATTTGTGCGAAATCGACATTGAAGACTTGTCCATCTGATTCTGTAAACTCTGTAGTTTGTTCACCATTCATGTGAGCAATCTCGAGTATACTGCTCAACTCTTTATTGTAAAGGATAACATTATCATGTACATCATGGTAACTCCATTGAAAATTTTCAGACAGGTATTTCAGTTGTTTAAGTCTTTTCTCCTCTTCAGTAAACTTGTTAATGAGCTCTTTGAGTACTGTGCTTGATTCGTCAACGTTGCTGCGCAAACCAGTCATGCGAATCGTCTGTTCATCCTCACATTCCATTCTCAAGCGAGCATCAATTGCAATCCTTTTTATTTCATTTCTATATTTTTGGACAACATCGTAAAGATTTCTATCCTTCACTTTCTTTGTTGTAATATTGTAATTGATAAACTCGTCGAGTTTTTGTAAAGCAGATGAGATTTCCTCATGCGAAAGGCCAAAAACCCGAATCGTTATAGACTCCTTGCCAAAGCCAAACACAAAAGGTACAAAGTCTCCCTTGCCGTTGGTTGAAATAGCGTCTAAATATTGAGAAAATTATGAAAAACTTCAAAATATAAAAGAACTATCTTTTTAAGTTTTTATAAACTTTACAACCTAAATTCAACATACGGCTTAAGTTCGTTTGTCGTGTCCTCATCGTGTTTTTTTGTCGTGGATCATACATCACCAACTTGATTTCTTTCATTGAGCTTTGTAGGAACGTAGAACTGAATTTTTTGAACTCTTCTTTCATGATACGCAAAACAACATTTTTGGGAAAATTGTGTTTGCCAGTTCCCAAAAAAGGCATCGCCAAGGATTTGGCATTAAGACGATTGCATTCCTGAAGAATTTTTGACAAAAGTCCACGTAACATCTAAGAAAAAAAAATATGAATATTTTTATAGAAAAACTGCCGTTTCTCAGATTTTCAATAGATGTGTCCTAATCTGCTTGTGTTCGATGTTTTGCTGAAAACCAAGATTGTATATAACTGCTTAAAAAAATTTAAATTCTTACTTCTTCAGAGTTTCCTCCAATTATCCAATCACATAAAACGGCATGAATGACATAGTTGCATGAAAGATTTCCCCCTTTTGTGATAGCTATATCGCCTTCTTTCAAACGAGATTGTTGACGACACTCAGCGATATACGAAGGTCCTGCAATATCACTTAATACACGACCTAGCTCTGTTTGCTGGCTCAGATTTGGGAGGGCTGAGTTGACTAAAATATCAGCCTATGAGAAAAGTATTCAAAGATGTAAGTGTGCAAATCATTCAATGTTTTAAAGAATGTTCTTAAGTTGATTCAATTAAATAACGTTTTTATTGCATTCACATGCACTCCAATTAAATATGGTCTAATTTATTTGCATGCATTTGAAGTTTTATGAATTATTTGATTGCAAGACAATTATAGATAATTTAAAATAATTCCATAACTAATATTTTCCACCAAAGCATTTTGAATAAAGTCTTTCAAGAAGCTTCATTATTTAAAAATTTATTTAAAAAAATTGAGTAAGTGTTCAATATTTGCAAACAATTCGTAGCTAGTCTGCAAATTTGTGCACATTTTTTCTGTTCAAATCTAGTGTAGTCTGTGTTGTAAAAAAATGAAGAGTGATAAGGCTCTGGATATTTACAAATTGTGCTCTTGTTTATTTAGCACATGCAATTAAAGTATTAGCTACGACACAAAATTAGCTTAAAAACATTCACCGGCTGTCCCGTGGCTACCTCACAATTTTTCTGAATCTGCATAGTATGAAATATGAACATATTAAACTCACACATTCTTTGACCAGGTTACCATATTTCCACGAAACGTTTAGACCTTCTTTCGTCGTAAAGTTGCATTCATCATAAGGTTCTACATTATTTCTTGGAACAATACCACGTTCCTGGTTCTCTTGGTAGCTATCCATTATCTCAATTTTGGCATTTGTTTCTACCTCAATACCTTTCAAGTATCTCAGACCATGATCATTAAAGAATAAATCAAGAGCTCCGACGAAAGAGAACGATTTTGTTTTAGTCTTTATTTTATTCTTTAACTTCATTACTCGTGCCTTTGCCTCTTCAATTCCATGTTTTGTGCCAGTGTATTTTAGGGATCCTGAATGGATTTCAATATTAACATGCTCATCTTTAAGTGAATCTTCAATATTCTCAAATTCCTTCTTTAGTTTTTCTTTCAAAAAACGAGCTATCTCGCCATCAACATCAACAGAATGAACTATAACTTGGAATCTTTCAAAAAAACTTCTAATATCATTGCTATATTTCTCAACAAGAGGTGCAGCGCCATAAAGAAAGATGCAACCTTTTACAGAGCCAGGATTTGTATAATAATCGATTGTGTCTTCCGATTTAATTGCCTCGAGTATTTCAAACCATCTCGAATTCCAAATGTGCTTGTCGTCTAGTGGCAATGATATCTCTTTCTTCAGAATGTTATTTCCTAAACATTTTATCACTGCGTCAAAATCTCCTGATTGCACTACCACCTTTACAATAGATTCAGACTCCACAAATAGCACGGCCAGTATGTTTTCTTGAGATAAACAACTTTCAAAAAATTTCAATCCTGCTTTTTTCGTCAAAAATGTAATCATTTCTTGACAAAGAGTAAGACAAGTCACCCTAATCGTTTTGACAAATTTGTTGTACTGTTGTTCAGCATTTATAACATCCTCTTTAGACCCTATGAAACTAATTTTCTGATTGTTTTCCGTCAAAGAAACGCTGCCCAACCGAGGGTATATATTCTTTATTTCTTTCAGGAAGTTACTGCGTTGAATATAGTCAAGATGGTCTTTCTTAACAGACACAGACATTTCACATTCTTTCACAGTTTTGCTTTCTTCCTACAGCGAAGAAACAAGCATTTTATAAAATATCTATTTGGTTAAAATAGCCCAAAATTGGCACTCATTTTTCTTTACAAACATTGGCTGACAATCTAATAGACTAAGTAGGCTGAAGCCTACTGGCCCAGGTTTTTGAGAGGCCCGTGGTGTTTAGACATATGTAGTTTTTACTTTTTGCCATACCGGAAAAGTTAAATGTTTTTTACTAAGACCATTTTATGCTGCTCGAGAATGCACTTTTATATCTTTTTTTTTGCCTCTTGATATGTATGTATCTATTTGCATTGACAGTAAATTGAAGGCTACTTTCGAGCAGATTACTTTCGAGCAGGTGCAACCATCGACCTTTGGTCTCGGGCTTGCACTGATCTGCTCTTGTGTTCTCTCAAAGGTCTCCTCGGTTTGCATAAGCCTGTTCAAACACAGTAAACATCTTTTATTTCTTAAATGATAACTTAGTCTTCAGTTTTAACATTATCAATTTACTATCAATATCAGAAAGTTTATTCCTTTAGTTCAGACTCAAGTTGTTTGCGTATCACTGCCGAAATTTCATCCTTTATAATTGAAATGTTGGCACGTTTTCACTTACTTTGCTTAGCGAATGATTTCTGTCATCACTATCAAACTTCTTCCGAGGAGATTCATTTTGAAGTGGTGGAGTATGTAAAGAAATGTCTGTAACGGAAGGAGGTTGGTTCAATGACCATTTTGTTTGCTCAACTTTAGAATTTTTCACTGTTTTGTTGTATGGAGCTTTTGTTGGCTCTAAAATATAACCTGCTGATTCACGTAGATGCGCTGAGCTATACGCCTGTGGCTTAGGTGGAAGACGTGGAGGATTTTCTGGAACGTCATCAGAAGTGCTAACCTAGGAGAAGTGAACAAGATACCTCAACTTTAAACAAATTTTGACTTGTCAGCAGCCAATACTTTTCGTCCTGCTATAAACACTATCCACGAAAGTACTGCAATATTCACGACGTTACACAATGTGAAGTAAAAATAAGAAACATTGAGATCTTACACTAAAATTATTTGTATTTTTGCAATAAAATGCATGCATATCAACTTACATAGTTTGCATAAAATGTGAAACAGGTAAATAATGTAAAGGGAGACTCAGAGAGTGATGGCAGCTTCCAGAAAAGTTTTGATAAATAGAATAAAAAAGTCATCGAACAGAGCATAAGAAGCATTAGGTTATTTATAAAATAAGGTAAATATGCTCATTAGCAATCGTCAGAAAGCTTATTCCGGGAAAGATGAAATGAATGTTTACTGCTAAAGCTAAAACGTATTGCTTGCATACTTACTTTACGTGTATTGTTCCTCAAGAAAGTCCTAACATCATCGTCACTATTCAAACGGAGCTCACTGTTTGCTCTCTGCACTGAAGATGGCAAAGTCGTTTTCTAATTTTGTGATGAAAAATACTGGAGAGGAAATTCGAGTTTTTGCAAATTTAACAACATCTCGTCTAAGCTTTACGAAAACTTTTTTAACTTAGGGCAACGAGTTTGTAAGTTTTTTCGTGATTTTAAGTCACTGAGAGTGAAGTGCAATACTGAGATCCTTATTCTTAATTTCTGCACGGTATTCATGCAATAATATTTACTGGGGTGTGCATCTGCAAAACATTTGAAAACAGGCCAATGTCATTCATTGGACGCAGAAACGGAAGACTGTTTTCTAAAACGTTTAGATGAATTGAGGGCAAATGTATTCGTTGAATAGAATAAGTGAAATATGTTTATTGTCAATCAATAAGGAGCTTATTTCCATGAAATAAATGTTTACTGCTGAAACTAAAGTATACTACTGCATTCTTACTTTACGCGGATTGTTCCTCAAGAAAGTCCTGACATCATCATCATTACTTAAACAGAGTTCACTGCTTGCCTTCTGCACTGGATGCCGCACATTGGTCTTTGGTCTTAGTGATGGAAAACGAGACAAAAAAGATCTGTCGGCAACATGTAAAGAGAAAAGCATGATTGTTATTTGTCATTCAAATTGATTGATCCATTTCTTAAATTGTTGAATGACGGAAAGTCCAAATTAATAAAGACGTTGCCTCCCCCCTTATTGTAATTAAAAATATTTATTTTTCAAAAGATAAAGCTAAGAACAGGGTAAAATAACGTCAAAGAATATTTGTTATGGGATCTTGGTTAAACTTTTTTTAGCAATCATAACATCATCCATTTGATACGGAAGAGAGAGATGGGAATTTGATATTTTGTCGTGGTAACACTTATCATTTTTAACGGATCAAATTACCAACTGATGAACTTCGAGAAAGTCCCCAATGTTGATCAAAGTCATATATAACACTCAAGTTCGACATGCCTTAGGAGCATTAAGTGAATTTTTTGTTTTGCTTTTATGCAAGTACATGCAGTTAAATGAACACATTCAATGATGAAGATTAAAATAGAAGCTATATGTTATATGTTGTTAACATTCATTTCTGAAGGATGATTGTCCAGAAAAGTATTGGAAAAAACACGTGTTGTCCTCATAAATGTTGCCCTCCATCAAGTTGGTTAAATTAAGTAAGAGCAGACGAACCAGAAACGTGCGTATCAATAAAAACTGGTTTTGATGGAGTTTTGTAAATGAAGACCATTGAAATTAAATCTCAAATGGTCGACTAATAATGACAGATGCTACTTCCTGATTTAGTATGGAGGCCATGCATGCATAAGTTGACAATCAATTAAAATATAGCACACCTCTTTTTCCTCCTTTCCATCTGAGCTGAGAATTGATCTTAATCAGAAGGATGAAATGCGTGATTGGAAATGATGTACTCCACCAGGAAAATGTCAGTTAGATGAACTTGAAATGTTTTGAAAAATTTACAGTTAACTATATATCATTGATGTAAATAATCCTAAAGTGGAAGTAATCAAATGAAGTATCGAATAATCGTTTTTTAATAAAAGTTCCATATTTTTCACAATAAACCTAATATCGTAGTGAGCCCGTTTAGACAAAAACTTTAATCCACTTTTAACGGAATAAAACAGAATTAGATTTTAATTGTCGTTCATCGATTGCCTTTTAAACAACGAAAAGTTCTGTATGACAACAAAGCCGGAGGGAATTCAACAAAGTGAAACTTAAAATAAAACGTTTGATAAATAGACTTAGCTTTTCAGGTGCCCCGCTTGATATTAGAGATATCTTCTTATAAACATTTTAAGTTATTGACAAAAAGCCTACATTTACTACAACGACAGAAACGAAAGAAGAATCTAAAATGATATAAAGTGTAAGATTTGTCATATACGCATCAGACCGTTAAATGGTGATAAAATTTTGTAATGTGTTTTGGTATTTTCAGACAGCAGGCTGGATTTTTCAAACTTGATTTGATAACATGACAAAAATAATATACAGTTTAACTAACCTGGACGAATTGAAAATTTCTGTAATGAGCTTTGAACTTAAAATAAACTTTCGCCTCAAATCCACTTTCTCGTCAAACCCACTTTCACTTTGTCATGGTTTTAAGAAAATGATGTTTCAAAAATCTAAAAGACCTTTCTCCAGTTCAATTAATATTCATGCCAACAACAATGCAGTTTTGTAAAATTGAAATGAAAAGTGAAACAGAGAAATTCGATGTCATATTCCGTGTTCTTTTTGTATACTGATACAGCTACTTCACAGCTGTTGACCATTCTTTCCAACGTGTGATTACGCTGTTATAAAAACGAGACAAAAACAATTAAAAAAGTTTGACAATTGTGCCCAATTTAAGTTGTCAAAAGTGAAACTCAAGACATCATTATTACTATAACAATTAAGACACCTTGACATTTAAATATAGTTTCTATCAATTTACTGAGAATACTCAAATAAAAAAGTCTTTGTTTAAAACTCGGAAATAATGTAATTAGAATCTTTAATATTATTACTTAGCTAATACATTCATCAACTGCTTGACAAAGAAGCATTCATCTGCCTCAATTTCAAAATTTTTTGGTAGTTTAACTTTTCTTTATTCCAACAATTTTGTTGTGCTTCAAACGTGATATGGTAATCAGCAATTCATTTAATTTACGCCGATAAATGTATCTTCTTTCAAATAATGTTCTTATACGACGTGAACCAATAAAAGCGTAAAATACCTTTATGTCGTCGAAGATTATGCAGCCTCTGGTTAAGTTTACTTGAGATAATTTGAACATGCTCCGACCATATTAAGTTGGATGACAATTCTTAGATATTTCGAACTTTTCACAAGGTAAACATCCTTGTAATAACTATCTAGAGAGATACATTTTATATTTGATTCTTCAAAGCGGAGGATGAATCTAAAGGGTAGGTCAAAAAACATTAAAGGCGACTTATCGTACATCAATAACACAATTTATAAGTAGTTTTTAAAGAACATTTAAGACTAAAATATTACCAATAGGATGTACTGTAGGGAGTTTTGAATTTGAAATATATTTACAGCAATGTTTTCTTATCTACCCTGCATCTACTAATGGTTCAAAAGTAGTTCATTTTCATTAAGCCAGTTTGCCAAAATGAAATATATTCTTTTAACTTATGTGCATTGGATCTAGACCAGTGCATCAGGCATTGAATTTTGTGGTTAAATCAGAATGAGGCTTTGCATTCTTGCGAACTAAATCAGGAATTAACTCGTTTTATATTAGATACTTATAAACTTCGCCTTTGCCATTCTTTGAGTATGTACGTGCATGCATGGGCACATCAAGTACGGTGAAAAAGATGGTGAAGTCCATGAATGGTAATTGTTAAACAAAATAAAGCTAAAAAGTTCTATCGAATAAACGTTTTTCTTCTTCTTCAACTCAACAGCTGTTCTTAAAACGAAAAAGAACAAACAAAAGAGCTTTCCATAATTTCTTAAAAGCAATATATATATCAGGCATTTCAAGTAAACGACAATTTTTTTCAAAGTAAACATGTTTCATGCTTATGCCATCTTCAGTACAAGGAATTATTATGATATCTATTTACAGTTATATTTATATTATTTAAGTGAGAGTGTATCGAATTACTAGATGATGGAATTATTTACAAGTAAAATATCGTGCTGATGTGATGTATTTGTTTATTGAGGTTTGGTTTGAGTTTTTTTTATGTAGAGAGCTTTCTTGAGTTTCAAAGAGAAAGAAGAGTTAGCGGTGTCTAGGATGCGAAAAACAGGAATGATTGTATTTTGTTTTACATTTTGCAAAAAAAAACTCACACAAAAATTCACACATTTACAAACACCTTCACACTTCACCACAATATAAAAAAAATACAATCATTCTTGATTTTGCATCCTAGACTCCGCTAACTCTTCTATCTCTTTGAAACTCAAGGAAGCGCTGTACATAAAAAAACTCAAACCGAACCTAAAAGAGCTTTAATTTTAAATACTCCTTTCTCTCTAGATATCTTTAACTTTCATGTACATATCTTCATAAATGAACTGCCTTAAAATTGACAGAGTAATCTTCACTTGTTCAAAGTAAGGAAAATTGTGGTACTCTTACAGAACTTATATTCAGTTCAATAGTGAACTGAAATTTCTGCAATCAAATGAAATCATCCCTTCCTCTAAGTTGCAGTTTTGAACAAGTTCACTGACGCAAGAAATAACAAACTGTTTAGAAAACGCTTTATCAAAGGCGACGTCACTAGTTATAAACCAGTTAATTTTTCCATTTGTTGTGTATGTGTAATGCCTCGTCAATATTGGTGAGACTTGGCTAAGATCGTACACATAAATATTTGTAATAGTTCTAAATATAGCAAATACCATTGTGAATGGTAAAAGTAATATAATAAGTTGATAGTTCTTAAAAGAACTGTTTTAAGTAAAGGGCATTAACCCAATAGTTCTAAATTAGAATTTCAATTTACTTTATGGAAAAATACTCTGCAACTACGTATTTCGAAGTTAGAAAATGCAAAAAAATGGTGTTATGAATAAATGGGAAGACACACCCTCTCATTCCCCCCTGGCTACCCCCCCTGAATTGCTATGTTGCTTATTTAATGCTATAAGATACTCGAGATAGCAATAGTTACTTGGAAAATGACGAATAAGGTGGGATCGTTTTGATTATCTGCTACAGAATTATAAAGGAGACCTGGATTGTTGGGATCATTTCTCGATGGTGGTTCCTTTAGTCCCCTATGACCCAATGTCTACATTCCAACAAGAACTTTGGCGATGTACATTTTTGTTTGTGATCTAGAACACAGACGAAGAGAGTAGCTAAGAGCATACGATGCATCTCTTGCAAAGTATACTCTGTTTCCTTATCCTATCATAAGATTTGATTCTGATTGTTGTTCTATACAAATTTGCTATGAGTTGTATTTGTCAAATTGAATCAATAATTTGATGCTTGCAAACTGAATTGATTGTTAAATAAACACATTGTTTTTGTTTTTGTCCAAAAATATCAATTCATTATCGATTATTGCTTGAATACGACCGTGCAATGTCACAGAAAACATTTTCAGGTAAAGGTTGACATTGGACATACCACAACAAAAATTTTCCACACCGAACACTACCAATAGAGATGTTGCTTGACCATTTGACGTTGATTTTAACAGAGGAGAGAGAGGGTGTAGCATCTGTGGTTTTATTGATTGTAACAACACGTGAGCATAGTCTGTTCATATTATAAAATTTACATTTTTTGTCAAAGTTGGTGATTTAGTTTCTTACATTACATTTAGATTTAAGACAGAAAGAATGCGAATTTTAAGCATTAATAGAATAATAGTCATTTATCTTGCAAGTGAATATAGTTGACTTCATGGGGAAAAGTTCAAAGAGAAAAGTCTTGCACAGCTAGCTATCTCTACGACATGCCATCAAAACAAGAACTATAATAAAGCAAATTTACAACAGTTTTTGTGCTTATAATTATAAACGTGCTGAAAAATTACAGTAAAAACATACATAATGACCTAAGTAGCCCAGGATATATGAAGTGCAGAGTACAATTGATCAATGGTAAATAAGTATAAACTGTGCTTTACTTTGTAATTTAATGTTAAATGCTTTTGAGATTGTTCAAGGGGCGCAAGGTTTTACGAGAATCGTTTGGGGCATTCCCTCTTAAAATTACTCATTTACGAGTTCTTAAAACGCTACTTCTCACATTTTCCAGTTTATACGTTGGCAATTTAAGTTGAGGAGAGCAAATATTTTTACAAGGGCAACTTTCCGAGTTAATCTAAATATGCCAACAATGGAATCCAACTTAATCTTATCTGCAATGCCTTTTTCTATGTCGATGTGAAAAATTAGTCAAGATGTTCATCCCATAATTTCGCTTAACTTTATAGGAAATATTTAGCAAATATTTACAGTAGCGTAACCAGTCTGCAAGTTTTGGTCGTGCTATGTAAATTTAGGAACATTAAATATTATTCATTTATTTAGAAACCCATTGTTTTTCTATTGATTAAAAACAAAAATATGACTATTTTTAAGATTTTTGAAATTGGAATCATTGTAAACTCCCCCCCTCCTATTATGCATAAATGTGAAATAGTATTATGAAGAAATAGGAAATCACGTCCCCCATTTCCCTCACTAACTACAACCTTGAATTGATCTATTGTTTATTTAATGTTATAAGATACTCGGGATAGCACTGGTTATCTTGGAAAATGACGAATATAGTTGGGTTTCCCTGATTATCCACTACAGAATCATAAAGTAGACCTGGATTACTGGGATCATTTCTCGATGGCGGTGCCTTTAGTCCTTTTTGACCCAATGTGTAACTTCCAACAAGAACTTTGGCGATGAACATCTTTGCTCGTGATCCAGAACACTGATCAAGGGAGTACCTGAGAGAATATGATGCATCTCTTGCAAAATACACTCCGTTTCCATACAATACTCCTGTAAATAGAACCCATGTGTAAGAAATAGAACCCATGTGTAAGGTAGGAATCATATTGTGGTTGAAACCAAAGAATCTGAATAAATATCTACTAGCGTATTATCTAGTTTGAACTTAGTAGCATATACTTATAGAAAAGACTGAAAACGTTTCTCAGAAAAATATGCCAAAATACTTTTTTATGTCTATATTAACAATTATAGAAAGGATCTGTGGTCACAGAAACTTTGAAAAAATTCGCATTGTGAAACTGGAGCCATCTCAACTCTCACCATTTAATCCAGCAAAGCTACGGCTGAAGTTATTTGTGTATATTGGTAGAACATTGTTCGGATTAGTGCCGTGAAAAAGACGCATTTCATTTACAGCACCATGCATCTTCTTCTTGAAGGACTGGTACAGACAATAAAGACCGGGGTTCTGTATCCTTTCAATCATGTCGATTTGATCAGCTCTTCCTCCATGAGCTACGAAATAGTTTTTTACCTCCATGTATTCAGGAGAGGATTGTATTACTCTGGCAAGATGAACAACTTGATTTGGTGTACGTGGCGGTGACCAATTTGATGGCAGTGAAACATCTAGACCAAATATTTATAATAATGTGAAGCTTAATTTTAAAGAAAACACTGCTTCAGAAATGAATCTTCAAAGACATAATATGTTTTTCATTTATCAATAAAAACACCTTTCCTCCATTCCTTTTCTGCTTTTGAAAATTACTTAAAAAACACTTAAAAAACACTTAAAAACACTTAAAAACACTTTCTTTTGAAAAAAACACTTAATACTCTCTGAAAAAATCGTCTGAAAGGAAACAATAATAAAAACTAGCCATTGTATCAGAGGCGTAACTAGAACGTTAATTGGGGGGAGGGGTGTATATACATATATTCAGTTTGCCCTACTGATTTCTTTTGAAAATCAATTCATTTTCAAGAGAAATCAGTATGGCACAAAGGCATATATGAATATGCACCCCCCATCCCCCAATTAATGCTCTGCATCGAGTTAAAGTTTTCTTACCTGTTCCCATAATTCTAAAATTCTGCATTAAAACATCATAAATCGTAAAAAAAACATTTAAAAATACAATATAATATACTACCTTACTTGTATTAAAATTCGCGCAGTACTAGAATTCGCGCAGCGCTGAGTGCGCGAATTTTAGTACTGCGCGAAATATAATCCGCGCGAAAAGCTTTGTAGTGTAATATGAGACATTCATTGTTTGTTATGCAAATCAGTTGTTTTATTAACACATATACATATTGACATATGTTTTAGTTGTCCTGGTAACATTAAAAATCAAAATGTCTTCATTTTCATCCTGTACAATTTCAGTCGGGATATTCTCAGGTTTTACGTAGTATTCCGTCACGAATGCCTGCATTTTGCTGTATATCCTAAAACTTGCATTGTTCTGCATGACTGTTAGGGTAATAGGAATCTCCAAGCCTCCTTGTGGTAAGGGGGATCGACGAAATTCGATGTCACACACACATGCTTCTATATTTGCCCCCATATTCAAAAAAGAACTTGCAAAATCGGGAAATCTCTCGAGGCAAATGTCCGACCAGTGACAATGGTTCAATCTTGCTTCTGATTTTGGTAAACAGACCAATAGCATATGGGTCGAATAGGTTTCCTGATTCTGGTTTTATTATTAACTGCTGGTTGATTCTTGGAGCCCAGATTTTTCTGTATTCATGAAAACCTCGTGATGCGCAAGCCAGAGAAAACGATGTCCCCGCGGGGCTCAGTTTCACTGAATTAGAATCATCCGTTCCTGAATCGTGGGTTTCCTGAAGCAAGCAATCAGATGCGTGATTTTCTTTCGCGTCGCACGCTTCACATAAAGCAACACTCGAACCACTTTTCCATCCGGGATAGTTTTCAGATTGCAGGGATTGAACACTTGATTCCACGGTTACAAACAAATGATTTGCATTTTAGACAAGTGTATTTTGTCAAATCATTGCACACGATGCAAATGCTTTCCATTTCTCCAACACAATAGTCAATGATGAGTCACGTTTCTTTAGGTGTTAGATATGATGTTCTATTATTATTTTACTGACTGATTTTACTTCCTTATTAACTAATTGCCGAATACGTCAAACGTTTCCGAAACACATATTCTACCGTTCAAGTATTGCCAACAGAAAACATTGTGCGGGAAATCAACGCACATGGCTCTGTTAAAATATTTCAAAAAGGTTTCCCAAGACGATATTTCGGTCGCGTCGTCTGACAGCAAATTAAATGCTGCCGAAGAAAATGCAGTAAAACAGCAATTATTTCTTGACGCTCCAGAACCAAAGAAAAGGAGGGGCAAATATGGAGCATATGATGCTTTTCAACGAGCAGAAATTGCAAAATGGGGAATTGTGCATGGAATAAGACCGGCGGCAAGAAAGTATTCCGTACCAGAGTCAACTGTTCGTGAACTTGTCAAATCGTACAATAAGGAGCGAAAAGAGGGCACTGAACTCGAACAATTGCCAAGAAAACATCGTGGAGCAAAAACTTTGTTACCCGAGAACATCGATGAGAAAGTTATCGCCATGATCAAGAGCATGAGAACGGCCGGTTGTGTTGTCAATTACAACATTGCTATTCCATAGCGAAGGGATAGTACTGGCTAATGATCGGTCTTTGTTGAAAGAAAACGGAGGAACCCAGAATTCCACTATACATGGTGCCAGTCAATTTTCAAAAGATTGGGTTTCAGTATACGTAGAGCAACAACTGAAAAACAACCCGTATCACCTGGCTTCTTAAGAGAAATTCGCTTCACGTTTCATCGCTCTATTAAGGAAGTGGTTACCGCTTATGACGTTCCCGACGATCTCATTATAAACATTGACCAGACCCCTCTCCCGTTTGTCCTCATCAGCAAGTATACAATGGACAAAACTAACGAGAAGTTTGTGCCGATCAGTGATAGCGCCGATTATCGCCAAATTACTGGAACATTCTCAGTCACCGCGTCGGGAAAGTTTCTGCCAATTCAACTAATCTACCAGGGGAAAACAGACCGGTGTCGACCTAAATTCAGATTTCCAAAAGAATTCCACGTTACCCACACGGAAAATCATTGGTCAAATGAAACGAAAGCAATTGAATTAGTCAATCGCATTCTTATCCCCTATGTTAAGCAAATTAGAGAAGAGCTTGGTTTCGCGCAACAAAACGATGGGTTTTGATCGCCGATGTTTTTAAAGCACATTGGACGGATGCCGTAAAGAAGATCATTTCCGACAATAATGGGAAGATGATACCTGTTCCCAATAATATGACATCATACCTGCAGCCCTTAGATTTAACGGTCAATCGCTCTTGCAAAGCTTTCCTTCGAAACCAGGCGCAAACATGGTACTCAGAGCAAGTCCAAGCCCAAATAGAGAAAGGTATTCAACCTGATAAAGTTTCTGTTGATTTGAGAATTAGCGTGCTCAAACCACTTCACGCAAAATGGATAGTGCAGTTCTATGATTACATGCAATCGAACAAGGACATTGTCGTCAAAGGTTGGCAACAATCAGGTGTGCGCCGCATTGGAGGAACCACAACGAAAAGAGGATCCATTTGAACTGTAGCTAAACTTTTGCTTGACTTATAAAGTATATTGTTAGGCAATATCATTTATTACATTTTTTAGTTCTTGTTGGGATAGCGAACTCACGCTTTATTTTGAAGCCATTTTTGAGGCCATCCAATCGCTTTTTTAATGAATATTGAGGTATTTCTTAATAAAGAAAGCTCAATATAAATGATATAATTATTAATAGTTCTTTTGAACAAACCAAAAAGAACGAGCACATAAAACTACTTGCGCGAATTTAAAGCTGCGCGAATAATTGTCAACAAAGTGCGCGAAATTAAATCGCGCGAATTTAAAGCTGAGCGAAAATGAGTACGACTCGAATTTTAATACAAGTAAGGTATACAAACCCGCCATCATCTTCCTCAACAATGTCTTTTTTTCACCCGTTCTTCTATTGATAGCTTCCATTTGTGCAAAATCGACATTGAAAACTTGTCCATCTGATTCTGTAAACTCTGTAGTTTGTTCACCATTCATGTGAGCAATTTCAAGTATACTGCTCAATTCTTTATTGTAAAGTATAACATTATTATGTACATCATAGAAATTCCATTGAACATTTTCTGACAAGTATTTCAGTTGTTGAAGTCTTTTCTCTTCTTCAGTAAACTCGTTAATGAGCTCTTTGAGAATTATGCTTGTTTGATTAACTTTGCTGTGCAAACCTGTTAAAGAAATCGTCTGTTCATCCTCACATTTCATTCTTAAGCGAGCATCAGTTGCAATCTGTTTTACTTCATGCTTGTTTTTTAGGATGACATCGTATAGATTTTCACTACGTAATTTCTTTGTTATAATATTTTGATTGATAAACTTGTGAATTTTTTGTAAAGCAGACGAGATTTCTCCATCAGAAAGGCCAAAAATCTGAAGTGTTATGGATTCTTCGCCACAGCCAAACGAAAAAGGAACAAAGCGTCCGGTTTCATTGGATGAAATAGCGTCTAAATATTGAAAAAATTATAACTGCTCTAAAAAATATTGATTACATTGTGAAAGAGAATATTTTGATAAATTTTAAAATCTAAGTTCAACATACCGGTCAAGTTCCTTTGTCTTCTCTCAACCGGATCATATATCACCAATTTGATTTGTTTCAGTGAACTTTGTTGAAATCTAGAACTAAATCTTTTGAACTCTTCTTTCATTATACGTAAACAATAATTTTGGGAAAATTATGTTTCCCAGTTCCCAATAACGGCATTGCTACAGATTTAGCATCAAGACGGTTGCATTCGATAAGAATTTTCCGTAAAAGTCCACGTAACAACTGAAAAGATAAAACAATGTGAAGTTTTTCTCACCAAAAATTAAAATTTTGATTTTCAATAGGTGTGAGTCATTTTGACAGTTTTAAATCTTTCTGTGAAAATCCACGATAGTTGAAATATTATAATCAAAAATAACGATTGGATAAATTCAATTTAACGGTCCACCCTTACTTCTATAGACTTTCCTTCAGTCGTCCAATCACAACAAACGGCATGAATGACGTAGATACATGGTAGATTTCCCCCTTTTGTCGTAGCTATATTCCATTGGTTAACATGAGGACGTTGACGACACTCAGCGATATATGAAGATCCAGCAACGTTACTTAATGCTTCTCCAAGCACTGTTTGCTGACTCAGATCTGAGAGAGCTGAGTTGACCAAAATATCAGCCTGTGAGGAAAGTATTCAATAGAGGTAAGTGTGCAAAGTATTCAATAGTCTTAAAGAATGTCTCAGAGATGACACAAAAGGTTTATAGTTTTAATCTTTGTAGTTCACACCGGGGGTGGATTTTTTACGGGATGCAGGTTGTGTGTACACTCCCCCAAAATATTTATTAGCAGCCTGCCAAAAAAACATTTCAAGTGGTCTTGCGCAGTGTAAAATATTAATATAACATAAGTAAAGGTAGAACTCTCATTTCAAAGGCTATTGTGTATTTTATGCTACCACCATTTGCAATTGAGTTACTACCATGTGCCTTTTCATTGAAACATTCAAATTGAAATATATCTCTTAACGCGCATTCATTAACAAAAAATAACTAAAAACTTTTTAAAAATGTAGTAACACTTTCGTTTCGCAAGGTTCACTCATTTCTAAAAATTAACAATAGACTTTGTGACTTAAGCTAAGATGAACATGCATCCCCGATGGAAAATTTGCACTCTTCTTGTCAACTGAGCATTGATCCGCCCCTGATTCACACTCATTTTGAATGTGCTCTTATTTATTTTAGAAAAGACTAATAAAGTGTTTATTACACAAAATTTTACGATGGAATTTCTCGATTTCTATGCAAAAACAATTTAAAATTAATAAATAGCGCTTTCCACAAAAGCAGTTTCAATACATTTTCTCAAAAAACTTCATTATTTACTTCAAAAAAACTGGGTAAATGTTTCATTGTGGCAAGCAGTTGTGCAGCCATCCTGCAAATTTTGTCGCGTTATGCACATTTCCTGGGTTCAATCACTGTAAACATAATAGATGTATAAAGAAATAAATAATGTTAATCATCTGGAGCCTGTTGCACGAAGCTTGGATAGCGTTATTCATAGCAAAAATTTTCAAACTTGTAAAAAAGTGTTTATAATTTTCTTACGACAAAGAAATTTCGTAAACTTCGAAACAATATTTTTTTTCAGTGATTGCTTAGTTCAAATCTTATATCTTTTGCTTTTTAAAAGGTTTTACAAAAGTTTAAAAAAATTGTTATCCAATGGATAACGCTATCCAGGCTTCGTACAACCTCCTCCCGATGTTTGCATAACAGGACCAAAATAGCGGGCAGACTACGTCGCCATTTATAAAAATTTTAACTGAAACATTTGTCAAGTTGTAAAGTATGATGAATACGTAATTTCAAACTCACACATTCATTGACCAGGTTACCATATTTCCATGAAACCTTTAAAGATTCCTTTGTCATGAAATTACATTCATCATAAGGTTCTACAATATTTTTTGGAATACTGCCAACCTCCTGATTTTCTTGGTAGCTATCCGTTATGTCAATTTTGACATTTGTTTCAATTTCAATACCTTTTAAGTTTCTCAGACCATGCTCGTTAACGAATAACTCAAGGACTCCGACAGAAGATAAAGATTTTGTTTTCGTCTTTATTTCATTCTTCAACTTCATCACGCGAGTGTTTGCCTCATCAATTCCTTGTTTTGTCCCAGTGTATCTCAGTAATCCTATATAGATTTCAATCTTAACATGCTCATCTTTGAGTGAAACTTCAATATTCTCAAATTCTTTCTTTAGTTTTTCTTTCATAAAACGAGCTATCTCGCTATCAACATCAACGGAGTTAACTATAACTTGGAATCTTTCAAGAAAACTTCTAATGTCATTGCTATATTTTTCAACAAGAGGTGCATAAAGAACGATGCAACCTTTTACAGAGCCAGGATTTGTATAATAATCGATTGTGTCTTCCGATTTGATTGCCTCGAGTATTTCAAACCATCTCGAATTCCAAATGTGCTTGTCGTCTAGTGGCAATGATATCTCTTTCTTTAGAATGTTATTTCCTAAACAATTTATCACTGCGTCAAAATCTCCTGATTGCATTACCACCTTTACAATAGATTCAGACTCCACAAATAGCACGGCCTCAATATTTTCTTGAGATAAACAACTTTCAAAAAATTTCAATCCTGCTTTTTTCGTCAAAAATGTAATCATTTCTTGACAAAGACAAAGAGAAACAACCGTAATCTTCTTAAGAAAGTTGTTATACTGTTGTTCAGCTTTTACAACATCTTTCCTAGACCCTTCGAAGCTAATTTTTTGATTGCTTTCAGTCAAAGTAATGCTGGTTAGCCCAGGACACATTTTCAATAATTCTTCCAAGAAATTATGGCGTTGAATAAAGTCAATGTGATCTTTCTTAACTGACACAGACTTCATGAATTCTTTCACAATCTTATCTTCTTCCTATAAAAAAATATGCATTTTCATACATTAAAGTATCTAATTGATTAAGAAAGGCCAATTTTTTTCATAAATATGTGCTTACAAAGCTCGATAATATAAGAATGAGACTTCATTCGGGATAAATATCTTTGGCAATAACTTTTATACCCATATTTTAGTCAAAGCCTCTTCATATGTATGTGGTTTACTTTGACTGAAAATCGTACATGATTCATTTTACTAAGTTTGAATAAAATGTGCTTGCTGCTTCTCTCGCATTGGAGACAGAATATTTGTCCTCTGATCTCATGATGGAGAAATATGAGGAAAGAGATTCCAGTCTGCGGGCCTGACTAACTTTGTTTGTTTTTAACGTTTCAACGTTTTTCAACAGTACTGTCAAGTGGCAACAAGCAGCTTGTTCCATTGTTTTAGATTTGGAGGTTTTCAACTTTTCAGCGCATTGCTGAAATTTTTTTTCCTTTAAATTGAAACGTAGACATTAGCACGCACTATATGTTTTACTTTACTTACATTGCTCAGCAGATGACTTCTTTTACCACTATCAATTAGATCATTACCATTATTTAAAGGATTGATCTTCTTTCGGAGAGATTGATTCCGAGGTGGTGGAATAGGTGAACAAAAATCTGTAAAACAGTGAAGTTGTGTATGTGCTTCATTTTGCTAAACTGTCTTTCTAGTATATAACTGTTGTGTTTTTCTTATCACAAGTTTCAGGAATTTTTTGTTCATTTACCTGCAGAATGAGGAGGAGGAGATGGAGGAGTTTGAGGAAACGTTGGAATGTCATCAGATGTGCTAATCTAGAAGAAGTCAAATGATAGCTCAATTTAAATAAGTTTTGACTTGTGAGTTGCCAACACTTTTTGTTCTGCCATCAATAATATTCACAAGGCCATGCATTGTGAAGTAATAACAGACAAAATCGATATCTTACATTGAGATTATGCGTGTTTTTTTCTGGAAAAAGCAGCTTTGAATGAATCAACTTACAAAAATTTCATACACTTGAGTAAATATTGTTGGGAAAGACTCAGAGAGTGATGCAGCTTTCAAGAAAAGTTTTGATGAACAGAAAATAACTCGTTAAAAAGAACATGAAAAGCAAGAAGTTCTTTATACAAAATAGAACAAATATATTTTTTAGCAATAGTCAGAAAACTTATTCCAGTGAAAAATTTTTACTGCTGAAGATAAAATTTACTGTTTGTATTCTTTTTGACGTGAATTGTTCCTTAAGAAAATTTCGACACCTTTATCATTTATAAAATTACAACAATACAACGCGTGTGCTGATTGGTCGATAGCTGAGTTTGCATAAGTCGGTGCAAACTGATCTGAGCTTCATCAATTAAATCTATCAAGGAAAATTGCAAATCAATCATGAAAACACGTGAAAGAAAATTTTAAACCGTTGGTTTTGAATTGTCTACACTTGACTAAACTTAATTTTTCTCATTTTACTTCAGAAAACAAGACAAAATAATTTGATAATTCTTTCCTGACTTAAGTTCAACAGCACTGTCAAGTGGCGACAACCAGCTTGTTCTATTGTTTTAGATTTGGAGGTTTTCAACTTTTTAGCCCATTGCTGAAATTTTCTTTTTCTTTAAATTGAAACGTAGACATTAACACGCACTATATGTTCACTTCACTTACATTGCTCAACAGATGACTTCTTTACCACTATCAATTAGATCATTACCATTATTTATAGGATTGATCTTCTTTCGGAGAGATTGATTCCGAGGTGGTGGAATAGGTGAAAAAAATCTGTAAAACAGTGAAGTTGTGTATGTGCTTCATTTTGCT